AGGAAGGAAGGAAGGAAGGAAGGAAGGAAGGAAGGAAGGAAGGAAGGAGAATGGTTCACTTCTTTGGAAGGATGTTCTCCATCTTCTCATCTGAATCGTGCCATATCGTGCCCAAATATTGGTGGTAAAGGTTAAATCATGTTAAACAAAATCATACACATAAGTATGTGACACGACCAAACCACCCTGATCCAACCTTCAGGGTGTCACCGGCACCTCGGAAAACTGTATTTAACGAGTGACCAGGCCTGTGACCGCACCGGCCTATATGTGTCAATCAATTCCATGGAGTGCTTTCCTTGTCACAGCCACCTCCAGCCCCTCCACCCCCCACTCGCTCCTTCGGCGGCGAGCTCGAGCTGTTCCCAAAAGCCTGGAAAAAAAAATGGCGTGGTTCGGTGACCGAAAAAAGAACGGCCCAAGGCTAGTGTGGGTCGCCTTTAGAACAGTCTCCGGAGTTTTTGGAGACCTGGAACTTCTGATCTATTCGATCTAGTTATGATGGGTGCTTGCGCATGTCCAAGCAAAGGCTTTGGGTGAATTGATGCGCGGAAATCTTGGGAGAACTGAGGCAGCATTCGGCAACCCACGTGAGCTGCCCACTTGAGATCTATCAGGTTGGGCCTGACGCGTTTCCCTCGCAACAGGTGGTTGATATGTAGTTGCGGGCTAAGATTGACAAATCCGACAAATCCATATAGGCCCATCGGGGTTTCATTGTTTCTCTTTCAAAGGCTGCTGGGTGCACCACTTTCCCAGTTTGGTGGGTGTGCGGTGCCAGGTAGCACCTCTGCCACGCAGTTGATTGCCTCATCCAACAGCCTCAGAGGAGATCAAAGGAGATGGGGAGTTTGGACACAGACTCAGGGAGTCAACAGTAGCACATCAAGGGGAGTCAACGCTACACATCAAGTTCAGTAGCCATCGGGCAACCATTGGGAAAGACACTTCGGCCTTTAAACAATTAATCAACTCATTAATAAGTACAAAAACATTTCAATGCCTGACTGTGTATGATATCCTCTACGTCAAGTCATTGTCACAAAAATGTAACAACTAAACGTTAACACTCCAATGATGAATAATATATCCGCACATGTGTGTATATATATATATGTATAATTATATATAATTATATATAGTCGTCCTTGACTAGATAGCATATGGATCCAAAAACAAATCCATAATCTTCTTAGATTGATTCATATGGATTAATTCAACTCATATTCTATCTACTCCAGGGTTTCAAGAGTCACTTCCATCGTGATCCCAGATGCTCTCCCAAACCATACAGGTTACAGGTCGCAAAAAACGAAACATGGGATGCCATGGGTGTCGTGTCCAAACCCATCAAACAGGGAAGGGCTGCAGGAAAGGATGGATGTAGTTTTTAGCAATCCAATAAAGGGCAAAAAAGGGCCTCAAAGAAACCGGACTCGGGGTCCTCCTTGTCGATTCATCCCGAACGCTCAGTGAGGGCGGGCCAAGAAGACCCCAAGAGTCATGGGGGAAGCGAAAGACCCAAGATCCACACACCTGGCTCTCAGTCATGGAAGTGGCAAACCACCTCTTTGTAAAGGAACATGGCTTCCCAGGGGCCATGTTCCACTTCCATGATGATTCCAGTGTAGACTTTCTCAACACCGGACTTTCTCGCTTCCATGCGCTTCCTTTCCGAGGAGCTCAGCACTCCCCAGGCTTCCACCCTCCAATCCGCTGCCCGTGCGGGCCTCGGCCGTGACGGCGTGGGTGTGACTCGTAGGGAATGAGGGAATGGATCCAAAGGAATCTCTATTGGGGGCGAAACTTCCCTCATTCTCTACGGCTTCTATCTCTGTTAAGAAGTATTCTTAAACAAGAAAGTAGACTCTATTTTTTCGGAAAATGAGTTGTTTCTAGACTCTAGATCTATATTTGTCAAAAAAACACGTTTTCTTTTAAATACGTATTAAGTTCTAATTTGAAGGGCCCTGCCACAAAGAGAAAGAAAGAGAGAGAGAGAGAGAGAAAGAGAAAGAGCGCGCACCCTTAATGACAAACTTGACATCATCTATGACCCCGTTCCATGATACGTATGTAGAGCAAAAGCTTCAGTTTGCTTAAATCGGTTTCAAAAAAACTGTCCCCAACCTGTCCTCTCGGGTGGTCTGAAACTGGTCTGAAACCCTTTAGAAGTCCCATCGCCATCGCAGCCTTCAACTTTGAGCCTCCCTCCCTCCTTCCCTCCCTCCCTCCCTCCCCTCATCTCAGATTCTTGAGCATTGTACCATGATAGAACATTATACAACATCCGTGGTGCCACTTTGCTTCCAAAAAGGTTCAAAACTTACATTTTTGGTTCAAAAACCTGAAGTTCCGAACCGTCAGCACAAAACGCATGTGGAGCTGCAAAAGTGATATGGTCACTGATGGTCATCGGAAGTTATTGGAGAACATGGAGTGGATGCATGAAGAGGAGCTTTTAATTCGGTACCACTACGGCCGCAATTAGGTACTATTGGACGCACCGAATTACGACCATAATGGTACCGAATTAAAAGCGAGCCTTCATTATCCTGTAGACCCCCGTACGTATCTCACTTACAGACCCCACATGGAATGACGCGGCACAAGGGCCGCATTATTTAATCTTGCGATCAAACATCCGCTTTTAGACAATGACCCTTGGATTTCCAGGGTGCAGGTGTAAAATGACAAACTTGACATCATCTATGACCCCTTTCCATGATACGTACGTAGAGCAAAAGCTTCAGTTTGCTTAAATCGGTTTCAAAAAAACTGTCCCCAACCTGTCCTCTCGGGTGGTCTGAAACTGGTCTGAAACCCTTTAGAAGTCCCATCGCCATCGCAGCCTTCAACTTTGAGCCTCCCTCCCTCCTTCCCTCCCTCCCTCCCCTCATCTCAGATTCTTGAGCATTGTACCATGATAGAACATTATACAACATCCGTGGTGCCACTTTGCTTCCAAAAAGGTTCAAAACTTACATTTTGGGTTCAAAAACCTGAAGTTCCAAACCGTCAGCACAAAACGCATGTGGAGCTGCAAAAGTGATATGGTCACTGATGGTCATCGGAAGTTATTGGAGAACATGGAGTGGATGCATGAAGAGGAGCATTTAATTCGGTACCACTACGGCCGCAATTAGGTACTATTGGACGCACCGAATTACGACCATAATGGTACCGAATTAAAAGCGAGCCTTCATTATCCTGTAGACCCCCGTACGTATCTCACTTACAGACCCCACATGGAATGACGCGGCACAAGGGCCGCATTATTTAATCTTGCGATCAAACATCCGCTTTTAGACAGTGACCCTTGGATCTCCAGGGTGCAGGTGTAAAATGACAAACTTGACATCATCTATGACCCCTTTCCATGATACGTCCGTAGAGCAAAAGCTTCACTTTGTTTAAATCTGCCTCACAAAAAACTGTCCCCAACCTGTCCTCTCGGGTGGTCTGAGACTGGTCTAAAACTCTTTAGAAATCCCATCGCAGCCTTCAACTTTGAGCCTCCCTCCCTCCCTCCCTCCCCTCATCTCAGATTCTTGAGCATTATACCATGATAGAACATTATACAACATCCGGGGATACGGGTCGAAGAAGTCGAAGACCATGCGCATAGCGATGCGGTTGAGCGATTTAGAGCTCGAGGGAGAGAAAATAGAATAAGAAACCTTATTTAGAGTCTAGAGTCTACCTGCTAGCCACATTTCTTAATTAAAAGGTTATAGTTAAGAAATAATCTAGAGTCTACTCTAAAAAAGCATCTTTCTTAACAGAGTCATCAGCCGTACTAAGCACCAGTCAGACAGGTTCGGGTTGAACACGATGAACATATATACACGCCACATCTCATCGACATTAGACTTCACGAAGAACGACCAATGGGATGGGCTTATGATGGTTTATGCTTTTGGTCAATTCTCCCACATCTCAACGGCACCATCTTTTATCTTTGCGCTGTCCGCAAAAGATCTACGCACTGCTGCGACCACTCATCGCGCAAGCTGCGAAGAGATCTGTACTGACATCACCCAACTTCATTTGCAATCCCTTCGGCCCATTTAGTTTGTGCATGCAGTTCCTACTGCTGTTCCTGCTTCACAAATCTTCATCCTGGACTTCGTTCCCACCTGTTTGGGAAAGCCAACCTAAAAGCGCAACACATAAAAATGGGTTCAAGCCTTTTGATGATACTTTGGAAATCAAAGACCACAAAAAAATAATGGTCTTGGGTGAGCTCCTTGTCATCTGACAAGGAGCTTCCTTTACTTCAATGGGTTAAGTCGAACTATGTCGAACTGGACTTCTGTGGGATATGCAATGCATATGATTTATGTGGACTTAGTAGCCCCCAGCCAGCGCAAAAGAGCACTACTCGTGATGAAACAAGCCAGGACCCCTGTTTCACCCCTGCACGCTGCCCAAAACACTGGAATTTGATTCGGAATATGAGTGCATGTGTATTCTAATCAATACTTTGAATAGAGAGATCCCCAACCAATAGGCTTCACCGGGCCCGAAGCAGATTGAGTTCGTCAATTACTAGCAAGGGCTTGGTGAACTCCCTGTAGCTCCATGGGGACTTTGGATACTGTGAGAGGTACAATCCACACATTCCACACACACTTCCACACACCCAATTGGTGCAACAGTCTCTGCTCCTTCCATGCCATTCACAGCTTGCCCCTTCCATTCAGCGCCCTCGGGGCCCTCGTTGACACAGTTCATCCGTGTGAGGGTCCAAACTCGCGATGTGATGCAACAACTCTCACTCTACATTGGGCCAAAACAATGCTTTCATGCTTCCCTGTTCCCGAATTCAAAAAAAACAACCTGGGCATCAATTGTGTTTTAGCTGTTCGTTGACTTTGGGTGTGTATTAGAACAGGGAGGCCTCTAAAAGACCACCGGGAAGAAGGAACATGGACCAACACCCATTGTTTGGGTGCTTCCCTATCAAAATACACACCCATATTATTAAGATCCAAAGACATCACTTGTGATCAAGAAAGGACCCCTGGTGAATGATCACGGTCGCTCGATCTGCAGGTCAGTTCGATCACCATCAGAGCAGGTCCTTTGATCTGCTGGGTTGTGACCGAGATGGACGTGAAACACATTAGTAGAGATGTTTGAACTATACTGGGGATCACACTGGAAGTCCGAATCACTGGGCGAACCCTTGGAAGTCTGTCTCATGTATTTTGGACGAGGAGCATCATTTTCCTACAGTTGTCATTGTCCACGTCCATGATTCTTGAAGGGGGAATATGTTGTTTGTGGAAACGTCTTGGAACCGATGCCATCGCGCCGCTGCTTTTGCTCGGTTTTCGCCATGTCTGGACCCTCCTCTCGCCCGAGTGCCGGGCGGCGAGAGGTGCCGGTGTCATTCGTGCCATTCGACGGCCACGCAGGCGGTCCGATGTCGGAGATGCGGGAAGAGGCTGTGATGAATTCTTTGGAACCCGACGAAGAAAAAAAGAGGCTGCGAAGCATGTTGGATTGTTGGATTCGGAACACCTGTTGAGGATTCGAGCCGAAGCATGGAAGGGTTTTTGGCGATATGAGCCTTTTAGATCGACGAGAGAATCAACACGCGGATGAACAAACCATCTATCTTTGTACAACTGCATGGGTATTGCAATCTGCCACAAGTTCATTAACTTTTCCACTGATCGGGACTGTTAGGGGAGATCTTTATTTAGACACTGACATTGATATCACATCATCCTTGGAAAGGTCTACCAGCAACAAACATTGAAACCTGCCGCTCCCAAAGGTTGAGATGGTGAAGCACCACGACAGGACACTCCTGTCTACACAAGCCTGTTTGACATCAATCATCTGGATCCAAAGGTCGTCCCATGGATTTTTTACAGTCCAACGCTGAAAAACATAACGCATGTTTGGGATGCAGGGTTCCCTCTAGTTATATATCTTCTCCATGTACAATCACTGATTTGGTGGTTAACATCTCTTGAACGCTTCAAAGAGGAATACATCGTTAAATATCGATAATTAATGGATAGATTATATATATATGGTATATATATATATGATTAAACGGTTGCAAGATGTGATTCGGTGGCATTCTCTCGACTGCAGGATTTTCGCAGGTGTGGGTGGACACTGCATGGTCATCTGCCAGCTGAAAACTGTGTTCGCACAGCACCGTGCGATACAAACGACGCACACTCAAATGTCCGGGCATTAACTGTTCAAAGTAGGAATCCTTCAGAACGTCGTTGAAAGCTCTGTCATGAAAAGCCAGCAAGCCAGGTCTGGCTAGGATGTGTCAAGTAGATCAGCACCAGTCAGGGGATCAACCACTGGGAGGGTCTGTTCAGCCGCAGACTTCAAAATGGACCACAGAACGAGATTGACAGCTATCCTTTTGGATAAACGTTGGACACTGGGACGGACCATGTCTTGGAAGGGCTCAGCAAGAACAGGGTAGATACAGACATGAAGGATATAGTGAAGGATATCAATATAAGATTATCTAAGTAAGATCTACAGTATAAATGAGATTCCAATAGATTCCGTGATATTCCATGCTTCGTCACTCATTTGCAGAACAACGAAGCACATCGAACCCATTTTTTAACCTTTACATCGGCCTGCACATCCAAGGATCATGCGGCTTCTATAGACAAATGAAGTCCATCAGGCAAACGATGGAAGTCAGAAAAAACATTCGGTTGGGTTTCATTACTGCTGCAGTAGCTTCTTGTTCCTAGTAGTAAGGCCAGGAGCTACTAGTAGCGTCCTTGCTCCTAGTAGCGATGCCCTTTGCTACTAGTAGCTTCTTGTTACTATAGTAGTAAGAATGCTCCGTTCGTAGCGATGCCAGGAGCCACGAGCTTAGCGTCCTCCGTCCTTGCGCCCATAGTAGCGATGCCCTTTGGTACTAGTGGCGTCCTTAAACCACAGTGGGTATCAACAGAGTCGGTCGTCACGTACGTTCCACGTGGCGAGGAAGATCCCACCATGTCTCTATCCGCATTGATCCCACATCCACCGGCCACCAACAAAAATATATAACTAACTAAATACATATATAATATATATATATATTCATACAAAGGGGATGCTCAATAGGTCCCTTTTGTGGGCCACCAACCAACTTGAAAGGCGGGCAAAATATCTCCAAACAAAAGGCACCAACAACCAGGGCCGTGGGACACTCAAGAAGGGAAATCAGCGGATTTGTGGATCGTAACAAAGATGTTCTCACATTCTTCTCAGATTATTCATGCATTTTCATGATGTGTGTTGTGCTTTTTGGAGTCAAAACAGAACCCTTTACTTTTGGGTTGCACACCCAAGTACATAGATCCATCAAACGGAGCTTCCAAGCGTCGCCCCGACAAGGGTCCACTCTTTTCGACCTACACCGCGCAGCGCTGCCACTCCGCTTGTGACACTTTGGTGCCTGGCAGTGGGGGGTCGGCTTTGTACCATCCAAGAACGGTTCAGAGACCTTATGGGACCCTTTTTTGGTGGTATATGGGATAGGATGGGGATAGGCTAAACTGTTACTCTAGGGTTGTGTCTGGGTGGTTCAAGCTCTGTAGGATGCAGTCCACAACATCCCTCAACCAGACAGTGTCTGGTCCTGGAAGTTCGACCAGAAAATGATCAAAAACCACCAACAAAAACATGGTACTCCGATACTCCCAAAGCGTTTCTACAAGGGAGAAAGCCATGGTCACAGTATTAGTTCGTTCACATCCGCACCTGGACTTCGTCCCACGTCAGAACATGATGCATCGCGGCGATGCTGAGAACGCCGCTAGAAAACCAAGGGAGTCAATGCTTCTGGATGATTCTGGTAGGCAACACCTGGGCCTTCTTTTTCACCGCAACACCTGGGAGAACCTCGTTCTTTTACTCGGCGCACAACCAGGCCAGCGAGCGCCGTTGAAAAAGAAGTTCATGTCGACACCCTGCCGCGGGGAGAGCGAAAACCAGCGCACAACTCCGACCAGCGTTCGAGTGGGCGCCACCAAGAAGATCCAAGAAGTAGCCATTGGGTTTAAAAGACATGGCGGATGCAATGGGATGGGTCATGGCACCAGGATATCGACCGGTTCACCTGCAAGGAACTGCTGGAGCGAAGCGAAGCGACATGCTGCGAAGCGACAAGTCGTCGTTCGCTTCATGAAGAGACGTCTCAAGGGTCGGGCGACCGGCTTTTTCACGTGTGCCACGTCAACTTCATCGAGTCTCATCGAGTCGTGTGGAGTCGAGTCTATCGTGGTGGTGGAAACGAGGTGAGGCCGAGAGGACGAGGTGAGGCCGAGGTCGGCGAGGTCGGCGAGGTCGCTTGGAGTCTCACATCCGCCCCTTTGGTGTCCCGATGTGTCCGGAGAGTTGGTTCCGCGCCCCCGCGGGGGTCACCCAGCGGGGAGGTGTTGAGTCGACAGCAGGGTCCTAAGGTCCTACCATCTGGGCCATTCACCATCTGAAGAGATGTTTTTCGTGAACATCTGGAATTTGCTTGAAATCAACATCTGGCCACACCTGGCGCATTCCGGGCCTCCTTTTTTGTTCCGCATCCCGTGCCGCCTTTCTCTCCCTCCGCAGCACCCAAGTTCATGGATCGGAGTTTGGACCTTTTCTCCGAGTGGGTCGACTGGGTCGACTCATTCCATGTCGCTCAGCCAATCCAAGGCCTGGTTGGTAGATTCGACATCAAATCCTTCGAGTCAGAGTGGCACCAATACTTCCTTGAGCTGTCTGCAAACCGAAAAAATGGGGGTGTCTGACAAAAAGCGTCCCTGGATGTCCCTGGCAAATTTGGGACATGCCATGAAAAGACCTGTTATGAACCGTTGAACCAGCTCCAAAAGATTTGGTTCCCTTCCCACCAGTCCACTGCGGAGGTCTTGGGCCCGTCCGTGTGGAGTCCTGGAACCTCCCAGACGAAACGCGACGTGTAGCGTTTTCGGAGCTCGACGAATCAGAGTTTCCCATCACCGACATAGCTTTCTGGCCCAGGGGGTACGGACTGAGCCCGCACCATCCAGAGTCCAAGCAGATGGTCTCCGTGAACTGATCTCCTCAATGTTTGAAAAGACTTTCAGGGACCTTGACGACGGACCCAACTGGATTCCCCCAAAGTTCGAAGGTTGGTCAAGATGTCCGTCATACATATTCAATTATGCAATCATATTTTAATAACATGCAATCAAAAATAGAGACTCCTAAGCCTCCTGCTCATTCCTGCCAGGAAGCCACTTGGAGCAAACATACGATCCGATGGCTTTGAAGTGATCCTTGCTTTCCACCAGCTTTCTCCATCGATTGGTGGCAAAGTCCCTGGAATCTCGAGCTGGTGCTGAAAGATTGCTCCACATTGGCCAGGCCGAAGAAGTCATGCTCCCCGAGAAAAAGGCCGCGCGACCATGCGGAAGACTGGTGGCTGGAAGGGCAAGGGCAGGAAAGCCTTCGTTCCACAACTCCACCACCGGACAGTATTCCCAGTACCTCGTGCTCACCCCATCACAGGACTTCGTGGCCAAAACACCATACAGTTGGACGCGCAGCGTGCGGTGGGGAGCATCAGGGCTGAACATGGAGTAGCGCTGAAGCAAGTCCAACTTCTGCAGAAGCATTTTGGAAGTCGTGCTAGTGGGCGGGACCATTCGAACAACAGCACACTGCTCACCACGCTTCTGACAACCTTCCACGAAGGCCATCAACATCAAAGTGAAACCCACCAAGTTCATACAGCTGACCATGCACCCGCGGCACATGAGCGGCGTGAACTTCCGGGACGAGTGTGAAGTGATGATGAGATGCCGCGCCACGCGGGGCCAGCGAAGGAGAAAGCTTTCCAGCCAATCTAAAAGTACACGTGGCACAGCCACGCACCAAGCACTTAGAACGAAAAGCTGGAAGTTCCCCACGCGAAGCGTCAAGTTGAGACCAAAGTGAAGTCCGAAGAATGCCAGAAATGCCACACATTTTGCCAGCTGCCAAGGACAAAAGGCCAGGATCCAAACATATTTCTCCACGTATAAAGTTGCGTAAGTGAAGAATCGGCACAGCAAGGGAAAGGAAGCTACGAGACCTGCCATAGGCTCTCGAGCATACTGTGTCAACCGCAAGGTCCGCCCGACGGCGTCGCCATTTTGCCAGCCTTCACCGACTTTGGTTGAAGCTGTATATTCATACCTTGCTTTTGATGTGGCAAACAACGAAACACGAAAAGACGAAACCTCAACAGTTTGTGTGGTACTCAAAGTTTTTGTTGAGCCTTTCCTCGATTGAAGTTCTGAAAAAGGGGGAACCCCATAGTCATTCCCCTGCTGAAAAGGACAAGGCTGCCCCACACGGAACTGTGTTCATGTCATGTTCCTTCCAAATTTCGAGGTCCCTGAAAGAAACACCAACCCTTGGACAACACTAAAGATTGGAACAATGATGGTGTTGGACAAATTCTTTGACGCTGGCAAATTCAGTGACACCAATTGAACAAGATTTGTGAGACTGAAAAAGACTCCTAGCAGCTAGCAAAAAAGACCGCGTTCTGACGTGTCCGTACCTGTGTTCGGAGTGAGATGCATAGAAGCAATTTGGAGGAGGATCAAAAACGTGCTCAATGGAGCTGCAGTGTTCCTGAACTCCTTTCGCTCCTTCTTCTTCTCGCTTCCTTCCTCTTGCTCCACCTCAGGCTGCACTGAAACCGTATAAATCCGCTAAACGGAAGGATGAACAGGTCAAATATCAATCAGGTTGCACCCGTTACTGAGGGTTATATACTGAGGGGTTCCTGTCGCCAATAGTAGGGGTTGCCCTGCACCTGCTTGCTTGGATGTAGAGCATCGATTGACCAAACGTCTCCCAAAGGTTGAAACAGCGCCCAAAAGAAAAGATGGCTCCGCAGCTGATCCCCACCATATGTAACGCAGGCATCGAAGCGATGGTGCTCAGAGATAGCGAAGATCCAACACAAGCAGCCACAAATGCGCGTCCAGAAACCCAGCATGAATCCCAGTGCTGCGAAGAAGTTGATCATGAGCAACAGAAAAAGGCTCTCAGGAGCATTGGATGCTAAATAAATGTCCAACATGGCCATGCTTGGAATGTGATCCTTACAAACTCCATCTTTGTCCAGGAAAGCATCCTGGAAACGCAGCAACTCCAGCACCTCTATCACTGTTGCAGCACCTAAGGCAATGCGAAATAAACCCAAGGCCCGGATGTCCAGCCAAAAGTCTGCCCATGAGGCAGAAAGAAATGCAGATCGACGAGCACACCTCTTCCAAGCCGGCAGTTCTGGTCCATCACTTGCCATGTAGCTTGGCTGCAGAGAAAGTTCAGGTCGATCAGGGGGAGTTGAAGTTGGCCGCAATTTATTTGGCCGTGATGTCTTTTGGAGGTGGAAATACAAGGCGCTGTGGCCATTCCCAAAATATCCTAACCCTTGGCCAACCCTCAATTGGTATAGGGGCCATCATGGGCTATCCTTTCATTTTTGCTGCGCTCGAATGCCAGGCTTCATGCAATCAATCTGAACCTCCAACAATTCGCGTCGGGTGTCTTTCTACATGACCGTACTTCGGGGAAGGGGCGAGAACAAGACTGTGGAATTTATATGAAAGGACGTCTCCTACAGTACTTCAGAGCAAATGGCACATGAGGCCCCCTCTAAACAGTTCAACAGGGTTGTGTCATGTACTCTGAACCACATGAAGTGGTGCGATGTGTAGAGTATTCATAGAATGATACAAATTTTACTTAAATGCAGAACTTGTACGAAAACCTCTCTCTCGCGCTTGCTTGCATATTTCTGGCGGAAATTCCACCTCGAAGCTCTGCTCTTTCACAACCAACTTAAAGGCTGAAAGGATGGTCTGTGTGGCAATGGGCAATGCGGTCGTCTGGCATCATACTCCGAGCGACCCCTGAACCTCCAAACAGCTGCGACCCCTGAAAGGTTCTGAGTCAGCCCCATCCCTCCATCGGGAGAGCAAACGCGACTGGCCAATGTAGGAGAACATGAATCAACACCTGTCTCAATGGTGTTCGGGTGTCTGACACTGTGTCTGACCACTGTGTCTAACATATTCAAGGAAGTACTTCTGAAACACCTGACACTGTGTCTAACATCCTCTCTTTTGGAAGTACTTCGTCCCGGGATGTTCAGGGGCACCTGTGTGTCCTTCTTCTCTGCGGCACCAGCAGCAATGCCTTAGAGAACGGCAGGCCACCACACTGGCCACTGGTCACCAAGCTGAGGGCTCCGAAAAACATCTATCAAGGCCTTTCTTCCACTGAAAACTGCTGCTTTTGAAATATATACCAGTTAAGCAAATCATCAGCCAACAGTTCCAAAGGGGTGGTTTTCTGCGTCCCTATCCAGTGGAGCATGGGCACCCCGGTTCAACTCTTCAATAGGTTGGAATTTGGTGTTGGTGTTCATTAGCTGGAAACAAGCCACTAGGATATATTGTATATTGTCTTAATTATATTGTATATTATAATATACTATAGGGAGTACATTATACTACTATATTATATTATGGCATCATGAGTCCGTGCCTGCAAACAACTTTCTTCACGTCCTCTCCTGGCACACGGTCAAAAAAATGTAACAACCACCTTTATGTGCATGGCATCAACCCTTGCAACACCGCAGGTTTGATGCCAAACCGCTCTGAAGGACTCTGAAGAACTCAGCGTTTCACGCACTTTTGGGTGACCCAGCATTTCTCCAGGAGCACTCCACGTTTGTTGAGGTCGACGATGTCATCGCCGCCGCCGATGAACTGCCCTTGAATAAAGCCCTGGCGCCGGTCGCGGATGCGAAAGAACAGCGACGGTTCGGAAGGCTGCAGCTTCGACGGAGGACGGCTGCGGCTTCAGAGGAGGAATCGGTGTTAGACACAGTGTTTGAGCATGGCTAGACACTGTTTCACATCCCAATACATCTGAGACGGGATGTGGAGCGGCATGGGGAAAGAACTTTTGGAAAGCACTTGGGGAACTTGCGAGTTCAGAACCTTGGGGGGGAACTGGTTTCAGTTCTACCAAGTTCTACCCAAACCTACTGTGGGAGTCCAAAGCACGGAAGATTGAACCCAGTGTTTTCATACCAATATGTAGAGGTTTGCAAGAATTAGTCAAGCAAACTACGGTTGTGTTGTGCTCTCGATGGATAAACATTGAATGGTATTGAACATATTTTTGGTAGCTGCTCCAGTGTGCGGCATATCACACACATTTATGGTAAACACACAAACAAATAAAGATAAAGTTAAAACATGTGCGACACCTCCGTCAGCACAAGATTTCCCAAGGGTGCCTCCCTGTTCTTTTAAATCGATTTAAAGTCACTGCCTGAGCTTATGCTCCTTCCGGCCCCTCTGCTGCCTTTGGCACACTCTTCCCAGCATTGGTTTTGGCCTGACGAGTCATCTGAACTACCAGAGTCATCTTGCAGCATGTGTCAGTCGAGAGAAAAACCAAGAGAGGCACCAAACAACTGTTTGTTTGTGTGTTTGTTTGTTTGTTTGTTTTTTCCCCTTGTTTACAGCCACAAGCAACTCGCTCTCCGAATCTAGCTTTTCAGCCCCCTCCCAGCCCTGCCCTCCGTTCGACGGCTCGACCGCTCGAGCGGACCGACCGGTTGGGTGGCTCCAGAGGAGGTCAAGCTACGGAGGAGGTCAAGCGTCTCCCTGGGTCGTTTGGGGCTTCGAGTGCCATGCCCCAGGTGCTCAGCCATTGAATTCTATTGGTACCTGGGATGGTTGACCCGGGGTCCATGGCATGAAGCGATTGGTTTACAAGAGAAGGTCGACGATGGGTCCCAATGTGAAAGTCCCAGTCTCCAAAACTTGAACAATTAATATCTAACTTGAGTTGACCACCTTCTACAACTCTTTGAGCCGAATACACTTTAAAGCTTCCAACTGGTGAAAGAAGAATTCACAACAGACCTGGGGCAGGCACCGCCAGGTATTCTTGGAAGGCCATTGGCTCTTCAACGATGGGCTTCTTCTCCTTGTTCAAAAGACAAGAACGGCTCGTCGCGTGGGTAGCGTCCCATGGGGAGCGAAGTGGTCAAGAGCTCCTGGAATACAATAGCCTGAACAAAAGGCCAAGGTGGGGAAAGTTCTGACTTCCAACAGCTTGATAGACATGCACATATTAATACATAAAAGCGTAAAAAATATATAATATATAATAGATATATATAGTAAGTTATAGTATTATTAATATGATCAATATGTTTGTATTGGTGGCCGTGAAGTTCCAGGTTTTGACACCTGTTTTCAGATCTATCCTTCAGTTCCTTTCTACCAACATTTGGAACGCCTGAAACAAGCGGTGCGGCTTTCAGGGAAGAACAACATCAAAGATCATCAAATCAAATAGGGGATTCTTCTTGCAAGCGCTCCACATGTTCTTTGTTTTGGAAAACACTGTAACACAGAGACACACAGGATATATCAGGATGTATAGGCGTTGCCTCCGAGCATTTATATAAATCATTGGGGAGAGGAACATGGACATGCATGGACATGTCCGTGGATTAGCTGAAGAACTCTATGACCCATCCTTGAAGGATTCATTTTTAGCCCCACAGACCTTTAGCATCTTCAGTCAGTTGAAAAACAAAGACTGGAGGCACGATCTTGACCCAAAGCCATGTCGAGCCAGCGCAGTTCAGAACTTCGACAAGAAAGCGAATCAGATTCGTTCACAACCATGACCTCTCCCCCGAACATGACCTTGGAAGAAAACGCCAACGGGACATGTCCGGGGTCTCCCCCCCTTGGGACCCGTCAGTGTGGCAAACCACACAGCGGCTACTAGTAACAAGAAAGCTACTAGGAGATCCTGGCATCGCGACTCGAACGGAGCGATCGGACGCTACGAACGGGGGCGAAACTGGCCGTACGAACCGAACGGAGCAAGTAGCTACTACGTAGTCCACACACATATGAATCATGACACGAATCGCTGGACGGGCCAAGGCGCTGAATCCTCTAACTCCTCGGAGGCTGAGCCGTTTCGGCGGTTTCGCCGGAGGAAGCAGCTAGGGCTAGCGGCGTGTGGATGGCGCAGATCGCAGATGGCACACCCAAGGTATATTTGGCTCTCAAAGACTGGTTGGTGCACCTAGGCCATCAGTCAGACTAGTTTAGTGGGACTAGTTGACTCCCACCCTCTTCCCACACAGGCGGCTTGAAAAGGTCTTGATCTGTCCTTGGGTCTACTAAGACCGGGCCATGTCACCAAGAAACCGCACACCTGGTCAAATCTTGTTTTTGTACCAGAAGACATGGTTTATTGAAGAGCCAAAGCCATGGTACCTTCGTCAACGGAACTTGAACATGCCTAACCTTGCCAATGAGACACACGGAGAGACTAAAAAGGGTCCAAGAAAACAGCCAGTTGATCAAACATCTTAGACATATACTGACCTAACATTCGTTATTGAAGAGAAGAGCCAGTTCATCAAACATATATGTTCACTATTGACCTAATTAACTTAATCACACGAGCTATTCTGAGACCACAAGAAAAACCGTCTTTTGGGTCGCTCCGAAGGGCCCGAAGAGAGTGGTGTGCCCGACATGGCATTGAAGAGGCTACTATTTGAGTTGATATCATTGGCACACGCACGTCACACATCTCTGCTTCGATACATCTTTCAACAAACATGGAACGACATCCCCGTTGCTACCAGAAAGTGAGGTCAGCACACCCATATTACATTGAAATGGGTCCACTAAAATGACTTTCACAAAACAATGGTCTTACGAGTCATTTAGTTAGGAACATGTAAAAAACGGTCAGTTCTTGTCAAAGTAATGACTGAGCTAGCTATCATTTGACCAACCAAGAAATGTGTCGGTGACATCTATTTTATATAAGGATATAACATGCCCAAAAAACGTGGTCGACAACCCTCATTTTAGGATGTCGGTATATAGCAACGAGGATCATGTCTACAAGATCTATAAGGTCATTTTTTGAGAGGACTTCTGAGACCCCAAACAAGCCACAAAACCGCCAATCTCCGTAGAAAAAGGCCACCAAACAGCTTCTCAGAGCAACGGGTGGACGGTCCTTGATGAAGATCGAGGCCTCGATGCTTTCGAAGGCGTCCTTCGCCTCAGGACGTGGCGTTCGACACCACTGCGGGCTGTCGGGGCTGTCGGGACCCGATTCTTGCGGGGGAGAAAGGATGATGGAAAGATGAAAAAGGTTGAAAGAGCCATCGTTGCTGGAAGTCTCTCTCCATCATTTCATGAAATGGACAGATGAAACATCCATCATGTTTGTAAAGTCTCTGCTTTCTCCACACCAAGTTGAATGGTTAACTCTGTCAGGTCAACGTCGGTGGAGCCTTCCCCCCAAAATGGATGTTGCATGATGTTGCTTCATTGGTGGAGCCTCTCAGCACCTCTACAGGCTGGAATCGAATCGAAGCAGCATATACAGTAATATATATATATATTTGCCGAAGTTCCCAGGAGTAGGCAAAAACAATTCTTCAAATAGAAGATGCTCCAACCAATCAGATGCAGTCTATATAACCAGGGTCAGTAACTTATGTTTTTGTCTATGTCAATCTATGTGGTCAGCGACACTCCCTCGTCAGGTTGTGGTGTGGCAGGTCAGTTTGATAGTCAGCCAAAAGGGGCCGGACGTAGATCTTCAGTCTCTTTTGAGCCCTTCTTAACATGAAGGTACATGGAGTGAATCTATACATGCAAAGAACGTCCAATGGGTCAGCACACAACTTATTCACTTCCATTGGACATCCTTTCGTTGGTTGTCTATATATACTATATAGGTGCAAATACTAGGAAATACCTCAAGCTTAGCGAGGTTTGGGGTCGGGTTTTCTTAGTCAACACAGTCCCTCTTCACGAGCAGTGCCGTCGCGAGCGTACGCATGCGAGCACATGTGCCACCCGCCTTTTTGCAAAAAGGGCACCATTCCTTCGAAAACAAGACCTCGGGGACTGAGCTTCTGATCAAAGGACAAGCAGCTCTTCCGTGAAAATGCGTGTTTCTGAATTTCTGACCCAAATGTTTTAGGCTCATGCAACGCCATCGTCCCTGGAAAGTCTTCTTGCAACATCTACAAAGAGCACTATAAACAGGGCATAACAACAATCTTCACATTTCCAGGCAGCCCTGAAACATGTTTTCTTGACTTTTGGATTAGCCCTGCATAATTCTGCATAGCTCTGCCACTTTTGGGGGGATGGGTGAAACAAGAAAACGTGTGAACACCTCAACAAACCCGGGATCCCCACCATCCATCACACTAAGCGGCTTGGATGTTCATCGTAAATGGAGGCAGTTCTTTCCAATGGAGGCATTGGGACTTGGTCCACAACAAGGTCCCCACATAGAAAACGATGTACCATACAGAACATACATGTCTTAATTTGTTGAACCATATTTATAAGAGGAGATCTGCCTTTCTGCCTTTCTACCTGAAACTTTTGACAGTTCCACCCATGTCCGACAAGCTCATGATGAGCTCTTGTTTCGGAACTGGTTGAGACCCCCTCGCAAAGAAAAGAAGAAGAAGAAGAAGAAGAAGAAGAATATATAGGAAGAAAAAACAAACAGGGCGGACAACATGAGGGATCCCTTCAATTCCAACAGAAACAACATGAAACAAACTCCAAAAGAACAGGTGCCCAAGTGGTGAACACAAACGCTGGGACCGCTGGGACCTCGACTCATGGACCGGATGGGGCTTCAGGCCCTGCGCTGCCAAACACCGTTCTTCACCAAGCTGCTACAGAGTGCTTGGAGAGTAGCTCTTCCACCTGCAGGTTGGATCAGATCTCCCTCGGCTTTCTTCTTCCTTTATCAGCAATCTGAAGGCAGCAAAACTTATTCTTGCACACAAAAACCACATGGGGCCACACTAGAAACAACAGTCCTATAAATATTAACCTCTAAGATCCCGCAGGGGGATCCTCTAAATTCACTCTGTTCAGATATGCAAAAGCATGCGGGCACTGTTCACACCTCAAATGGTATATCGGATTTCATAGGATTTCATCGTCGGATTTGCGTCGCCTGCTTCCCCGCCAGAGCGATCTTGTCGATTCGCTTCCCTCTCGCTGCCCAATCTAGTGCCTCGCATTCGCGCAACCGGCGCGCGCCGTGCGGGCGCCGAAGAGGCGCAGGTCGAGTGGGTTTTGTTGCTGACCCTACCTCAAAATCACAATCCTTGGAGAGTCCTGGTGTGACCCCCCCAAACACAAGGAGGTTTGATCATCTTAAACATGTCCCAAACACTACATGTATTGCATATTTACTTACATTGGAGTGGTTGAAAAGGGATCATTGCATAGTAATAGGTGGTTTTTCCCATGGTTGCCATACATGGAGCGCCTGGGTGATTTCAACCCTGATGTTCACTGCTACCTTCCTTATGTCGGCCCATTGCTTCGCCTTGCCATCGTAGTTGGTCACTGCTTCGACCACGGCCGGCAGCATTGTCTCTCGCGAGACGTAGCACATCTCGTAGCCTCAACGAGGAAAGGGTGGCAACCAACACGTCTCGGGGCAGTGGCAACCAACACAGGGGGGACCATGTTTTTTGTGTTCTGAAACCGCTTTCTGTCGTTGTTGCACACCTGGGTTTTGTAGACATGTCGCCAGTGGTGACATGTATGAGGCTCTCTTGGTCTTCTACGACTTATCTATCTGTCTGTCTGTCTGTCTGTCTGGCTGGCTGGCTGGCTGGCTACCTACCTACCTACCTATCTCATTTCCAAGCACCCATTCATTAGGAAACCCGCCACCATCGAAGTATTATCATGTATTATCTCTATAACTATCTATATATAACTCCCAATGTTTAGGTCTTTCTTTCAGTCTTCTTTTCAGTCTTTCTCATGCTTCCCGTCTTTCTTTCTAATTTTGGTTCTTTTCTTGTCTGTTCTGTTCTTTTCTTATCTTTCTGATCAATCTATATATGTCTGTCTATCAATCTGTCTATCTACCTATGTATCCATCCATTCCATCTACCTACCTACATGCCTATAGAGTTACTTAGACTCAGCGCATGTGCTGACTGAACACTCAAAGGACCATTATGATGTATGTCTGCTTGGCTTGAAGAGTGGCTTTTGGTGTTCCTTTTCATCATTGTTTCCCAAAAACATCTGGAGCTCAACGTGGAGCTCAACGCTCCAAAAGCCACCTCAACCCCCCTTGTCACACTGTAGAATGAACAAATAAGACCAAAGCTGTGGGTTCTTTCTTTTCTTTTGGACTGCCAGGAGAAGACCATTCCAAAAGCAACGTTCGATTCCGAAGCCGTTCTGTGCCGAGAAACCATCAATGTCCCTTGCGATGAAGATGAAAAGAGTTCCGAGCTTCTCCTGCAGCGGAACGTCCAGTTGACTTTGGATTGCTTCTGCAGGACTAGGGCAAACTTCCCAGAATGCGCAACCAATGGAGCCTAGCATGAGTCACTTCACAAATGTTTGGGGTAAGGACCTTCAGTTGGCCCCATCGTCTACGAATGCTGGAATAGATATGCAGGAATGACATGGAATAACCATCATCTACGAATCCAAGCAGAATTACTCACTGAGCTGAAGTGGGGCAAAGGCACCGACCGTCTTGGTTGGATGACTTTTGATTTCCAACCTCACGAGATCCTTCCCAAATGAACACAGCATCTGCACGCAGTGCTGCCGCAGTGCCTCTTGACCTGTCATCCCCCCCCTTTTCCACCGGTATGCCTCAAAAGCAGGAAAAAATACCACAGCAGGATACAGGTGTGAACATTGAAGCAGCAAAGCACCCAGATTGGGAGCTTCATCTAATGCCGTCCCATCCCTTACCAGCTGTTCCTGTTACCACCCCTCCGACTTTCCCTCAAGACCATTCTCTCACACCGCCTCCCAGACCCAAGACGCGACCACCGCGGCAGGCGCGCCTGGAGGGAGATGGGCCCTCCGTCGCCCTGATGCCTGGGACGACTGACCGATGCGGACAAGGACTGGACTGACCGGTGAACGAAGCTGAAAAGAGGCGGGGTTTTAGCCGAAAAGATGCTGTTGGGGATGGAGAACTAGTATGGAGAGAGCTGTTTTGTTCTTTTTTGGCAGGTTCTTGAGATGGCTATGGGGGTGATTATAATTGTTGAGGGATGCTCCAACTGGTGTGACTGGGGATGATTTGCTCTGACATGTCATTGAAGATGACTAGTCATGACCAAGTGGCATTTCGATAAGCACGGGGAAATAGGAAAAAGATGGGAAAAGGACCAACCCAGTCACTACTCCACCTGTTACCTGATTTCCAAGCTATGACTCTGGCTCGCCAGGCTGTTGTGATTCCAAGCGTCGTTGGGGGCTGCAGACCCTACCCTCCCGAACAAGGAAACACGCATGGAACCCTAGGCTACACCCGCATGGAACCCTCCTGTTGCAAATGCAGTTTTTTCTCAGGGGCACGTAATTCAAATTTGGAAACCACAATCTCTTGGTGCCAGCTCCTATGCTCCCTATGCTCAAACACCTATTTTTCCCAGCGTATGTGTCCAGAGTCAACTCATTTGAATCAACACCAAAACTATCTGCTCACTCCTTGCTGTGACTAATTACCGTATGTGGGCAAGTCGTACTTGGACCGAGTGAAGCTTTGGACGTCGAAACCTCCAGCACGGTCGCATCATCCGAGTCGCATGATCTTGTCCGGAAATTCTTTCTGGTACCTCGCAGCAAAATACAGGACTGGTGCAACTGATACCTACGCAAGTACATACATCGGATACGTCGAATGGCTCGTACCAATGACCCTCACGGGGCGAGGGTACGTGATGGTACATGACACCGGAGTTCCATTGAATGCAGTCTGCACTTTTTTTGTTCACAGGCGTCTACAGCGTCTGACGGGGGGCCTGATGGACCCCTCGTGTTCTGAAGACTCACGTTGGAGATGTCCTCATGCCAAACAGTCAAAACATATCCAAAGCTTGCGGTAGGTTTCTCTGGGCGTAACATAGTTTAACATAGGTTACATGTGTATATATATATATAGATGTTCATGTTTCTTTTCTCCCCATGAAGTGGTTTGATGTAAATGTGCGCTGTCATGTAACATAATATACCGTGGTCTCAGAGCAGATGGCACAATTCCCAACTTTGGTGTTTAGAAGGACCCCTTTTTTACTTTTTTAGAGACATCCTTGGGTGCCAGTGCCATCTACTCTAACACCACTGTAACACAATCACCCAGTACAAACATGAGCTTGTCAATTGGATGTCCAATGCGCGGGTCACCCGCAAGGTACCCCGAACAGTCGACCCAGTTAGTCCGCTGCAGTTCACTAGAATGAATATCATCTTGGCATTGATATGGATTGATAAACTATACCGGATACGTCTTCCGTGGTATACATCTGAACCTATTAATCTGCACTTAAACAATCAACAATGTACATACTCGGGTGCCTTAAGTATATTTAGAACTCCCCGCTCATTCCTTCCCAGCCATTTGGCTCTCGAATCTCACATGATCTGGGATCGACGCACCACAGGTCTTTCCTATATCCGAACGCGGGTCGACACCCGATATCCGACAGCCTTGCATGCAAAGCTTTGATTTGCTCTGCATCAAGTCCTCGGTGTGGGAAGCAGTGAGGGTTGATGCGGCACGAGCTGTTTCAACACTGTTTTTTTCCGGATCTTGCAGTCTTGCCTTTTCTCAAACGTTTAAACGTTTTATTGAAACCATGTTTAACTGTTTAATAACTCCCCTTGAAACATCTTGGAACTTGACCCATAGGCCCTGATAGGCCATTGATAGACCAAAAAAGACACAAAAACGACTTCAACACCATGAGAGCGGATTCAACACAATGAGAGCGGGTTCAGGGTTCCTTGATTGGCGGTTGCCATACCAGGTTGGGGTGCCATACATAGGCTCCTTGATGGGCTCCTTGGAGGTCCGTGGTTTGGTATCGCGATGCATGATCTTGCGGATCAATTACCACAATAACCCTCCCTGTCACACTCATTGTTACATGGCTCATGGACATGGCATGAGCCCTATTTCAAACAGCACGACCTCCCAAGACCCCCAAAAAGGGGAGAACGACCTTCTTTACGGCAGGATTGGAGCGAGGGTCTCTGTCGTGGATTGGAGCGAGGGGATGAATTCATGCTGATTCATCCAAGAAGGTCCGTGGACCTTCACATCATCTCCTTCCAAGCGTTTGTGTCAGCTGGCAGCCAGCAGGGGCACCCAGGGCACCCACTGGGCACCGAAGGGTCAAAGTACTCTGAAAGGTCTTCTACAGTAGCAGGTCTTGCATTAGCAGAACTTCTGAGGGCTTCTTCCCCAATCTTGGTTGCATAGTAAAAATCATGGAACATCAGGCCAAGACTCCCAAAGCGTGGCGGCCTTCCCATGGAGTGATTTCCGGTTTCTGCCCGTCCTCGTACCACACCTCAGTCAGCGACCCAGAATCCGAGCCCTTCGGGAGCCTTTGATGATGGACACCGACCAACCAGGTAGCTGAGGTCACAGCGACTCAACTAGCTTGTTTTCATGGCTCTATGGATGGTTCCATGGATGGTTCAATAGATGGTTCCATGAATGGCTCCATGGATGGTTCCATGGTTTTGCATGAATGGTGCAATGGATGGTTTCATGGATAGTTCCATGCATGGCTCTATGGATGGTTCCATGTATGGTTCAATGGATGGTTCCATGATTGGCTCCATGGATGGTTCCATGATGTTCTAGGAATGGTGCAATGGATGGTTTCATGGATAGTTCCATGCATGGCTCTGTGGATGGTTCCATGTATGGTTCAATGGATGGTTCCATGAATGGCTCCATGGATGGTTCCATGATTGGCTCCATGGATGGTTCCATGATGTTCCATGAATGGTGCAACGGATGGTTTCATGGACCTTCACGGGCACTGTCGAGTCAGTGGTGAGAAGCTGCCAGCCATGGGAAGAAGCCTGAAGGCTGTTGATCCACACCAGGAATCGTCCCTAAATGGTCAGAGAGCAACACTTGTGCACTGCTAGGCCAGAGAAAAAAGAAAACAAAAACAGAACAAGGAACACACCCCTGCTGGAATGCTGGGCATGATGCAATGAACTCATGGACCAAACACATCACGTAAGTTTAATTCCTGTGCACAAAGGTGCAAACACAAACACACACACACACACACCAACTCAAAAGCCCAAACTGCCCGACTGGCACACCTGCTCAGGTACCCTCTTTCCATCTCTTTTCCATGAAAATGACATCCCCGGGCCCCACCCATCCCCTGAGGTTGGCCGATCAGTCAAGCTCTTGAAGTGAAGAAACCAGCAGCACGGGTTCACGTTGATGAGGATGTGTCTTGGAGGTGTAGCCTTGGACACAGGAAAAGAGGCCATTCGACGATTAGCGAGTATATGTAGTGTGTATAGCACGTGTTGCAGTCTTCTAAGACATAAGTGAACCCATTGGTGATCCCCAAAGAATCACCAGGGGTTCACACAGCTTCCCTTGTACGCAACTTGTACACACTTAGTGTTGCCTCTTGCTCACCCAGCATACGTGTGTAGCTCACCTGTCTTCAATCCCTCCACACGATTTCACAACGCCACAGCTCTTCACCTTTCCTCGATCCTCGAAGCGCCAAGCTGCTCACCGCCGCGGTCTTGCCCGCACCCGTCGCTGGCTTCACGTCGGAGGGGACGTCAGCATCTACCATACCCAAGACCTCACGCGGGATGCTGAGCTCATGTGCAGCTCCAGCTCAAGCTGGCCGAGCTGGAAGCTACTGGCCGCTGTGTGAAAGAAATCAGTCCAGTGATGGGATGTGATGGGTGCATCTTATCGTTTATAATTGGATGTAGATCTCATGGATGGAATTCTCGCGGAAGAAACCCTTCTTTTGCGTGAGAAAGCACCGTTCTTTGGAGGTTCTGACTTCAGAGATTCTTCGAAGCTCGGATCCGTTCTAGGATCCTTCGTTCGAAGCTCGGATGTTCCACGAACCGGTCGAATTTCTTCCATAAATAGATTTGTAATTGTTAAGAGCAATCGATATAATATGGTTGAATGTGTCTTCAAGCATGGCAGCAAGTTGGAAAACCATGTGGCACAACAGTGCTGTAGCACAAGGCTACAGCGGTCCAAGCCCTCCCAGCTCTGTACAGCAGTCATGCATAGACCCTGACAATTTGGAACAGTAGTAGGTTTTCCGTTTGTGTGTGCACGCGTTTTCACAAGATTGATCGGGGGTTATCGTATTTTTCCTTATCGCTTTACAGGGGATTGAGCATGCTTTCAGAAAAGCGGACATGTGAATACTAATTTCTTACATGGGGGTGATTTTATACTCTCTCATATATGTAATCAACATATTAAAGCAAACTCTGATGAGGGGCAGGGTCCTCAGTACCAGCTCTGCAAAGAAACTCCTTGCATGGGGATCATCATGAATCATCCAAATTTACAGACGCGACATCACGGGAAAACGAATCCACAGTTTACTGCGAACGCGAAGAAGCCGTGATCTATACATAGGTTTACCTTCCACTATACTGTTCGCGTATACTGTTCGCGTTCGATTCCACAGTTTACCTATACTATGTACGTTTTCTGCCTCCTTGTAGAAGCCCACGGTCTGGTCCAGGTTTCCCGAGCGGCACATCACCTCGGGCGGACGCTGGCAATCCTGGGGCAGGGAATCCTGAATGATCCCAATACCTTCTCAAAAGGGTCTCCAATCACCCTCTCAAAGGGGATTAGCAGGATCCAACCGGGTAGCAGATTTATATAGATTCCTTACGTGACTTAGCCGCTTGGGGATATTGGATACCTTGGATGAGCAAACTATTGAATCCCTTTACGCCCAGAATCTTAAAGTGGACGGAGCTCATCAACCTCTGCGGAGTGAAGGGGTGAGCGGAGCGCAGGCCCGCGGGCCCCGCCTGACGGGGTGAGGGGCACGGCAGGTTGTAGGGCTGAAGGAGCTGCTCACGAATTGCTCCATCTGCACCACTTCCAGTGATTTTCAGGAGCGCGCTATTGCATCAGTCCCACAATCCTCATATCCTCTGAACTGCAGCAGCCGGCACATAAAGGAAACGTTCACTGCGATCAGCAGGCAGTGGCAGAAGTCGAAAACCTCGGACTTTCATCGGGGCCGATCGACTCGAAGGAAGCATCGACCGGTGCCGACCTTTGTCGAGGTGAATCAGTCGAGGTCCCAGTCGAGGTCGAAGTCAACGGAATCTTGTCATGTTTCTTTCTGTTTTGGATAACGAGGATCAAGACAAGGTGATTGACCAAGTGGTGTGCCTGTGAAACATGGGACAAATATGGACAAATCCTGGATTGTTGCTGAACACATATGATAATCTATTCTATCTATTCTATTCTATTCTATTCTATCCATTCTATTCTATCCTATCCTATCCTATTCTATCGTTCAAATCTATTGCGCATATAGGCGGGATGCCAAAACATGTTGTAAACACCTGAAGCTTGCCATGTCATTCTGATCGAAGAGCTTGCAATAACTGGAGGTGCTAATCCAGAGACACGGCATTTGCTGGTGCATTGATGCAAAAGACGAGTTGCATGTGGGTTCCCCAAAACTACGGCCACTGAGCGATGGCACAAGAGCCCCCAGTTTTCGGTCGTCTATTGGGATCCTCATCTAAAGACATCTTCGGGTGCCAGTGCCATCTACTCTGAAACAACTCTAGTCACACTTCTTGGAGACCAATCACCATTTCCACGGGTTCTTGTTGTCAGTGCGGGGGTCCCCAGTCCCCGGGGCTAGGCAGGTGATCCCCCCGTTTCCTGGGGCTTCCCAGAAGCCAACTTCGCCCAGTTTCGCCCAGGAGCGATAGCAGTCAGGACCAATGATCGTGCCATCGGGCACCTGACCATCCCCCCCAGCGCGTGGCCATGTGCGCGGGCACGTGATGGGGCGCGGGCATGTCGAGTTTGAGGAACTGGGGGACTAGTCCAGGTGAAGTCGGATGATCTCATACCACAAATGAAGAGAACCATCTGCTTCAGTCCCACCTGAAAACGATGGCCAAACTCTCACAAAGGAGGTCGGTGGGTTGGAGGCTTCGAGCATTGAGTCCATCCAACTTTCATCGCCCTCGTGCCTCTCCATAGCCCAGCTTGCTAGCAGCCATCTTGGCTGCCTTCACATCTGGCCTCAGATCTCGGATCTGGATCAAAGCTTGTGAAGGTGGATATCTCCTGGCTGGCTGGAGCATGTCAAAGAGGTGGAGATCTAAATCTTCAATCATCTATCATCACGTTGGAGGACATCTGTATATAACTGCTGTAATCTTTTTGGAAGCTCAACAAGTCTTGTTTGTGACATGGACAACCCGCAGGCCCGTCTTGATTGGGGCAAATCGTCGGAAGGTTTCTCTGCCTATCTCCAAGTTGAACAGAAGTTCCTCTGAAGCAGCTTCTCAAGCACAACCCAGCCTGGCTGTCCATGGGTCCTTTGCTAAGGGTTTAACTCGGTTTAACCTTTTGAAGTGGTCCTTTACGAAATCCCTTCTCAACCAAAGGGACTAAAGGATGCTAAGGGTCCAAGAGTACGCCTGAGGACAGTCAAGCCATGATATCCATTTGGGTTTCTCTTGGAATACTGTTCTGCCCGCTCCTGACCAATGTTGGCTGTCTAATTTCTCCAGCTGGAGGGACTCCACTCAAACACTCGCCGGGTAAGACCGCAATGGTTGTCCATGAGTTTGATATCGTGCTGTCTGCCATGTCTTGTCTGATGTAGAAATATCAGAAGGGGTGGCAAGGAATCCAAAGACATGGCCTGATGTGGGCTGTGCGAAAAGTAAAGAACGCGGCACAGCCTCAGCCCTACCAAAAAGAAACCGCCATCGACTCCGTGCCTTTCGCCGCCTTTCGTGTCGATTTCGCCGAGGGGCACGAAAATGCCGAACTCCATCAAGCCCTTGCCGGGCTTGTAGCTCTGTGGATCGTCTAATCCTCGAGGCGGAAGTCTTGGCTTGAAGGCTTGCTCGCCAGGAGCCCATCACCCACGAAGAAAGGGTGCGCATTGCAGTGTTACTGTAGTAGTGTGTAGTGATATTAAATTCTAGACCAAAACTCCGGGGTGAAGCTGTCAAACTCCTGTAGATACCTAAGCACATCCGTAATCAGCAGTTCCCATCGTGATAGGTACGCAAAACCGCTGCAAACCAGTATGGAGCGACCCCGTAGAACCCCCAAATACCCATCATATATAGTGTTGGGCAAAGTAACTGCAGCTTTAGTCCTGTGCAGCTCTGCGGGTTGTGAGGTGCTTTGAGCTGGTTTCAGGATACCCATCGTAGCGTGTAGCCTTAGTCAGCTCACAAATGGGCTTCTTTTGGTAGGTCATGTCACACCCCGAGGAGGGACTTCCTTCACAAAACCGGCCGGAAATAGATCTACACCGAAGCGCCACAGCAGCTCCAAGCTATATGGCTATAATCCGCAGCCATGTGACCAAAAGAAAGACCGCGGATGGTCTCGGATTGTCCAAGGATCCATAGTTGTACGTCAGCTCCATGCAATAGGCCCGGTCCTACGCCCACTGGACACACCATCGACCGATCGACAAATTCGATGACCGAGACCGCTCGAAGAGAGGAGCAAGTAATTATGTCAGTCATATTATCAGTCTTATGTCAGTAATCTCTGAAGATCAGATTTATTGAACATGACTGCCCCAGTTCTTTGGTTCCTGAGATTTTTGGGATGACTGGGGTTGCCAGGGATTGCCAAAGAAGCTTGAACAGGTGTAGCTTCATATGAACATTGGCCGCTCAATGCAAAAACAGTTGATGGAACAATCATCCTGAGTCACACGACCTTTCTGCAAGACACCATAAGACACCCATTAAACCTGCACAGGTGTCCTCAAAAGATTCACTGACCAATGATAAGCTCAAAAAGAATCTCAATAAGATTCACTGTACCGAGAAACCTCCAGGTCATAGCCCACCATGGTCTTGCTCCATGCAGTTTTGAAGGGCCCATTGCAGGTGATGCCTTGTGGCCCGGGAAGCGTGGTCGGAGGATCAAGCTGAGACTTGCCAAAGTTATTGACCCCTAGCAGTAGATGTTGACGATCAATAATCAATAAGAACAACAATAATCTATATTCCAGGCAAGTTCCAACCTCTAGGTGCAAGCGGCTGGTGTGTGTTGTATGATTCAACTTGTGCTTGAAGGTTGTTACAGTGTAATTATAGCTGAAAAGAATCCATAGACCCCTTGGAAGCTGCAAAAACACCACGCCCAGGTCGGTTTCAACACAAACAAAAGCAGTGGTGGAAACTGGGAGGTGATAACCTCGGAGCAATCTATTCTGCACAAAGTTCGTTTTGAGCAAGCCATGCAGGTGAGAACTGCAGCCTGAACTACGTCGAAGACCTGTTCGAAGCTGTATCAGAGTTCCATGTCAGTTGTGGAGTCTAACTACTGCTTGCTTCAACTGATCAGTAGCTGAAATCATCGGTTGCCTGCTTTAGTGGCCACTGGATGCGCTAGGCGTTCCACACACCGTCCCACTTAAACCCCTGGTGCAAAAAGGCCGTTGGATCATGTGAAGCCGTGTCAGCCATGTGAAGCCTATATATGATGACGATGAACATCACCGATAGCCCCCGTTTCAGGATGATCTTGAGCATCACTGATAATTCCAAGCGGAAGAGCGTTAAAGAACCATAAAGAACCTATAGCTACTTTTTCTCAGCGAACTCTTATGATCAATTCAATCAAACACCAGGGCCAGGTCGTTGCGCGCACGCAGCGCGAAATCCCACCTCAGGCGCTTGTGTTCTCCTCGTGCCGCAGCACACGCCTTTGTTCAAAAGACTCGTGGTGACACAGACGTGAGAGGATAGGGGAAAGGTGGCTAGAGAAAAGGCGGGGCAGCTGTTTAACAAAACAAGCGAGTGAATTCCTTGCTGTGTCTTGTTCAAGTTTCAGCATCGTTCAATCGTGGTCATTTCTACGACAGGAGGTATACTTCACCCGGTTCAAAGAACTCCGGTAACCGGTCGAAGCTCTGTTCTCTGGGATGGTGGGCGGCCCTAGCAGCTATTACAGGATCGAATGATTGGACTGCGACATTCCGAGGCAAAGCATGGCAAAACTCATCAGCTACGATTTGATGCTTTCTTCGTCCTAGAGCGACCGAACCCGCATGATGAAACCACTTCCGATCTTTCCATCTGTGGAGTCTGTACACGCGGACTCCGAGGATCATCCGTACCGGTGCTTCACGGACGGTCCATGAGTCTGGAAAAGGTCATCTTGACGGTGGAAAAGGTCATGTTGACATCATGAAATAACATGAAAAAACTATCCACCCGAAACCCACTCGCGATCGGTCCACACGGTCGCTACTAAAGCAAGCCCTGACAAACTGGAAGGTGGGGTACTATATAAAGCCACCCGAAACAAGAATGTTCTACAACGCCAAACTGCAGAAGTCATTTTTTTTACAACTGCAAAGGTCAGTGAGTTGTCTTGGTCGGCCAACAAAGGTCAGAGCAAACCAAACCTGCGTAAACCTTTCTTTTCCAGCCCACAAAACAAGTCACTTGAAAGATCAGGTACAGTCTACGTAAAACATATAGGTATATATTTCAATGGTTCATACAAAAACCTAGGCCTGCACCATTCTATAGGCCTCACCCCCAACTGCTTCTTCATCCACCAGCTGGACGTCTAAAAACCCATTGGAACTTCAACCCCTGGGCCAGCATCCGCCAAAAACCTCTCAGCTAACGCACGTTCCGGCCCGGGGCGCATGCCGAGGACCTGCTCACAAAAGTCCAAGGTGGGCTTCCTCGGACCGAGGGACCGACTGGATCAAGAGACCTGGATCGATCTCGGACCCGGCGGAAGCGGGTGGAGCGTGGAGCGTGGAGTTGAAGTGGAGAGTACCGTGAAACAGGTGGAACTGGAGAGACCAGAACGAGAGACAAGCATAGCTCATCATATCTCCATATATATATATATATCATCCTATATATACCTGCATCCTGAATGTCCTTCGTTTTTGAAGGTCACTTTCAAGATTCGTCCCTCGCTTCGAAAGGCTGCCTTTTGACCAAAAGGGCGTATTTTGGAAAAGACCTTTTTTTGAAGATTGGTGGCATCCATTGTTCAGGATCAACCTTTGAACACCTAGGATCAGTATCACCCACATGACTACCATGACCTTATCATGAAACAATCCCTATCATCATCGATCGGTCTTGGGCGGGATCCTTGCCCAGCATCGTGTCCCATCACCCTGCCGGCCACAGCTGCAGCGTGCAGCATCTTTTTCCGGCCCGCGCTGGGCCGCGTGTCTGGTTGAAGGGTCTGGGACCTCAGCCAGCTGGAGTTGAATGAGTTGATGGCGGTCTTTGGCAGGAGATGATAGCTCTAAACTTGACTTGGGGGACCCAAGTTCTTAGGCACTTTGATGGTGTGTTGTAAAATCAATGGAAGTATCAATGGAGCCATCTTGAAAACAACAAGTCAACTGCCATCTTGGGGATTGTGACTGCAAACATGCAGCTTGTTCTCTTCCATCCCCAGACCTTTTTTTGCCCAAGCTTGGTGCTCAGCCAGCCCTGTCCCATGGCTTCTTTGAAGGGAGTGGTTGATGAATGGGATGATTCCCAAATCGTTCGGCAACGGATTCGTGAGCAAGGGAAGCTGCTCGTGCCCGTTCCGACCGAAGCGGATGTCCGTGTGAATGTGGAGTGTGGTGAGCATAACTTTAAAGCTCTCAAACCCTTGGTTCGAAGACTCCAAGACCCGCCTGGACAAGTGGGGATGCATTGCGTTCCTCACATCGAACAGATGACACTTTGCTGGACTCACAACATGTTTGAAGTGTTTTTGTTTTAGTTTCCCTGAAAGAAACATGGGAAAATTACCTTACTTCAAACACCTCCTGATCAATTGCTGCAAGATTATACTCTCTCTTTTGGCTTTCAAAAGCCCACTCAAGGATCAAACAGCTGTACTTGAAGTCGAAGGTCTCTACACCATCCAACAAACTGGTCAAGAAGCAAGCTAAGCTTGCCAAGGCATTCTTGGTCTTGGTTAAGCGAAAGCTCCAGCGTGATCAACTTTGCAGGGGAAAGCTGTTTAGGAGGCTCTTGGCCTTGGTCTTCGATCCTGAGGACTTGTCCAATCCCAGTGTGTTCTCACTGTAGCTGTTCAATGTTGGCTCAACAGTTAACTTGTTGATGGCAAGTGTTGGGATTTAAAGGTTCATGGTCCTAGATGGCGATGCATACATAGCGTGAACCATCAACTTTCAATTCCATTGGAGGATTCATGAGCAAGGGAAAAACTACTTCTGTATTTTACCCACTAGCATGTTGAATACAATGCTACTGCTACATGGCTTCTTGACCCCCGCAGCTCCAGCGCCAACTGCCAGGAGAAAAACCTCCACAATGACTCGCAGACTCAGGAGCCCGACAGCCAGGTCTTTGGTGACAACGATGCAGACCTGGATGAAGAGATCGATGTGTCCGATTCCGATGTCGAGGTGGAGGAGGAGGAGGAGGGTGTGAATGATGACGTGGATGCGGCACTCATGGATGTGAACGGAGAAGGGGAGGAGGAGTTGGAAAAACATGATCTTGATGCTCTTGATCACGATGTGCAAAACGGCACCAGAGAGGAGAATCCGGAAGTTGAAGAGAGTGAGGAGGCTAAGGTGCTCGGAGGCATGGTGAGTATGGAGTTCAACTCCAATGAGGATGAAGGTGATCGTCCCATGGCGTTGGATGACACCTCCAGGCTTGAGATGGAGCCCGAGCCCACCCCGGCTGAAGTCATCGAAATTGGAGACAGCCCTGGCCCAACAACCATGAAGAGTGAGGACAAACAAAAGCTGAGAGAAGGCTTTTTTTGTGACTTTGTCACAAGACGGGCTGAGATCGAAAACCATATCTCGGCGCTTTCCATGAAATTGAACAATGCCAAGAAGCTGTATGCGTCTCAGCGCCTGGATCTCATTCACACATATTTTCTAACACTATGTGGTGTTGTTGCTTGATGCTCACTCACATGTTCGAACAATTCTTTTCCACCAGAACTTTTCCAATATTCAATAGTTGATTCAACAAAAGAGCGCTTGAAATGCGGGCTTTGATCTAATTCCTCATTTATCCCGAAACAAAACTACAACAAAAGGCTTCAGGTATCTTTGGATTGTCTACTTTGGGAGGGTTTAGTTGAGGCGTGCGCAGCAAGAAGTTCAGCCAAACCCGAAGCGTGAGACTTCCCAAGACGCAATCTACGTGATGGAGAGTATCCCATTTGGTGGTGATCAAGCTGACACACTTCTACTGCCCCCTAGTGACATGGAGGCTATGTCCAAGAACCATGCTAGTGACCCTGGGACTACAGCATTGCCTTCTGCCCCAGTGGTGCCTCGGTGAGATTTTATGGTATCAGTTTTGTTCATGTTGCTTGGATTTTAGATCGACCTTGACAGCCAAAGAGTGCAATTAGCATCATTGCAAGTCTCGCTGAGGGGTGTTTTCATGAGATTCCTTTCCAATCCTGCTGGGTCCCACTGGTGCATTTTTCTTTTTGCCCAGGTATTGCGTCGCTCGCAGCTTGGGTTGAAACAATTAGAGGGAGAGGACGATGATGACGCAGAGCTGAAAAGCAAAGAGAAAAGTGGGAAGGGCAGGGGAAAGGGCAAGAGTCGGGGCAGAGGAAGAGGAAAAGCAAAAGCGACACCCAAAGGGAAAGCAAAGGCTAAGGCCAAGCATGACAAAGAAGATCATGAGGACCAGCCATACCTGGCTGATGAAGAGGTGGAAGAGGAAGACTTGGAGGGGGATGATGCACATGAGAAGAGTCATGGAACCACTCCAAGTGAAGCAAAGGGTGAGGGGAATGAAAAGAAGACAGATTCGAAGGAAGCTCATGTGAAAAACATCGCCAACAAAGATGCTTTTAGAAGAGGCAAGAGCACTGCTGCCTTGACGCATGAGGATGATGAAGCCCAGGAGCCTAGCTCAGGGGGATTGGCAGGACACGTGACAAAAGAGGTGGAACATGAGATGGCCAGTGCGCCAGGCAACGGTACAGATGATGAAGAGAGAAAAAGCAACCATGAAAAAGAAAACATTGCTGATGATGCAAAGGAAATGCCTGACAAAGGAAAGGAGCAGCCGGAGAAGAAAAGGCGTAAGAAGCCCCAACAAGAGAAGGCAGGTCAATCTGAGGCTTCTGTGCCAATTGAGGCTGACTACAATGAGCCAGCACCATCAGGACGCAAAAGAAAAGTGAAAGCAGAGAAATCTGAGAAGAAGATCAAAGATTGTGAAGAGGAAGCAAAGGAGTCTGAAAAGGGGCAAAAAGATGTGGGAGAAGGGAAAGGAAGTCGTACAAGAAAAAGGGGTGCTGAAGCCATGACGTTTGCGAGAAGGGTGGAACCCAAATCCGAATTTCCAAAGTTGAAGTGGCAAGTACTACGGGATTGCTTTGCGAAAACAATCAAGCCTGTGCTCTCCCACTACAGTGCCCACGAGGACTTTATGTGACAAGTTGGAAAGTGGGGGTGGTGGGTGCAAATGAAATCAAACATGTGCGCATATAGGTTGCCCCCCCAACAAACGTTAATTTGCCTGCCTATTGAGTTAGTGGCTGTCGGGTCAGCGCGCGCGCGCTCGCCACATGTATGCACACTGGCTCCCCTGAGTGGCGCGCGCGCGCGGACCTGACAGGACGAGACAGAAGCATTGCGGTAGGCGAGGCTCCTCAATGAACGAACAGTTGAACGGTTCCACATTGTCCTGTGTAGTCCTCAAGGTGACTAAAGGTTACCCACATGTCTGATGTTGCCACCAGTCACCAGTTTGTTGTTTGGGATCAAAGTCCTTGCAAGGCCTATAGGTATTCACTTAGGTATTCATCTCTTTCATGCTCCCAATTGCTCCCATGAACAAATTTGCCTCCAGGATGGCTTTTGGAAATTTGCCACGAACAAGTGGGCGTCGGAAGAGGTCAATGCGAAGAACATTCATGGTTTGGCAGAGGCTGCAGCTTCTGAGTACCTAGCGGGCTTGAGCGAGAAGAGCTCAAAGACCTCGTAGGCTCCATCCAACCTGACTGCAAGATGAAACCCAACGCAACAACACTTGAACTACTAGTTATACTAAGAGCAGTATGTTCCAAGGGATAAAGCATGATAAAGCTCTTGTTTGCATTGTTGTTTTGGGAAAGCAGTCACTGGAATGGGGACAATGTTTATGCTCTTAGGGGGTAACGACCTTAGGGCCCTCACAGCGGTAGGGTGTGTAGCAGCTGGTACATGGTCAGGTCTATCATGCTCCTGTGTTTCGATGGCTCTTGATGGCTCATATGGTTTCCACCAACGTCGATACATTTCAGAAAATGTATGAATGCCTAGGCTTCTTGAAAAGCACAAAGTGGAGCAATGCACCAAAGCTTTCTGGCCTGGTCTTCTCATCAGCCAATCTTTGTGCGTCGGAGTGGTTCCTGTGCCACATGATCCACATGCCACCGTTGTAGCTGGCTCTGAGGAAAAATTGCGCAATGACAAACATGTTTTCCTTTGGGTTGATCAACTTGCCCCCCTCCATGGATTATCAATTAGTTGTCACAGGTTACATGATCAGGTAATAGTTTAAAATCATCCCAAGGATTTCCAATCGTGCAACTTTCCATTTGTGGCTTTGGAACAACCAGCCGTGTGCAGCCGGCTTCTAAGGCCAGCATGGAGAATGATCTTGGAGGGGTCTTTGCTGGTGGACCTGTCTCGCTTCAGCGCCATGTGAGACAGAGAGGGGCTAAAGGTTTAGAGCATCAAACACATGCATGACAAGTAAACACATGGTGCCAATAAAGGCACAGGGTTCTTTCTGAGAAGTTTGTTCTATACATAATTCAATTGAAAACGTTTGGCTGTATACCGATGTATGTGTCCTAATCTGGTTGTGTGTTTTGCTTGGGGTGGGCTGTGTACCACTTCCAATGGGAGCCCTGCATAATCAAAGAGCACACTGTCACTTGCTATGACGTGCAAACTTTGCAATGCTGCCCAATCCCTTTCGCCAGTCCCATTGTTGAATCTGCAGACGATTGGCTCTGCTGTAGTGAAGCCCTCATCAATTTCTTAGCCATGGATGAGCTACTCTTGAGCCCTGACAAAGCATGGAAGCTGAACCTTGTTCTGCAGCGACTCTATCTCATGGGTGCTCCGAAGGTTGGCTTGCGCGTGCCATTGAATGTGTAATATAATATTCCCTTCCATGAAGGCCATGGTTCAAACATTTTGACACTCCACTGTTGCAATATGTAGCAATGACCTAAACCTTACAGGTCCATACAGGTGGTAAGTCCTGTTTGGAAACAATGCCTGTCCGCAGACCATCCTGAAAGCCGATCGGGCCTCGCTGGAAGGTTTTGATGGCGTGCATCATCCTGCTCACGGCAAACTCGAAATTGGACACATTCACAGAGGCGGGGTGCTCCGGATGGGGCTTGTGGTGTACTGACCTAGGGGCATAGTGGGTTTAGCTAGGTATTCTCAAAGATTCCACAATAGATTGAAACTCCTTTCCCTGCTGCCAGTCCATTGAATTTATTGAAGTCTTCAGTGGAGATGGCTGGGTGTCGAAGTGCATGAAAGCAAACGGCATTGCCACTGTTTCATTTGACATTCGATTGGGAGATCCATTGCCTGGCAAGCAAGATGCTATGGACCTGCTATCCGATGCAGGGTTTTCGCTCTTCAACTGCATAGCTTCAAATGGACTGCCCATGTTGTTTGTTGCATGTGATGCATGTGTGCTTTGCACAGGGAAGGATAGAAAACATTATTGCGCAGAAGATTCCTGAGTTCATCACGTCGTGCGATATGAGGTTGGTCTTGGTGTCCATCCTGAATGCAAAGTTCGATTCCTTTATGGCACTTTTCGGACTGGTGTGCTCAAGCTATGTCACAATCAGCAAAGGCTCCCATTATCGATGTCCCAGCTCTCCATTGGGCTTAGAATCTATGGATTTTGTCAAACATGGCAACGAGTTCACAGCCAAGACACTTGTTTCAAACTTGACTTCGCCAAGCAAGACAATCCATGTTCTAGAGCACGTGGTACCCCCTTACCAAGAGAGGTCAAGAGGCCAACAGGAATATACAGGAATACTAGATGTTAATAATCCTCCTCTATTAGTCTTGTAACATCTTGACCCCTCTTGGTATGCAAGATGGACCAACACTACCAAAGGTCCAAAACCTCATGGGAGGATGAGGTCTCCTCGATAAGGGCATCATGCGTCCTCCAAATGCTGTGTTGGAGGACGTATGCTCTAAAAGGCTTTTTGACCTCTTCTGTTAAGGCATAGTTTTGCAAACCTTGGGGAAACAAATTGAAACCACAAGTTAGTCTTTGAGAACGTTGTTCTCGTGCCCAATCAATGCTCCATCAACCTCATCTTTGGCCAAGTAGGACTTGCTTCCCAACCCTGCCTTCCACAACCTTCCAATCTTCCACAACCCATACCAACGACCTCCTGCGGCCAGGAGTGGTGAAAGCCAAAAGGGTTTTCAGGGTTGCGTATTGTTCGCGCTAGGTAGGCAGAGCTGTTGGGTGTTCATCCAATGCCCCAGTGTGAAAGAACACCTCTTAGCACACTCTGTCCGCTGCAAACCAAGGACCACGCTATTGATTTTGGCCGTGGTTGCTATGGGAGGAAGTTGGATGCTTGAACAGCCAAGAAGCTCGCTCCTAACCTGGCATCCTAGAATCAGGCTTTTGTGGAGACTCCTACCCAAGGTTGGGGGCTATCCAACTGAGTGTGACACACAACTGTCAGCGTGTCAACAATAGACCCTATTGCAATTCAACTGTTAAACCTCTTACCAGAGATGTTGAATACTGCCAACCATCAGCGTTTTATGGGAATGATAGATAGGGACGCCTATTTCTTTTCCTTGAAACATATATATTTTGGAGGTCTACCAAGCGAAGTGGTGGGCTGGAATGTACGGTGCTCCGACATGGAAGAGGCACATTGGTTGGAGCAGTTCCCCCACAATTCAATGCTTGGACTTGGGCCGTTTGTGCAAAAAGTACAAAGACACGATTGCCAAGTATGGTGTAAAGAGCACCAAGCAGTACAAGTCGAAGACCGGTGTCAAAAGGTTTGCTGGCTCCAAAGCATTGAAGTCAACGGGGTCCCTTGGCTACAGTGTCATAGCCACTAACCTTTTCTCCTTGTCTGTCATGTTTGTACCATAGTGATCTAATTGGAGTTTGGATCCTGCTCAACAATCTTCAATCTTGGGTTCACTGCAAGTTTCCTGTTAGGGTGGGGTTGAGATTTCCTCAATCTTGTCTTGCCACTTGCCCAGGTCTTACCCTCCAAAGTTTGGACTTCGATTGGCCAGGCTTTACCCACGATTCATCCGCACACGTCCTCGCTTCTGGGCTCATGTGGAGGAGAACAACTTGAACTTTGGCATCGATCTCTTCGAATCCTTGCCGTGGCATGATGTGGATTGGTGGGTGGACGCCAGAATGGAATCAGTCTTTCGCTATTTGCGGGGGAGTCATGATTTGAAGTTGGGGGGCTTGAGGTCCCTTTTTCCAACTGAAATTTAAGTTGAAGACTGGTCACAGTACTTACCGATGTCTCCAAGAATGTTTCATAGAACTGCTTTAGAAAAGCAGTGGTGTGATACACGGTGTCCGTGCCAGTGAACTTGTCGTTATTTTGTCGTCTTTGGGAGGCATAGATGCTTGTTTCTTCACTTTTGGGAGATGTTGGGTGTGACATGTGTGACCCTTAATTCATTTGGTGTTACAATTCATCAAAACCGGTGCTTCTGGGATTCTGCAGCTTAGCTGATCCCAATTTGGAGCCTGGGACTTAGAGGATGGATTCCGGAGCTTGACCATTCCAAGATGATAGAAAAAACAGTGGGGCCTCGTTTACACCACTTGAGTGAGAGAACGGTCTTGAATGTACAGTGCAAAAACTTGTTTACTTTGCTTCCACTGAACAATCTTGCAGTCCTGATTTGAGTTTGGAGATGTCAAGGTGCTTCAACATCTCTAAGCTTTGCTTTTCTTGCAACTACATGAAGTACACTTGTACTTTAGTGACTTTCAAACAGTTTTTGATTAATTCTCAGCATGTTTTGAGAATACGTATTTTGTACGCATTTTGTACGTATCGGACCCGTAACGGACCCGTAACGCGTAATAGGACCGTATTTTTCCATCAAAGGGGCGTGGTTTTGCGTACCGGATTACGTGCAATTTCCGTCATCTTCCCGTAACGCTGAAGTTCATTAAACATTATGGTTTTGAGCTGTTTGAGGGATGTTTGTAAGCTTCAATCCCAGTCCCTTCACCATCCAGCCTTCTCGATGCATGAATCGACCTGCATTGGCTCAGAAGAGCCGTCCAGCCACCAGCCTCACACATTTGTGAGTGGGAATGGCTCCAAAAACAGAGAGGAGTAAGCAACCTGTGGCTTCCAGACAGTTCAGCTGCTCGGAGCTGACAGAAGGTCAACGAGCGTTGATGAAGGTGAAACAGGAAGCTTTATCCACAGCTGACCTCCAAAAGCAGATCAAGGACCCATAGAAGTTTGTTGCTGTCAAATTGTATGAGATCTGAGGAACATATACACATCCCAACACAGGTTGAGAGGACACAAAGGGTCCACACCAGCCTCTAGTGTGGACCCTTTGTCCTCTCATCCTCTCTAGGTCATAGGCATGCAAGCGACTTCCAAAGGTTTACGCATGTCATTTACACTTTGCCAGTCACTCATGTTTTTTGGTACAAGCTCTCACGTCGTCTGCAACTTAAGGTCATACATCTTGGGAAATCTAACACACACAACAAACCCGGTCAGTTGAATCACATGCCACAAGCTGGGTCTTTTGATGATTGGACTTAAGAAGTCCTTCCCGCGACCATAGTTGAGGGTGACACAATGTGGCTGCAGGAGTATGAGGCGCAGCTTGAGTCTTTGAAGCAAGCTGCTGAGGCTGCAAACGTGGCTGGGAACCAATTTACTTTAAGCTTTACTGGAAGAAGCTTCAAGTCCAATGGGGCATGAATGCGATGAAACAATGCATTCCGGACAAGTTTTGTTTTGGACATAAGGCTGGGGATTCAGATTTGCATGAGGAGCTCCCTGAGACTGTTCCAGTTCCTTGGCGTCCGTCCAGCTTGCATGTTGTTACCCAATTAGCTGTGTAATCCTTCTGCCACCAATGGTATGCAACTTCAGCTTGGGCCCCATTAAGGCTACACCGGAAGAGCTGGAAGCTTCTATTCCTAAGAGGAAGGGGAGGGCGCCGGCTACAACTTCAGCAAAGTCCAAAGCGAAGCCGAGTGTGAAGCATAATCGATCACCCCAAAAAGAAAACGTAGCTTCACCAAACCCCAACCCCCCGAAGCGGGTGAAGGGGAAACAGCCGGAGGAAGATCCACAGAAGGCGATTGAGGAGCTTCGCAAGGTGCCACCATGGGATTTATTCTAATGGGGTCACAAATCTATACACGAACAAGAGAATTCAAGATTGATATTTGAAGACCCTTTCCACAATTTTTGATTTGCTAGCGCTTTTGTTCCTCATTGCACGCAAACGCTACAATTCTATCCAACCCTAATTAAGTTTGATTTGGTTGGATGTTCTGGCTAGGCGAATGAGAGGATGCAAGCAGAGTTGGCCAAGCTCCGCGATGAAGCAACCTCTCAAACCAAGGGCTCCTCCTCATCTTACAAGACTCCGCCACCGCGACACCCTGCGCCATCCCCAAGCCCAAAACCCAAGAGCAAGAGTTTGAGGCAGGAACCTGGCCCACCACCTCCTTGCCCCAAAGGAGTGGACGGTGCTGAGACTGGTGCTGAGATCCCGCCTGCTCCGCAAACCGAAGGTGCAAAGCATGCTCGTTTGAGGCGCCTTTGCGAGGTCAAGCCGAGCGGCAAGTGCGCTGTGCCAAAAGAAGTTCATGAGCGTTGGAAGAAGGCCGACAAAGCGGAACGGGATGCCATGGTTGAGGAGTTTGAAAAGGCTAATTGGGCCAAGGACAGTGTTTCCTTGTTTGCTAAATCCTGGTTATGAAAATAGGTTATGAAAATATACCGTGAATGTGAAACCAACATGTTGTTTGAGATCATTCAATCACCAACATGTTTTCCAGGAAATCTTCATTTCCCGAATCACCAAGTCCATCTCCAAGATCAGCAAGCTAAGCAAGCGCAAGAAGAGGGGCTGGTTTACGAAGGAAGCCATGTCCAGAATCCTGCAGTGGTCTGCGTCCCTAATCTTAAATACTGTCGGGTTCGTGTGGCTCAACAATGTCCTCCACATGTGCCCTCATGAGTCATGAGCATGAATGGTTGTCAAAAGTAGGCTGCTTCCAAAACATTTACTCGTGACCATTCTCTTTCAATCATGTTGTGATTGTGTCCCCACAACAAACCATCAATACAGTGATCATTGAATCATATTGAATCATGATCACTGTAGCTAGCATCTCAGGAGCTACATCAAAGATGTTGTGGCTTATTGTGAACGACCTGGCAATGAGCGATTGTGGAAGCTGCCTTTCTGCACTGCTCAAAATGCCCAGTGTTGACAGTGCTTCAACTCTGTTCACCTTCATTCTATACTAGCGTGACCCTCAGTTGAGACTAGCTACCTGAACCTGCATTATGTTTGAGGAAAGACCGCTACAACCCGAAAATCAAGAAGTATTACGTTGTGTATGAAGAGGGTGATGAAGAGCTTTCTGAAGATGAGGAACGACACGAGAAGAAAGATGTTGAGGCTCCCAGCACAATGCCACAAACACCTTGTAGGAGCCAATCTTCTCCAGCATCTTGAAATGACCTCAGGTGGACGCTGACGATGTGGAGTTCGAGCGATTGGGAAAGGCCGAGGATGAACCTGGGTCTGAGGGTGGCGAGGAGGAGCAAGAGGCAAAAGCTGATCAGGTCAACACAGCTACGAAGGACAGTTCACTAATATCTTTTGTTGTTTGATGCTACCACCGACCACCTCTTTGTTTCCTGATCATCTGGTTGGTCAGTGCAGGAACACCTGAAGTTCAAACAGTTCACCGACAGTCTTTTGACTCGGTCTTCAAAGATTTCTGAGCTCATCGCGCTCTTGGAAACTGCACTTCATGAGGGTGGGAAAACCGAAAGTTCCCATGATGGCCAGAGGGTTGCAAAGTCTTGGTCCCAGTGATTCATGGATATCAATATTTCCTTGTTTCATCTGGTTTCTTTTCTTTCGCTCGATGAAACATTACCGCCCTTCCCCCGGAATGGCTTGAGGTCGGTGCAATTGCTCGAATCTGCCGTGCAAACCCTGGAGAAGGAGTTCGAAAGTTGTGAAGGGGTGAAGATTGAAACCGCAGGGGTGGGGAAGGAGCAGGATGAAGGGAAGAAAAATGGGTTTCTGGACAAACAAAACCTTTTTTGATGTGTGGAGTTTATGTTTGCCAGTGGAGGGCTACTGATTACCGAGTGCTGGTGTGATCATAAGGCTTCTCATGAAGATTGATTCGCAAATCCGTTCTACCACGATGAAGCCCCTTGGTATCAAAACATTAGGATACAGTGGTGCACTCATGGCCTCCCATACTCACTCATTCTCCCAAGGTGTGCCAAGGTCACCACTGCGGAAGTGGCTGGGAAGACAGTTGCCTGAACTATGGGTCATGAGGTATATCAACATGAATGACAATAAAATGGAACATGTTTGACAGAAGATGCAAAAAAACAGCTTCAACCTCAGCCCTGCCGACGTCCATTTCAATGGATTCGTGAGCTCAGGAACCTGTTGAAGATCCTTCGGAAAGCTGTTCCCCAGGAAGGAGTCTGAATTGGTTTGGGGATGTTGAAGCCAACCTATCACTGTCTTTAGAGTCAAAAGACGATGGACTAGTGACCAGGGAAGCTTTGATCGAATTTTGCCGCTTGCCATTTGTGAAACTATGGCAGTGAAATTCCAAAGTACCATGGATGCATGCAATTGCAGATATGGGAAAACAATCGCTGTTCTCACAGCGGGGGATCCTGCTGAGACCGCTCTTGGCAAAAGGAAACTGTGAGCGCAAGTGTAACTGCATTACCATGGCCAGAGAATTGCAAAACACATTTGCGCAGCCCCCGCTGCCAGGTGGAGACCCTGATGTCGTGCTACGACAATGCGCACGCCTCATCGCAAACGGTGTCGGGAATCTCAGATCCTCATCCTTGCCGCCCAGGGCGCACGATATGGGTGGAAAAAGTTCTTGGAAAACACTTGTTGTTGAATCAAGTGGGTCTAGGTTTGATGATAACTGAGTGTTTGGGGCTTTTGGATTGAGCCCCTTCCAAACAACCACTTGACTGAGTATGGGGTTATCTTTTGGGAACTTTGTGCACGCGTGTAGGGCATGGCAACTTGATGCAATGCAACAAGGTCTTGGGGTTGAGTGCACCCACTGGGCCCACACGTTCTTGTATTCCAAATGTCAGCGATGGTGGCTGAAGTAGCAACATTGCTCAAGAAGGTTACGCTTAGTTGGCCGCATCGCCCTTTTTGCCCATGGTTGATGGAGAGGAATCGGACGATTCAAATGACATGCTGATGTCACTGCTTACGTACACTTGCCCTATTCGGGGGAAGAAACAAACTGCTGGCGGTGCCCACAATGACCAGCCAACGTGTCTCAGGCCTTCATGTGTTTTCTATTTGTGTTTCACTGTAGGTCAAACAGTAAAAGTACATAGTTTATAGATCTTTCAATAGAACCAAACAAGGCGCGTCCACTTCAACCTGGGTTCATGACATCAAGAGTATTAAGAAACTTGATCATCTCAGTGAAATTGTTCACGGTAGCATACAGCAACCACCATTGAGGTCAATATCGATCCCACACCAAACATTCCAAACCAAATCTTCCTGCCCATGATGTTGGTCCTCCATGCCACCAACACCATCAACATTGCTTGTAAAGACAGTCAACCACCACCAAGGTTGTTGGAACCTGCATTGGCGAAGCCACATCCTATAGTGGGTGCTGCTAATCCGGCACCCTCTCATACACCAGAGCTTGAGGAGGATCTGATGCAATACTTCAACCGCCCTGGTCATCATACGGAAGCTCACCCTAGCCCCCCAGAGTCTCCTCCCACGAAGAAGGCGAAGAGACCATCCATGACAGGAGCACCTCAGCAAACGCTTTTGTATGCTTGTGTCCTCTTTCCATTTGAGCAATAATTTGGGTGCACAACATTGTTGCCCACACTATCTAAGGATCGCCAATGTGATTTGAATATGAATCAGGTGTGTTCTTTGCCTTTTGACCCTCATAATTTTAATTGGGAAAAGGCCAACAAAGATGGCCTATACAACCATTCTTTTTCGAGCAAGGGCTCCTCCCGCACATGTGGAAAACTCTTGGCTCACTGTGTTGCAAAGGTAACAGCCCTCAGGGAGAAAATGGGCATTCGCCTTTGCATTTTCAAAATTGGCGTTACATCTATGCCGCCCAATCGGTTTGAGTTGTACAGAAACGGGGGCTATTCCATGATGTGGATTTTAGCCACATCTTGTTCTGTGGATCTTGTCCACATGCTCGAAGCCGCTTTGATACATGAATTCCACAAACATGTGGGTTGCAGGAATGTTGCAGGGAGTGGTGGTGATGGGGCCCTCAATCGTATCCCCCCTCCTCCACCGCCATATTTTGTTTATGTAGCAGCTGCCCGTGCTGACCAAGCCAGGAGAGTGTTGTGACAATCACCAGCTCTCACACTGGACTGCTTTAGGGAAAACACATGTCCGTGCTGCTTTGGGACAGCAGTAGCATCACATCTCAAATCCATCCATGTAGCTCAACTGTTGCCCGCTGCATGTCAGTTGCAAGCATTGACCTTCTTTCATTCTCATGGTGTTCGAAGTATCTTAGATATGTTATGTTTGATATATGTTTGTTGTGTTGTCCAGCTCATGCGCCATTATAAGAACACTAATGAGCTGAAGTAGGTTGACCTTTGATTGTGCGACTTCAGTGTTGTAGACGGTTTGCTTTTGCCCCCTCACCTCCACCTCTCGTTACAGATGCATCGAAACATGTTACATCCTGGCGCTGCCGAGGCCCCATGCTCGCACTTGGTGGAGCTTGCTCGTGCACACGTTACGGCGAACCCCAGTCCGAGTCGTCCGATGATGGAGTTTGCCCGTGTCCGTGTGGAAGATGCAGAAAGCGGTTGCCACAGGATCTTTAGGAAGCATGGCCTCGTTCCTTCAACAGTGCAAATCGAGCGTAGAAACCTTGTGGATGGTGTGAAAACGGTCAAGAACTGGCCAATTATCAAACTTAGTTCCTGGGTCAAGTACTTGCTTGATACAGGCCGATTGCCACGGCAAATGGTTGGTGTAGATTCTTTTGAGAAAATGAAGAAGGTGCTCGCTGAATTTTGGCGCCGTTACAAAGCTCTCTCACCTTCTTCTGAACTTTTTGACCTTGCAGATGAAGGGATTGTATGCCTGGATTGTTGCATACCCTTTTACAGCCACACCGATGAAGGTAGATCCTACAAACACTTGGGCTTTTGGGTGTTGTCATCGCACGGAGCAATTGGTCGAGGGACATCCCTCTACATCGGTGCTCAGTGTCACAAACAGCCACTATCACAGAACGAGATGGGATTGTCGTTCGTTGGTGGGACTTGGTCGACGCAGTTCATCTTTTCGGGAATGCTCAAAACAGTTTACTCGAAGTGTCCTGCAGCGCAAGATGCAATTGTGAAACTGTACGCCGAGGATGCGCAAAGACTACTTTTCAACGGAGTGGTTTCTTCGGACGGCCTGCGCAAGGTTCACCTGATACACATCGGAACGAAGGGGGATTTGCCTGCGTTGGTCCGGTTGGGCCAATTTTCTCGGAGCTTTAGCCACGTACCACGTGGAGCACGCTCACAGAAGGCATGCGCTGGCATTTGCCACTTGTGCTTAGCAGGGGTTGAAAATTGGGGCCCTGATCGAAGGTCGATTCCCTTCGAGGACATGTCGCCTCAAGCAGCCTGGGTGAGCACCCTGCACCAACATGTGGCATGGCAATCCCTTCCAAAGATTTTGGAGGGGCTGCCTTTGAGAGACCCTGAGCGCATTGCATTCTTCATGACAGACTTGTGGCACAACTTCCACCTTGGAGTCTCGAAACACTTTTTGGGAAGTGCGTTTGTGGGAATCATTGAATCGTCCTTGCCAAGTGTAGTCCCAGGTTCCGTGGAGGTGAAATTCCAGTGGCTGACTTCTTTGTACATCTCCTTCTTTCGCTCCAAGGGTTCCACTCCGTTCCTCACTGAGATCAGTCGTGAAAGCATGGGCTTTCCACAGGGCTCTACATGCCCTATTGGGCGGTGGTCGAAGGGAGTGGTGTCAACGCAATTGATGTGGTTTCTAGATCACTTCTGCCAAGAGCATATTGTGAACAAGACTCACGACCCATTGCTTTTGTCCATTGAACCTTTTGCTTTACTCAGTATATGTTTACGCACAACTAGATGTGTTTTTTGTTTTCTGTCTTTTGGGTTTGGTGTCTACTAACCTTTTGCTGATTGCATTTGCTGATGCTGAGGCTTCAGGCGCCTTTGCGATGAACAAGGCCCTGGGGACAATGTACCGTTCAGGGTTCTGGATGTGCAGGGCAAAAGCACAGCAGGTGGGAAATTGGATTTATACTTTCCTGGCTCATTATGCGATTTGTGCAAACATCACGTTGCAGCAGCACAAGCGAAGGTTCAGCATGACGCCAAAGCATCATATGATTTCACACGATGCTCACGGTTTGTTGGACCAGGCGTCCAAAGTTGATTTTTGTCTCAATCCTTTGAGTCGCACCAATCAAATCCAAGAGGATTTTATCGGGCGACCGTCTCGACTTTCGAGGCGTGTTTCGAGTAGGAGCCTTCACAGCTCAGTGATGCTAAGGTGCTTGATCATGTATGAAGAGGCTTTGAAGAAAGCCGATGTTGACATCCGTGGAATGGATGCTTACCCTGATTGCTAAACTGAAGAACCCTTGAGAGTTAAGTTCATACTTGGTAAACTGTTGTTTGACCTCCACTGTTAGAAGTTGTGGTGTCTGGCATTCAGGTCCACATGAGCCACACCCCCGATCTGGGGCCTCGACTCACAGGGTTGCACTTGGATGCAACCACCCGTGTGAAAATGGCTGCGGATGGGCGGAGGATGGCGGTGGGAAGGAGGATTCTTGCAGAAGTGTTTGGTGTGTTTGGTTGTTCAGGTGGGTTGGAGTGTTGAGATATGTAGAATGCTAGATTTCTCAAATCATGAAAAGGACGTATTTTGGGGAAAGGTGCGTATTTTCACATATGTAATGTTATGAGACCCGTAAACATGGTCCTATGCTCAAAAGAGAGGTCAACCCGGTTCCAGGTAGAGACTCTGGGTGGTTGAAAAGGGGTCAATGTAGGGATTCGTTCTCCCTCTGGGTTAATGATGGCAAGTGGAAAATAGGCCCCGAATTGATAACTGTCTTCCGAAGACCGAATAGGTGGTGCCATCTGTTTTCATTCTAAAAACGGGAGTGTATACATCTATAGGAGGCCTGCTAATATGGTATTTTTTCACGCACACAATGCTGAATAATAGACGAACTCACAGCCAAAAGATAATCGTTATTTGCATGGTGAAACACAATGTGTAAATATATGCCATAGGAATCCATAGGATCGTACAGCAAATGAACAGCGTAGAACCCCTACAAAGCACATGGCGGATGCAGGTGTTCAGGAGCATGTCCACCTTGTCCTCAATTCGAACATGTTATGCCGACCTTTCAACTGCAGAATGTTGCCACATGGCCACACGGCGCCGCATGACTCGCATGACTGATCAATTCAGAATCACTAGTAGCTTCTTGTCACTAGTAGCGACGCCTTTTGCTACTAGTAGCTTCTTGTTACTAGTAGTAATGCCAGGAGCTACTAGTAGTTTCTTGCTCAGTAGCGATGCCCTTTGTTCCTAGCACTTCAAAAGGGTGGTTTGACTATCTCATTTGCTGTTGGTGCAGAAAATGCCGCAGCAAATGTGCAAATGCTGCGCTGGAACTGATCTGGACAAAACGAATTGCAAAGAAAGTACGATGAATATTTTTGACCTACCCAAGCACTTCATGCACATAATTCAGTATGTATATTGTATGTATAGAGTATATCGACCTGCATTGGGAGGGGGTCATGGGGTCACTGTACATATTCCATTGTCCATATTGCATCATAATATGTATTTTTTGTTTTAATTCCATACATGGAGTGTCTGGGATATTCCAAAGAACCCTCCAAAACTTGAGCATCTTTCAACGCCATGCGTCAGCTGAGAGGTCCGGAAGACCCAATGCAATGCGTAGCCGTTCATGGTGCTCACCTGCTGGGAAAAAGGATTTGAAGCCAGTGAACAGTGAAACGCGGCACCTGAGCCTATGAACAGTTAACTCCAACAAACATATCTACAAAGATTTTTTTGGGATGTTGAATCGCAATTAAAGGTCAGGGAGCGTCACCACCTTGGCAGGAAAGAATGCCTATGATTGCTACTGGGGACCATGCTACGACACCTGCCTTACCACCGCACAGGATTCTGCGTGTGGGAGGCCGTGCAAACACACTCAGAGGTAATCAGTTGACCTGGGAGTGGCAAGTTGAACTTTCGCGCACAAGTCTGCCTTCCCACAGAATCACTCCATCTTTGAGTTCGCAATGTGGGCCTTCCCCAAAAGGATGGGTCATTCTTTCGATGACAATAGTTTAACCAAAACTGCCAGGACCCTCCAAGGGGGGGTGGTTTTTTGGGACCATTTGGGACCATCTCCCGTGTTGTGGAGACATTGGGATCGTTTGGGTCTATCCGAGTCTACCTGGGCCCAGTGGATGATGATGGTTAGTAGAGGCCTTGTCCAAAAATAGTAACTGTTTACGGGTCCTGTTACAGGTAATGGGACAGACCTAAGGGATCGTATTGATTCAAGAAATGGACTGAGGAAGGACCGATGGACTGAAGAGTGTTTCCGTAGTGATAGCATGCACAAGGTCAACTGCCGACTCACTCGTGGTCTGAAGTAGTTTTCCTCCTTTCGTTTAAATATTTATAGTTGATAGGAAAGACGGGGAAGCCTTATCAACTGTCGCTGCCGTTGATGGGAAAAAAGCACGCATACATCCGGGATGTTTTCCCTCTAGAACAGTGTTCTCCTGGAAAAAAGCACAGTCTTACCAACTTGTGAGAGTCTTGCCAACTTTCAAAGTGACTACTGAACGACTATGCCCACAGTCGCCCTTCCACAACACCCACATCATCCCCAGTAGCCGACAGCTGGCTTCTCGACAGCGGCGCTGGCTTCTTGAGCCAAAGGCTTCGATGGGAGGCAAGGAAGCTGCAACAAACGATGGATGGGACAGCGCAACAAACGATCGACTCCATCGACCAACCAAGCAACCTGGACCATCGGCTTGGTTCATAGAGAGCCCGCTTCACTGATCTTCACTGAATTTGTGATCTCCTTTGAGGGGGACAAACATTCAGAGTGGCACAGGAACTCTCCCCTGAGTCGGAGGTCTGTACTGTCAACGAAAGAAGCATCAAACGTGACTTTCATGGATGTTAACGAAAAAGCCACGACATGTGATCTGTTCTCCTTGGAGAACGGGTCTTTGAGTCCTTGAATGTCATGGAAGATTGGTCCTGCATGGTCCTCCAGTCCTGCGTGTTTCTACAAGCCTCAAAGCATCAGCAGGCCTCTCTGAATCAACCCTCTCAGTAGGTACCTACGGCCACCTACAGTTCACCTCCTGCTTGTTAGATACAGTACTTTTTTGGGGGGGGGTTGCGGGCTTGTTAGTCCCTGACTTGATGTGCCAACTGATCCTACTGAGCTCATGTTGGCTCATGTAGGCGCAGCGAGCGCAGGTCAGGGGGGTTCAGGAGGTGAGGACGCACGGCCTCCGGGGACTCCGGGGTGACTCCGCGGCCTGTGTGGTGATGGAGATGTTACATAGGCTGATCAACCTATTGCCTATAGGTAACAACCTATATATTATATCAGGCTGATCAACCTATTTAACCGGCACAGATTGTTATATAGGTTGATCATGGTGATCTACTTGAACAATCGAGCTACCATCCCTGAATCGCCCCCTGAGCTACCCAACGTCACGCGGATCCAAGGTGAGATCTATCTCCTCCAAGGTCTGCAGGTAGTGAAGCTCCCACCTCGTTGGGGAAGTTCGGATGCTCAGTCGAGACCCGATTTGTATCGATTTGTGTTCAATGCTCGAGGACAAGCTCAAGCACTTGCAGCTGTGAAGGGCTCCAAATGATTGCAAACATCCATGCGAGCGCGCAACCCCTCTCGCGCCGCAACTCGCTGCAAGCGCTGCGCATGTGCAAAACGCCAGAATCACCTGGAACGCCATTAAACCACAACGTTCACCAGAAGCATCTGATCTCCATTTGGTATCGTCTGGTCGCAGGACACCAGTCCCATCCCAAGGCACCAGTCCGTCGTCATCTGAGGAGGCTGAAGTTCTCCCTGGCACTCTCAGTGGTTGGGGCTGTGGATCCCAAAAGTGGCTTTCCCAGATCCCCGAGACGGAGAAATATGGATGGAAGAAGGACACGCTGACTCAGTCAATGCTGATTTAGGTCTGAGTGATATTGACGGACGCTGATTGTAGATCTCTGGCTCGGTATGAATCATAGACCTCCAAGCAATCAAATATGAACCATCCAAGCAATCTACTGCATGGGATTCAGACACATACCGTAGAAGTATGCCGATTATGTGCTGATTAAAGCTTATACAATATATACAAAAAGATCCATTCAGCCCACAAGTCCGTTCTGACATAATGCTCCAGGCACCTTCCTTGTTTTTCTATGTCTTTCTCCTTCTCAGTCTTGTCCTTTTCTTCATCTTCCTCATCTCATCAGGGCCCAGAAAAGCACAGCCCCGCACACATCCGGAGCCCCGGCCGACCAGCCCCCGTCGGGAGCGCACCTGCCAAGTGTCGGGGGCGCACCCGGAGCGCACCAGGGCGCCGGCGAGGGCAGCGGTCAGGGCCGACATGGGTCAGCGGTGGGCAGAGTGCTTCACTCACTCACTGGACGGACAGATCCGGTGGATGATGTTGAGTAAAGGGTTCTAGAACTTTCGAAGAGAAACACATCTCGGGTCACTAAGCTAGTAACTGTCAGGGGATGATAATCCTTGATGAAGGCATGTAAAGTCTTGACAACTCTTTACCCCTTAAGCTCAGAAAGCTGGTGCGCATCAAGCTTTGGCTAGGCTCGGCTAGGGTAACCAGCAAGTACATCTGAAGATGGTCATGATCTTAGTCAGAAAAAAACCACCTGCAAGTCCAGTGTGTTTGTTCCGGATTGGCCACTGGCTCGTTACTCTACCGTACTCTGACGGGTGGAGAGAGTTCCTGTCCATCCTCCCCAATGTCTGCCTCTTTTGGAAGCCCGGATGGTCCAAATATGTTCTAAGGTATAAAAGCCTAGATGCAGTTGTGTGCTGCGTTGGGCTTGAGCGATCTGTTCTAAAGTTCTACTATTAAGCCAGTGCTTGAAAGTCTTCTAAAGTCTCCTTTTCCATGAGCGGTAATGCTGGCCAAGCATGGCGCTTGCGGGCGCGCAAGGTTGGGACAAAGAGCAGCCACACGACGGTCACCCTTTCAAACACACAAACTCCTGATGTTGGGACAACACAACACCCAAGACTCGTAACTAAATAGCAATCCCGCTGGCGAAGATCTTCATAGAGATCCCTATAGGAATTGATGGTGCGACGCCGTTTTGGAGGGGCATACATTCCTTTCGTTGGGGACTTCGCATGTTTCGACTGCCCAACAAAAGACAAAGAACCTTCTAAGGCCATCCAATGCCAAGAAGTTGTTGACAGTCCAAGGGAAGAAGAGGTGGCTCATTTCATGGGCCCCGGAAGTGATGTGGCTCGCTCGCCCCTCTCCTCAAATCACTGACGTGTGGAACTCCTGCATTATTGATAAGATCTTGATAAGGCTCTTGGAGTATTTTTGTTCGACCACCCTGTTGGAGAAAATAACAAGCTCTATCTACCCTCTGACTCACTAACATGGAAGTGGAAAATGGTCACTTGGAACACTACTTTCCTCTACCAACAGCGGGTTTTCCACTTCCATGTTTGTGAGTCAGAGTGTAAGCATATTATCCAACCCCTAGTACCTATTATAGCTGCACAATCTAGCATGACGCCGGCGCTGCAGGATGCCATCTTCGCATCCAGCCCTTCATGGCGACATCTTCGCCTGATGGTCTCCGGTCAGGAAGATCTAACAAACATCAGGCTGACGATGGTTGACGACTAAATGAGCGCAATGCTGATCTGAGTGCCCAGCAAAAAGTCGAGCGGCTTCAAGATTTCAATGTGTTTTGGAGCAACGGACCGAGAACCCTGGACTCCAAACGCAGAGGACCCCGGACCCAACAGCGAATGTTGTACCATGTTGTACCTGTTTCCACTGAAGCAAAGGACATATGTGGTCACTTTATGTAACTTTTGAAGTTGTTGAAAAAAGAGAAGAACACCACCAAATGAGATCCACATGGAAACCAAATGCCCGGAACTCCTCGGAAAGTCCAGCGTTGTCCTCTAACTGCTGCAGCGCCTGGAAGTGGCGATCAGTCATGCGATGGCACTGAGTAGGGCGGGGTGTGAACGGAGGCAAGCGTCCTCCGTTGGTCCTTGGACGTCGTTGGTCCTGGAGGAAAGCCACTTACGTTAGTGCAACCATCTATGCACTAGTTGTTGCTCTAGTGAATCTCGCTAATCTACATTGGTTTCAGAGTAGATGGCACAATCAACAAAAGGTGGTTTACATGGATAGAAAAGATATCTTTAGGTTTGTGATATGGTTTGTGCCATCTATTCATAGTAGCAACGCATAGCAACTGCAAGCATCGCGTTCCTACTCGCTTCGGGAAGCTCCAAGGGTCTGTGGTGTCCTTCACCGAAGAACTCGCTTCGCGCCCATGGCCTCGACCCAAATGGCATCGACATCGTTGGTCCTCAATGGGCTCAGAGATCACAACCGGAACAGGACGTTGGATTGGATCTCAAGTGTTCCACAAGATACTTCTACACAATACAGCTTAAAGGATCCATAAGGATCAGGATCCTAAAGGTTTCTTAGAAGTGATGTGCAATGTATGGATGTATGAATAACATCAAACAACCTCAAACAACCAAGCAAGAGCTTGACCGAGCTTGGCAAGTAAGTTGTTGAGTGGAACGGACCCATCCTTTGATCCGAAACCGCAGACCTTCTGGTTGGTGGTCTCAACTCAGCTGAAAAATATGAGTCAGTGGGTTCACACAATCATCCCAAGTACAGGTTGAACATGAAAGGTATCTGAAACCACCACCCAGCTCCAACATTCTTCGGGCCGTCCTTTTGGCCCTTTTTCCGGGGGAAAACGCCCCCAGCTCGCCCAGGTCGCCCGTATCGCCACTGGGGCCACTGGCCATTCTAAGACCATGGAGTGTGCCGGGACATCGCCGCCGGCCGGATCCGGTTGCGTGTACCTGGCGGTGCCGCTTCGGTACGCGACCGCGGCAACAATGGACGTCCATGAGGAGAGAGAGGGGGTTCCAAAGTAGTTTGACGGAAAGGATTTCTTGTCTTAAGGCTCGACCCACCGGATCTAGGGATTTTAACACAAGATTCATCAAACACAAAGTGCTTTGGAGATAAATCTTCCTTGATGTTCCCTGGGAGAAAACTAATATGACGGAGTTCAACATGACACAACTAAGGCGCCAGCTAGCGCGAGCGTGGTCGGCGCAGCTAGCTCACCAGTGTCGATATTGAATCAAGCTCTGACGCCCGATCCACTCTTCCATCCGCTCGCAGCACATCGTCTGGGTCGGCGCACACGACCTGATACTCTGGCCCCGTATCGCCTTCTCTTGTGTGAAAGTAGACCTGGTCAGTGAAAAATCCGGACATTGGTGTCAGAATGTGTGAGACCCTTGTTGGTGTAGATTCAATCCACTCAAACAACACACTCAAATTGGATTCTAAAATATTCTAAACATGTCGTCCAAAGACCAGGGAGTGCAATTCACAGCCAGCATGGTGATTCTTCCCAGGTGAACCATCATTCCAAAAGCCACGAAACCTGTGTTAGTATGTGAAAGCTGCGCTGCAGCGTTGCATGGGCGGAGCCATTCGTGGATTAGCAAAAAGAAGGGCGTTTGGTTGAGTTGCCCTAGGGAGTTCACAAACGGTCTCAGCAGCAAAAACACACACAAAGGCACACAGGGAAGTCTACTATACTCTACCTGTGTGGGGCAAGCTTGCAACCATTTCATATTCAAGCTTGCAACCATTTGTTATTGGCGCTCGTTCCTTGTTTGAAGTTTCACTATGTTTCGCTTCAAAAAGGAGGTTGCCTAAACCAACCAGTGAAACAAAACAAAGCTCAAAAGCACCAATGACAAGGGCCGCTCACCGGCGTGCTTTGCGGATGGACTTTCTACCTCTCGTCAATCCCCATTGGGGCGCCAGGGGAGCGGGGCCCGGGCCATGTCTTGATCCACCGGCACGCAAGCAGAGAAGCCTGCAGGGATCACCTGAGCTGAGCAGACCCCCCGCCGCGCGAGAGGACAGAGCATGACGGGGACCGGGAGGGACCAGCAGCTGAAATCAGTGAAAGCAACGGAAGGCACCGATTCTGGGGTATGTATAACGCCACGTTTTAGAAACATGATGCAAATGACAACGCATCTACTCAAAATTGATGAGGTTCAGGGACCTCAAGATTGGAGTTTGCTTCGATCATGGTGGACCAACTCTATTCGATCTTTTGGGTCAAAATGGTGCGCAGGAAGAACTTGCCAACATCTATGTATATACTGTATAATATAGCCCTCTTGTAGGTAGCTGCCACTGGCGCTACAGCATGTCAATAGTTTTTAGACCAGTTGGCCACCTATGAATGGTACCGCGAGCTCTTGCTTAACGAAATCATTACAAGCATTCAAGCCGTAGGCCCGCCGTAGGCCCTCCAAAGTGGCTCTGACCCAGGCAAAGCGCCATCAAAGCAAGCAAACCAAGTCCAACACAACCAATGCTTTGAACATCAGTCCATCGCCCGTGAATGGCACCCCGGAAAAAAAAAGCAAACACTGGCTATTGTAGAGGTTTCTTTGGCCCAACAGGTTTGGACATACTTGGAGCCTCGAAGAGGGAAACAGCTGCTCCACACAGCCGCTGTCTGTCTGTCTGTCCACCACTGAGCAGTTCTGTCAGCAGTTCTGTTTGGGCTAAGAGGTGGACTCCTGGATGCAAGTCTTCTGGCAGATCAGGGTCTGGCAAGTACCTCGCTCAGCGAGGACTCGCGTATCTTCGTATCTTCTCCTCTCATTTTCTCTGACCCCAACCATTGCATTGCTATGTTTTACTATAGGGAGTTCCAACGAAACATCTGAGTGATCAATTCAATGATCGCAAAGGACTAGAGACCCAGCTTCACCAGCGAAGCAAGCAAAACACCAGAGTAGAGTTCCAAGGAAGCTGTTGACCAGGCTACCCAAGAATACTTTTTGCTGATTCGGTCATTCCATGACCCATTCTATGGTGACACCTCCGTGTCACCATTCTCTCATTGTTTCTCTTGGAGGCACAGTCTCAATGCTCGAAGGCTCGTGGGACAGTGAAGGCTGCGCAAAACCCCGTGCACAGTTCCGAGTGCACAGTTGACTCACCCATGCATCCACCATAATCCACTGACAAAACTCCGGGGCACAGTGAACACCGAAAGCCCCTGCACCTTTAAAGCCACGATCAAGTTTCATTTGTTCTTCTTCCAATCAAGTGTGGCTTTACCTTTTGCCTTGACTCGACTCCCTCAGTTTCCCTGAAACATGAAGCTTAATCTGTTCAATCTCTCATAACTGTGTACAACACCTCAGACCGGGTGGACACCCCGCAGCTCTGTACCGAATCCCATCCGTCGTGTTCCATCCATCCACTCCGCCGCTCCGCTCCGCCGCCGAGGTGCTGAAAGCGGTACATCTCTGGGACTTCTCCATCGATGAGCTTCCGATAGCCATAGGAGATGACCTGGCGGCGTTGACAACAGTCCAGTCAGCTTGCAAAGGGCGGCGTTGACGAAGAGAGGTAGCAAAAGATGCAACAACGACGTATTTGCTGTTCCCTTTCGAAGCATGTGGAAGCCGTGGACGAAATAAGTAATTTAGGATCCCAAGTTGTGCACAAGACAAGCTGTCAAAAATATGACAGGTGGATTTGATCGTTCCCAGACACGACGAGTCTGGGACTGCCATATATGCCGATCAATTGACCCCCCCAAACCACCCCAATGTAGGCATTAAAGAAAAAGGCAGTCCCAAACTCGTCGTGTCTGGGGTTTACGGTTTACCATTCATGACCATGCCGCAGCTGGCGAAGCGGCACTGTGGCCAGGGGAAAGAGAGGTCGCCCCTCTGGACAGTGATGGACGTCGTCGACCCGTCCCAGACCGTACGCATCACGCACACGAGGCCACCACATAGACCTGAATATACAATAAGTGCGTTGTATCGATCAAGAACTGCTTATTTTTGCTTATCCCTTGTGAAGTCCGTCTATTGAGTCTATACGGTATGAAAGAAACTGGTTCCTTCAGTCCGCCTTTGAAGCAGTTACAGTAGCCAAACCCCTTTCATTGATGGCTTGAAATCCGGATGAGCATGACAGCCTGGCAGACTAGCTCTCCCAGCACCAAACAAGCAGCAAATTATCAAAAAAGCATCTCTCAACCAACAAATGTCAATAAAGCATGATTAAACAAAAGCTCACAAACTCTAGACTCTAGACTCTACTACAATCCCCACAAGAATGTGGATACCAACAAAAGCCCCTCAGTAGCTTCTCTAGCAAGTGGTTGTCCCCGAATGTTCAGCTCAGATCAAACCTACCATGTTGGCAGATCCACCGTTGCCCTCGGTGCCAGGTGCTGTGACCGAGGATGAATAAGCTCGAGGCTTGAATCAAGAGCTTTCGTGGCTTGGGGCGCCCTCATGGGACATAGCATGACTCCCGAGCAGTTGGAGTGGTTGAAAACGGGATCAATGCAGGCACTAACAAGACAAATTACAAGGTCCCTAGGTCCCTATAGAGGCCATCGCTAGTAGGTTGGAGGCCATCGCTTCAGGCCACTCCCCGAATTTTCGTGGGTGGCGTGGCCCTGAGTTCGGATGACCATGTTCCGAATACCAAGCAGGTGGTGCTATCCACTTCCATGATTCTTTCAAGGAGTGTGTATACAGTATTATATAATATATATATAGTTAATATAACAATTGTTGCACTATTTATTGCATTTTATTGCTATAATATGTATGTATATATATATATATATATTTGATTACAATATGCTTCCAGTCCCATAATGAGTTACATGGATTGCTGCGGATCTGAACTCCCGACTCACTCCCGCTCACTCTCCCTTTCCTCGATCCAAACACGGTCTTTCTCCGATCGCCACAAAGGACGGTCCTGCGCCGCCCGTGGCGCGCCTTGTGCTTCCGCGGCTGTGCCTTCACTCGGACGATGGAGATCTTCATCTCCGGCTCGACCGCCTCGTTCGCAGCGGGCGATCGGCAGGGACGGCGCCCGCGTTCACGCCCGCGCGGGTGAGCGAGAGAGTGTGGGGCGTCTTTGCATCAACCCAGGACGGTCTCGAAGCCTAACAAACAGGAGGGTATCGAACAGTTTTAATTCATGTGGTGTGGGAGCTTCTTTCCATGATCTTTCCATCTGTTCGAAACCGATCGAAACAGCCCCGCAAGCTTGGAGTGTTGGTGCGGCATTTCTCGAGTGCGACGACAAAGACTGCTCACATGACCTGGTCACTGGCTGTTTCATACTTCTCCACTTCTTCTTGGCCAAGACGCGCGTGCGGTCTCCTCCTCCACGCCATCTCCGGCCTTATCAATCGAATTGGATCCAAGAACTTTTTGGAGGAAGATCAGGAGAACCAGGTACATAAAAATGTACAAACAAGGGTTCAATCCAAGCAAGTATCATGAGATCACTATCATAGAAGCACTTCGAGACTCAAAGCTAGGCCCACAAAAGCCCCGGCAAATAGTGCACCCGATCGTGCCATCTTTGAATAAAGTATGCAACCAATTCGGGAAACATGTGCTGCTTCTGGACTGGAAAAGAAAGACATGCAAAACCTACGGTAGAGTCTTGACTACCTACAGCTTGAGCCGGAGGCACCTCTGGCGTGGCAGACCTTTCTCGGCTCGTTCCTTTTCCGCCAGAACTGCAGCAAGCCACAAGAGTCAGACTTTGCAGCTGCCACTCGTCTGGCGTCTAAGCAGTTCCTACACTTTGGGGCAAATGAAACTTGCAGCGAAGCTTTTCTAAAGTTGACCAAGAGTTCCACAGTTTGAAGATGTTTGAAGGGTCCAAAACCTCCATCCTGAATACATGAAGAAAAAGCCTCTGCGCATCTGAAAGCGACTCTCACCTGTCCCAATCGATGTTTTGGAACTCTGCAGCTTCAACCTGGGCTGTGGTGTGGCCACGGTGATGATGCCATGGATCCCTCAAGGTCTAGACCGGTAGACCGGCGCCAGTCTAGGAGCCAGTGAGGGAACCAGTGAGTGTCCACATGCTGGGTGATTTGCAGATTCGGCATGTACCCTATACTGGATATACCAGCATTCTTGCAATCACTCCGTCTACAACCAATCAGATATAAATCTGAATAATATCCTTACATCAGTAGGCACTTTGCGGCGTATCATGGTCAAGGAACATCAAGAGTCCCACTAGACTGACTCAGAAAACTAGCAGGAGTAGGGTTCTCCACCAGCTGGAAACGAAAAACCAAGCAAAAGGGGCAGCGTAGAGTGTAGTAGGGTTATTGGCCACAGTGAATAGCTTGCAGCACGAAAGCACGAACACGTCGCTGTTTCGAGCTGCACTGCACAAAAACCCGAAAGCATTTCTTGAAGCCGAAGGTCAGAAGGTAGCTCTGTACTCAAACATGACTCAATGACTCTCTGCTGTGGGTCTATGATACAATGATATAAATTATAATAGTGCCTTTATGTGCCTTTAATATTCAATGTCCGCTGCCCAGTACTTCTAATAGCATCTTCTAGCACTTGACCACACCCTGAGCACCATAGCCTGAGGTAGCTCTGCGGGTTGTTTTATGCGGTACCCCCCAAATATATACCTATAGTCTGGGCATGGCAAGCGGCAAACAACAGTTGATAGACGCCAAAACTCTAGCAAACCTGGTAGAAAAACCTGTCGTTAAGGTTCTTGCTCGAGAGGAACGCTTGGAAGGGTGTGGAAAGGCATGTTATAATATGTGCCAGTACCAATTAAACAAGAGGAGATGCATTGACCCTTTGTGGAGCCACCTCATTTCTCCACGAATATACTCAGAACAAAGCCGCAAGGTGCCAAACCTGCGCGGCGTCACCCACAGAGTAACGCGTGGTGTAACACGTGGCATAACGCGTGGTGTCCGTCGCGTGGCCTTGGAGAGCCAGTGCCACAAGGTTATGCAGTATTCTTCCAGGACATCGCTCCTGCCGCCAAAATCAGTCTTGCTGTTCGTAGTGCCCAGTGCATTTTTAGTCCAAGAGACCACCAACGACACTGGTCAAACAAATACTGAAGAAACTCGCTCCCTCTAGTGCAGGTTGAAGGGGCCAGACCACCGAAAACATCCCTTCAATCTTGGCCGAAATTCATCTGTAGCCTAAAGTATGTAGCCTACAGCGAATGCCCAAATTCTAAGGTGATAAAACCCTTAAAGGTACCAGGTCTAGCGAGTCGCGTGCGTCCACCAAGATCGACATGTCCCTAGCGGACTCCAGACTCCGGACGGGCCATCCATAGCGGTTCAGACCCGAACTAAACCCTTCTGCTTTGGACCTGGATTCTTAGACATGCTACTGACTACTGCTTCCTGCTACTGACTACTGCTTCCTGCTTCCATGCCTTGGGGGATCCACCCAGGTTCCCGTGAGTTCTCCACTCTCGAGTTCTCCGATCTCGATCTCGCTCCATGACTCAGCGCAAGGCAAAGGACTTGCGAGGAGAAGAGGAGGCCACCCAGAGTGAACATCATCTGCCGTGGGCCCACACCAGCCAAATTCATGCCTCGTGAAAGGCTCGGGTGCACGGTTCGCTGCGGACACTTCACGGTGGGGTGCACCAAATTGGGTGGTGAAAGGCCTCCCAAGCTAGCCAAAAAGAATTGCTCACACGTTGTGGCCCAAACTCCTACAACGCGAGCACCCAAAAAACTGGTGTGGCAGGAACCGATTGTGAAGCGATTGGTTGAAGGCTCAATCGTGCGAAAACCCTCCAGCAAAAAGTAGTAATTTGACTTCAACCCCGGCCACCTCACCATCAAATGGGCGAAGTGGACGAGTCAGTCTCTGTGAGCGTGGTGGTCGACATCGGTTTGGGGCGTTGTCGTAAGTTGAGTTTCTGCCGTGCAAGACTGCCAGGGCTATGTAGAGGCAACAGGTCGGCAACAGGTGATTTGGTTGGCAAAACAAGAAGGCTCCAAAGCCCCACAGAACCCACTCCCTCCCAACTCCCCTATACTCCCCTTCTCCTCTCAGCTCTTCGAACGCCTGGCACGCTCAGCGCGAAGCTCAGCACCTGTGCCACAGAGGTTCCCAAAGAGGTCGCCAATCCTGCGATGTCCTCGAACAAGGAGGAGCACATGCCGCATTCTCGTGAGGGATTTGAATTCCGGTGGCAAACACCATGAGTGGAACAGGAGCAGGAATATCAGGGACCTGCATTTTCCAAGGGGTCACCAATGGACTATCTTGGGCTACTTATGGTTTCTCCATGTGTCTCCATTGGGCACTCTTAAGGTTTAGGATTCACGGCGAGAAGACATGAAGATCAGAGATTGAATTGATACGGGCATGTTTGAACATGGAAAAATGCATTTGGGCCCCCACGGCAGAATGCAGAAGGGACAGTAAATCCACTTGAACATGACGCATTGCTGTTCAGCGTGGTTTTGGGTCTCACGTTGAAGATCTTTGCCAAGTGCAGAACATTCACCGCCTACGAGTCCCACTCGCCAGGCTTCATCTTCTCCACCCACCACCGGGTAGAGCCAAAAAGGCCCCCCCTCCATCAATAAGAGCATCGGATATATATGACGCCCCCCGAACTCTCGTTCTCCTGCAGTTGCGCCGTAAAATCGGTCAAGAGCGCCAAGTAGGGCGGGTAAAGCACCATGGTCCCCAGCGAGATGCTGCCTCGGTCGACGGAGGAGCCGTTGACCGGAGAGGAGAGCCGTTTGGGCAGAGAACGGCGTGTTCCATTCACCGGGACAGCCAGCGGAAATGTTGACTGGTCGATGTGCTTGTTGACACCATCGACATGCAAACGATTGTAGAAGCTGCCAGACGATTTCGAAGAGTTCCAGGTCAAGCAGCTTTGAAGCTTCACTTGACGAAATGATTGATCTCTTACACCGACCGAGTTCATGGAATTCGCTACCGATCCATCTCCGTCTCCGTCCCTCTCTCCGTCCGGTCTCCTCTCCAGGTCCGTCCGGTCTCCAGGAAGTCGGAGTGAAGGACCGGTGCTTCGAAGTGAAAGCTTCGAGCCCTACCCATCCCGAGATGATGGAAAACGAGTGTTCACTACCCATGCAGGTGTTGAACAGATCTCTATAGTGGCTGTGGAAGGTGACCAGTGAATCTGCCAGGTGTTAACCTAGCAAAATCCCATCTGAGAAAAATCAGGACATGATAAAATATGATATAAAATGCATAAATGTATGCGAACAGTTCAATTCCAATGTTCCGGAGCCTTCGAAACTGAGTTTGCCAAGCTGCACAAGAACAAGACCTCACTGCTCTCTTGAAGACCTGGTGGATTCACAGGGTGAAAGATGCACGGGTGTTGGAAAAGCTCAGAAAGGATTTAGCCAGTTGACTAGACGAGAGAGCCCAGAAGGACTAGACTAACATAGACCAACCACTATAGACCAACTATGACAGTTCAAAAAGGGCTTTTCACACTCTGAAAGACCCACACAGACGTGGACTTCATGGTGACCGGTCCCTATAAAATAGGGAAGAACCAGGGACGTGGAGAGGTAGAAGCATCCTGGTAGGGAGGAGAAAGACTCATCATTATATCATTGTCATCATTATCATCATTTTCTTCACATGCCTTTTTCAACATTAGATCTTCCTCCACCTTTGAAAGTCCTCTTCATCTCAACCACGCAGTCACGCAGCGAAGAACCGCCAAAGACACGGCACCGCGAGACCAGGCACCGGTTCCCGGAGCGTTCTTCTGCCCCCACGCACTCTCGCGAGGAGGGCATGAAGCATCATGAAGACTCTGTGATTTCTCCGTGTTGCCGGCACTGGCCCGACCCAGGAGCCCCATCCGTGGAACCGATGTTCGTTCCTGGCCCCGAGCTCCGTTCCGAGCTCCTGAGAGCGAAGACTAATGACCAAGTCTAAGACCAGAAAGACCAGGTGGATGGTGAGACGAGAGAAGTGAGATGTGTTTTTCCATCTGTTTTTTCCATCTGTGGAACATGTGGGAAACATGTGGAGACTTGAACACCCATGGGGTCAGATCTGCATCCTCTCATATCCTCTCCAAATGATGCAGATGGGGCGCCTGCGAGGATGGTGAGAACTCCAGCCAATGCCACCAAGGAGGAGAAACTCCAGAAAACCTGATGGCACGGTGCAAAGATGTCTAGAGGACGCAGACAACATTGCGGAGGACACCTCTTTGGTGTCGAAATCCCCAGGCACCACCAGAAACATGTCAGTCAAAGGTCTAAAATGGTCGAATTATGTCTTCCGTGCTGGAATCCACTTGCAGATTCATGTCGTGATATGTTGTAAATGGTTTCCTAAATGGTTTCCTCATATGCTTCCTGGTCCGGTTCAGATTCGGAGATCAGCAAAGGGTTGACTTTCAGGACAAAAAATTCTCTGACCAACACCGCGCCTCGCTGGGTGTCTTGCCACTGTAGCTGGAGATGAGGACCCCGAGAAACCCGAAGAGGGCAAAGAAGGTGGACAGCAACGAGGCCTGCCGGAGAATGACTAGTACGGCTTCAGCGATTGTGAGAGTACTCTGACACAGTCATCTATATTTGGGATCCCGGGTGCTTTTTTCTCCAGAGAAATACCTTGGCAGGGTGAAAATCCATGGAACATGAAGAACATCAAGAAACAAAATGTCTGGAATCTGGAGATCTTGAACACAGATGGTATTCCAGGGGAGAACTCCCAACAAATGATGTGCGCTCACCCATCTCAGTAATATGTGCCAGTTGAGCTCTGTTGCTGAAAAGGGCAAATCCTTTTTGAGGCAATCTCTGCATATGTCGAGAGGTTCACCTTTGACCAGCTAAGGGAGAACACTTCGATCATCATCGATCCAATGAGCTCCACAGTTGGAAGAACCCCTGCGCCACTTGAAATCGGGACAGCACAAGAATTGGACTCCAATAAAAACACTCGATAATTATGATGATGATGTTCTGCTTCCAGCTAGTGCGAGGCTGGTGCCAAGTTGTTGTGATTCTTTCTTTCACCAGCTTTTCCTACAAATCCCGTCCCAGTTCACCGACTGCCGGTCGCTCGGACTCAGTCTCTCCGGCCCTGCCGATTTCGTCTTCCGATGTCTACTCGCTCCATCATCGATTCGTTTCTTTTCGGCGAAACGGCGAGCCCGGCCTGGGTCATGTTGAATTGATGATGCCATTGGAGGATGAAGGTGGATCCTGCGGCCGGACTTCCGCTCCGCCGTTCCTCGAGGCTCCGCCTCCGCCTCCGCTCCTCCGTATGACGGAACGTGAAGCGTCGAAGACGTCATGAACCGCGAGTCTGTCTTTTTGCGCCCTGGAATCCACATGAGTCAACGGTTTGGTTCTTTGTTTCATGCGGTGGCTTGGGGGGCTGCAACCTGGTAGTATGACACATTTCATTCTCGTTCATTCTAGAGAGAATGGTAAGAACTCAAGGATAATTATGACTGACAAGTTGCATGTTGGCTTTGGGCCTTTCCATATCTTCTCCAAAAGCAACTATACATGGGATCACCCCTTGAGGACTATGTTGGTCAAGACGGGGATGAAATGGGATATGGCAATTGACTTAACATGGCCTTGGGCTTGCCAGGTATATGGAAGCCGCTGTTTTAATCATTGGACTTGCCTCTCTTGTAGTATTCCTACACATGCAGTCACTTCTAGTGCACATCCACGATTTGTCACGCCGCTGATTGAGCATTCGAGAATGTCTGAAGTCTTATGCTCGTTCATTCAACAGCCAGCCATCAGAGCTCACCCAGTCCCAGACTGCAGTCCCTGCCTCCCGAAATGATGTCAAAATAGCCCTTGCAAATCCCCAAAGATACCTCACTCTCTGGGTCGGGCGTGCCCTGTGATGTTTTGTGTCCCTAAGAATCCTTACAGACCGGGCCCAACCCCGAAACGCAGGAAACGGGGTCCGGATCCGAACCAAAGCCTTTCGGAGTCTTAGGGCACTACAATTCTGTTGCGCCAGTCTTGGTGTTTGTTCCTTGTCAGTCTTGGTGCATGTTTTATATGAGGTATTTTTGCGTGTTCCTCACCAGTCTTCAGGTTTATGTAGGGAAAATCGGTTCATACATCTCTTCTGTCAGCCTCAAACATCTGCAGCAAAATCCTGGCCTTGAGCAACATCGGTGTTTCCTTTCAATAGCCGAAGAAAAGAGGTACGCTCGAAGTGGAACAGTGGAACATTGCATGAGCCAACATGGACTCTGAATGTTTCATCTCATCAACCTACCTCTTCCAAAAAATGACCATGGGATTTGGAGACCTAAGACCACCCTGGACCATGTGGTGCCATGTAGTCATCCACATGCGGAGGGAGCTCTGAGTCCGTTCAACGGAACTCCGCAAATCTTGACAACCCAACTAGCAATGGCCTCCAACCTACTAGCGATGGCGTCCACCCCCCTCTTCTTGACTCCGACTAGGATTGATTGCCCCCGTGTCTTTTTTGTGGGGCAAATCTGGTCAAACCATGTCAAAAGAACAGATCTGAAAGAATGCTAGGTGTAGGTGAGCTTACAACAGTTGCCAACAGCTGCACATCTTCCTGATAGTGCATCTTAACCCCAATCTTCTCCGCTCTAAAGAACCCGTCGATCTCGGCAGGATGTGCACGGCAAACAACACGCTTCGCCCGACCCTCCGCACGCGGTAGCGACCGGCTGCGACCCGAAAACGAGGCGCCAAAATGAGGACTCGGCGGCTGTGAAACAAGACTCGTTGGACTGAATCGAAGTAACTGCCACCTGACAGGTCCAGGTGGCCCTGGTGGCCGCAGGTGCGGTGCAGGGAATGGTGAAAACGTCTGAAGAAGCCAACCGCAGCTAGCAGTGAACATGACTCCTGAAATGGGAAGGAAGACTAGGTTCCTTCACCCACACCAGTGGACATGAGGGTCAATGCTGCTATAGTTGTCTATATCGTCTATATATATATATAGTAGTGTTTGATGTTTGATGAGTTTGTGCTGTAAGTTCAGGACCCAAAGCTTCAAAAAGGGTCCCAGGCCATGCCTCCACATCCTGCCCGCATCCTTGCGCACCTCCTGCAACCTTATACCCTACACAATGTGAAGGTGTTGCTGGGGGCCTTGGTAGCTGGGGGCAGTCTCCTCAAGCACTCTGTAGCTAATCATGAAGAGCAGGAAGGTCAGGGCCGCCACAGTGTAGAAGCAAGACCTGCGCTCCGTCAAGAGCTGGCCGTTTTCGATCTGTTTTCGCTTCGAAAAAGTCATGGGATCGGTCCAGTGATCGGTCCGGTGATGGGTCTTCAAGCGGTCAAGCTTGAGGATCCGGACAAACGTCGTCCAATGAATCCTGAACATGCAACTTGAGGAGCTGCGCAGGAGCCTAAGAATGCTTGGCCGCAATGATGAAACAACCGACCCCCCATTTTGAGACAAATCCACCAGACTGTGGGTCATGGCCGCCATGGAACAATATTATAGTAAATGAACCACAACATATTCATTGCGGTGAATGAACATGCATGACAATGCGGTAAATGATTCATATATGCATTGATTCATTGCATGGGTTAATGGAATGAAGAACTGTATTCGACTGTATTGATTTGCATACTTTGTACATCATCGCCTTTCAAAAACTCTCAAGACTTCTGACTCATCAATGACCCCAACCCAAAAGAAAGCCGTGGCTAGCCGTCTGCCCAAACACGCCGAACAAACGCGGTTCCGACTGCAGCGTCACGACCCGGATTCGACCAAGTGGATGGAACGCCCAGGAGCTCAGAGCGGCAAGTCGATCCAACATAAAGTTCATGTTATAAAATCTATATATGACTACCACAGATCCGGCCAGGCCGTTTTTAGGCACTGCCGTATTTTAGGTCTCTACCGATCCGTCTCGACTGAGAGATGCACTCGCACAAACAGTTCCTGTTTAATCTATATGACCACATAATCTACACTGATCCCCCACTGGAGGGTCTGTGAGGTTGACCTCATCCGGCATTTTGGCATATAGACGTTCCACTGTGGTGACCCCATCCACCCATGCCACATCAACACAGCGCCTCCAGCCAAAAGCCGAAGCGAACAAGCCCCCCACCATGGGCGCAGCAAGGGGGCCAATCACGGTCTCGGGTGTTGGCCCATCGGGCGACGTTGTTCGGACCATGGTGGTTGTGGAGGGTCCGCCAGAGGTTAACGGTGGAGTCAACGGTTGACGGGTGGATTGACTTATTTTGTTGCTTGCATTCAGACGAGCGAATACGAACGATGGTTGATGTGTGTAACAAAGTGTCACAAGTCCATCCTTTTCCAAACGTGCCTGTGTTCACGGAAGGGCCGCCGGTCGTTGCCTGGTCGTTCCCCCGTTGCCTGGTCGTTGTTTCATCAGAGCTCCTGGTCGTTGATTTCATCCATGTTCATCACCCAGCAAACTATGAATCGAGTCACTACGAATCCAGTCACTCTCCCTCCCTGTTTTTTCGTCCGACTTCATGCCGAAAGCCATTCATCGATGTTGGTCCAACAAACTCTCATTCTTCATCCATGGCCTTTCAGTGCCTTTTTCCCCTTCAACGTCCACCTTCACGTTGCATGAAGCGTTAACCCGCCCTCACGCCACCTGGACCACGGCTCGGCAGGAAGCGATCACCACGTGAAGCGATCGACCTCTCTCCACGATCCCAGCATAAGCTTTCCTCCTATCCTGGCAGGTGAGCCCTAGTCCTTCCTTTCTCACTGTTCAACATAGCAGGTCTTTAGGCCTTTCCCTCATCATAGAAACATACAGTAATTATACAGTAATTAAATAAGCCAAACAAACAGGCGGCAATTAGGAGAATCTCCTGGAAGAAATTGTTTAACTTTGTTCCAGGATATACCAGCCGAAAAATCATATCCTGAGATTCGATGACATTCTCTATATGACTCCACCGTTTACTTTCTGGTTTTCAAGCCGAGGTGCCACCGAAACCACCATGCTCGTATAGGCCAAACGCTTGGTCTTAGCCGCAGCCGTTTTGGTCTTCGCGGTTTGAAAACGCATGGAAAGGAACTCTGCAACTTGGCCTTCTGTCTTCCAATAGTAACAATAATACCACATAATACAACATTTTGCTGATCTTGGTGGCAAGGTAAAGTCCCTGGAAGCATGTCTGGAGCAGTTCCATGGCACAAAGCCACCCTTGATGTGCCCAAGGACCATATTCTTAGGTCTGGTCCCGTCAGGAGACGAACCTATATATAAGACGTCGCTAAAACCTTCTCGAGGTCACGAACTGAATGAAAACCGGTGTCTTGATGCATGTCTTCATGCGAGGGAGCTGGTCAACCAATGGGTGTTGCTCTTTTGCTTGATGTTCAAGACTCGGCACTTGCATTCTGGGGGGGTCCCTGGCCTTAAGCAAGCCTAAACAATATGACAAACATGGCTCTTATCCTGGTTGCCCTTGGCAAAAGAACGTGGTTGGGGAAGCATTACACTGTGCTGCCCGCATACTCAGTACACATTTCTTTCCCATCCATTCCCCAATGTCCTGTAAGCAAACTTGAGCGTTTCGTACGTAAATCAGCTGGCTGCCAAACAATAATGTCAGGGGGACACCCCTGTATTTTCTTGGAATTGCTGAAGCTCCAAACATTCATACACCAGTAAGACTCCAGGAAGAATCTGTGATTCTCTTTCCAAGCTGGGTGATTCCGGAATATTCCGGATTCCCTCAGCTGGTCGAATGTGCAAACATGTGCAAAACCAACAGGATCTAGTATGATTCTCTCGTTGGGAGGCAGTTCAACCGGCACGTCCTCCCCGCAAGTCACTTGGTGTTTCAGTCACTTCCAAAGGACCTCATCTTCATAGCAGTCCCGGATCATGGCCTGGGTCCGGGACGCGGATGGTCCGGGACCCGCGGATGGTCCGGGACCGCGTCCGGGACGAGGGATTTGTCCCGGGGACACCTGGATGTTAACGATGGTGGAGCAGGAGGAAAGAGTGTTTTGCCTGAGTGTTTACGCCTCGGATCCAGTTTTGTTTGGAAAATGAAGGAGAACCTAACCTTGCATCTGTTCATATTTTGTGGAAACAATTGGAAACATATCTCAGTAGGTCATCTACGGACTTCCTGAGTAGGTTGGCTTGGTCATGCATCTCCTTTCCAGCTTGGAAGCGGCAACAGAGCAAGAAGCCCAAGCATCCTTCAAGTTCACATGGCTCAACTGCCATACCTGACCATAACATACCATACAGTAACCATCCATGACCATACCCACCCACCCGGAAAAACGGAAGATGTTCACCTATCTTCACCTAAGGAAGGATGAAAGAAGAGTGACTGAGAAGATCTTTCGGGAACGTGGCATGGGTCGAATGGGAGGGTCCAACCAAACCGCGCATTGGGCATGGCGGGACATGCTTCGCCAGAAATGTGGTACCAAACTAGGGCATCATTGTCATCTCTTCATCCGATCCTGCACATCCACAGAATCCTCATGACCCATCGGCTTCATCTGCCAAGTGGCTAGGATCACACTGTAGGCCGCAGCGGAGATACCCTGAAAAGCTCGTGCTCCCATGAACCTGTGCGTGTCACACCATCTCGTGCCCGAGTTGGGAGATGTGTGGCTCGGGTGGCGCACTAAGCCTGAGATTGGGAGACATGCGACATATGGTGCACCCATTCAACGTCATGAGACCGCTTGGGATCTTTGATGCGGATTGAGGTTTTGCCAAGTCCAATGTGCATGACAGGTGCGGGACGGTCTGAAAACGCCCACCGTGGAACACAAACACCGACGTGATTGTCGTTGCGGCACGAACGGACTACGAAGTCACCTGCAAGCAGGACCTGCAAGCAGGACCTGCAAGCAGGATGTTAGTCATGTTCAGTTTCAAAGTCAGGAAGCCAAGCGCAACTTGTGCCTGGCCAATGTGTCACCATGATCTACAAGGTTACAAACACCACAAAGAGACAAGGTCCCTCGACCCCAAAGGTTCGACATCACCGGCTCCTGCCAGTCTCTTGCAAGATCGACCGCAAACAAATCCCCAAGTGCGGGACGACAATGGATCCAATTTGTCATGATTAGTCCATGTTAATGCTGAATACAGTATGAATGGTTTGTTCTTTTTTGACCTTCCCAAACATCCTAGACAGTCAAAAACACCCATGCCAATCTATGCCACCCGGACGTCTTGTATTGACTTCCAACAAAGGACTGGCTCGGAAGAAATGATACGTTCCTCATGTTTCATGTCTAGGCCCAAAAGTGTTGGTACCCCTAAGAGCCAAGTGGCCATGCGAAAGTATCTGCAAAGGCGCAGCAGAACGAGCTGATGGCCAGAACCAGTTGGCCTCAAATAGTGGCAGAACCTTCAGATGTTGGGTTGATTCCCCTCCCACCGACTATATTAGATCCATCAATTTTTCTAAGAGTTCTCCATCTTCCTCCCTCCCATATAGGGTGTCTTGTCTTGTGGTGACCAGCAAAACATACGCTGAACCACGCGGAACCCCCTTTTTCAAACCCGCGGGCTCACCGTTCGCCCCACGAACCGAACCCGGCCCGGCTTAGCCGCACGACCCACTTCGCCGTCCCGCCGGGCGGCAAAGAAGGATCAAGGGACGGCGGCCCAAATGATCGGACAAAGGTCCAGCGATCAAGATGCTCACCTGGAAACCGATGCGAAACCGTGCTGGTGCTGAACTGACCAAGGTGAAGAAACGAACATATCAAGTAAACATAAAGTAAAAGGCTTTGTCAGTTCGTGTGACAAGTCATGAGTCAGTGGGTTCAATATGGTTCAATTGTTCTAGGTAGAGGTTCAAAATAGAAATATTCGAAACCACCACCTAGTCACGGACAGGACCACGGTGTGGATGATGATGCTCATTCCCATCGCAGCCTCCCGCGCTTGGCAAGCGATGCGGCGCGTTTTGTTGTCATAGGATCAAAGAAGATCGAGTCATATCATGCGACGATTTGTGGATCTATTGAAGACAGTATTAGCACCTTGAACATGGATGTGAGGATGACTTTAAAAGTCTACCTATCTATCTATCTATCTATCTATCTATCATCAATCTATCTATCTATATCTATCTATCTGTCTATTAAAAAAATATATATATATATACCCTGAGGATCCATGAACGCAGAAAGAAAGAAATAGACATGACCCCAGAATTTCAAGTACATGTCTATTGTTCATGTTTTTTTGAAGTCGTCGGTGATTCACCAGATCGAGTACTAGAAATGTATCCACAAAATCACTCTCATTGTCGGAGATGAATGGGTAATGTTTACACTTTGACATGGTTCATATCGATTCCACTTTAGAATTCTGGTTGTACATAATATAGCTTAGATGACCACCACACAGGGTGTTGTGCAGTGTCTTGTTCGGAATCGATGCTCTGTTTCATCACAGGCCGTGGCCATGTTAAGGATGTGGTGTCTGATCACAATAACAATGATATTGTTCACAGATTGTTCATGTCTGAAGGTCTATTTCTGAGAGAGCACACGTGTCATGATCAACAATACCTACCTCAACAACCTTATAGTGTAGGCTAGCTATGCATGTGTGCTGTGCTATGAAATGTGCACAGTGACGAAGAGCTGGAGCTACACTGGCTTTATCGAGCACATTGGGAGGTACGCTCCTTCATGCTGTCAGGGTGGGCTGTGAAAGTCCTTATATTATATATATATATATTATAACTATAACCATATCATATATTATGTAATCCATTGTAATTGCATACCTATGCGCGAGGATCTCTTACTTAAACACTTGCTCACCTGCACCTCGTGACTTGTTCGTCTCATCTTACCCCAGCCTGAGACACGTGAAACTCCACAGCCATATTAGGCATACTCGACCTGACGAACTCGAGCACAAGAGGTCCACAGCCGATCCGGCCTTTTCAGACCTAAGACGAGCTGTCAAAAAGAAAATCCCTGGAAAAAGCGCTTCCAAGGATCTGGTATTGGTCCGTGGAGTAGTAGTCCAAGCCTTGGAATCGGACCAGCGGCGACGTGCGACGCCGGTACGCCGCGACGCGGTGGTGAAAGCTACGACAAAGCTGGGATGAATGACAGGAACGAACCTGAAAGTCTGAAGACAACAAACCTGTCAAAGACGATCAATCAAACACCCTGAAAATTCAAGGCAATGGAGGCAATGGTAGGGCCCACCACTTTAGAGACCTAATAACCTGTTTTCAGGGTCAAAAATATGCTCAATCAAATATGTCTTGTCATCTGGCCTTCCATGGCGCTTTTTGTGCTGGGGCGTCAAAGCAATGACATCTGCATGGATTCCTGCAGTTATGAGTCTTTTTGAATCCTGAAAACGACCCGAGGTCCACGTGGAAGGCTTTCCACCCGCCGGAAACAGGCCGTTCCAACGACCCGTTGTCCGGACCGTTTGGTAGATCGACCCGGCACGGACCAGCACCACCGACTCTGTTTTCCAAGACACCCATGGTCAGTGCCAAGATCAGCACCACCGACTTGGGTAAGTCCTGCTCCATCTTCGCTTCACCTCGGCGGTTTCCATGGCTGGAAACCGCTACCTCGCTTGAAGATCGCAGGGGTCTCTCTTTGAAGATCTCAGGGATTCCAAACAGGGCGATCCAAATCCTCAGATTGAAGCGCAAGTTTGACTTGAAGATCCGGAAGATCCGGAAGTCTGTTCCGGGTCATTCAGCGGAGCCCCGTGAACTCACGATCCGGAGATGCGGGTTCAATGGCGCTTCGAAAACAGATCTGGGCGATATTCTAAGATTTGGAGCGTTCGGGCGCTACGAACTGGGGCGCTCCTGGCAATTACTACGAACGCAACAAGAAGCTACGGAGAACCCTGTTCCGTGGTGGATCAGCTATGGTCGGAGAAGCAAGGTCCGTTACCGTCCCAGTAGGTCTGTCCCAGGCGGACCGTGCGGACCGTGGAGAGAGAGATGGCAAGACCATGTGTATTATTGTTTTGGTGTGGATAGCTGATGCTATAGACCAGCAAACTCACAGGAAAACAAGTCAACGTACCCGTCAACCCCACCAAACACCCTAGGCCCTAGACCATGCAACAAGGAAATATCCTTGACTGCCTGCCAGTTAGCCAAAACCAAAAACCATCTTCAGCCACCTTCATCTCCAAATTGGGCTGTCCAGTCCATCACTCCATCACCCACCAAACCAATAGAATAGAGGTGCTCGACCATGCTTCCCGTGAACCTTGTCAGCATAGCATAGATAGATTGGTCTGAGGTCCTGTGAGTCTTGTGCCAAACAAGTGTTCTTGCTCATGAAGATGTCGAATTCACAATGAAAGTCGAGCTTGAGAGACTCCCACTTGACCCTGAGAGTCCAGTCACGACCCATGAACGAACATAGTGGAACCTATCCCCTTTATGGTAGATAGCGAAGACAGACGACACACTGCTTTAAAATGACTCATTGGTCATTGCAAGTTCCGGCCTTGACCTGGCTTCGCCAGGTCTTGGACCGGTCGAAAGGGTAGGTGCTGACACACTGGTCCCTTCCGTTCCGACCCCGGCATTCTTGCCAAACTGAGGAGCAAAAAAATCAAAAGCCCGGCAGCGACCTCAGCCGCGACTTCGAGACGACCTGTGCTGGTTCCTGCGCTGTTTTGGGTCAATATTCCCTGTGTGGACAGCAGAAGATCGATGATTTGGTTTAGGATTGGTTGGGAAAACTGAGGCATAGAAGTTGTAGGCACTGTGAGAAACCAACTCCCTCAAGTGTCCACATGCGGTCTGAGCTTCCAGTCGAAAGAGACCTCTCAGTCCAAAAATGAACACCAAAAGGCGACCAAAGGAGCCAAAGTTTGGAAGGCGACCAAAGGAGCCAAGGTTTGGAAGGCGACCAAAGCCAAGGTGTTTGAGCTCATCATCAGCTAGGCCTAGACCTTGATTGTTGTTTTCTTTGATGGGTGATTAATACCAACGTTCCTTCTAGTCCTGAAGCTGGCAGCTGGCGAGATACACACACATGAAACCAGAACACGATTCCAAGCCACTCCCCCATCTCAACAATTCTTGATTGAATGAAAATCACTGTGACAACACATGTCTGAAGCCAAGCTATGTGTCTACTGGACATGTTTGGACCTTTTTGCTGGCGGGGGGGACGGGCGGACCACCCTTGGGTGGCTATAATGTTCAAAGAAAGACACACTACCGCAAGCACCAACATAGAAGATTCCATCACTTAGCTGTTCAGTCTTTTCACATGCTTCACCTAGTTTTCATCCCGTCTCGCCCAAAAACACCCACAGTCGCCACATACCAAGGAGAAGAACATACCAGTCGCCCGCTTCCCCTCATGCTTGGAGAAGATGGGGGACATCCGGACATGACCAGCGTCAAGAGGCCGTGCACATGAGCAGCTTGGAGATCCAGGCCAGATCCACCCATCGATTGGGTGAGCTAGACACGAAGAGCTCCTTCGACCTCGGGGAGTTCGTGAACGACCAGAGGACAGACCAGGGGTGGGGGCGGAGGACTGGTAGTGCGTTCAGACAGAGCAAGACGCTGAAGACGGTGTCATGTGTTGTTGGTGTTTTTTGGAGATTTTGGAACCTGTATACTGTAGGAATGTGATATATCTTTGGAGATGTTCCTTCATTTCAGATGGCAAGAGATGATCCTGAACGTTGGTTTTGCGTTGACTCTGGGGCTGATAGTGCCAATGTTCCACACCTGCGGGAACCAAGGAGCCAGTTCACAGGGAAAAAAGAACGCGGCACTTGCACTCAGGTAACTGAGGTTGAAGATCGTTTTTTGGCGATGATTGCATCTGCAAACTAGAGGTCGGTTGAACAATGGAGTCGTTGGTCACAACATTTGCATATATTCACATGATTTGATCAGGTGAATCCGGGCATCATGAAGGGGTTACATACCTTCCAACCCATGAGTTCTTCGGCCACATGGGAATTGTTGGGATCTGAATATAACCTAGTGGAATCACTCACCGCCAGATCATGTCAATGTCATGCCCACACTTCAGCTCTTTTGGTAGGAAGTCGATGTATCCTGCGGAAGCAAATCCACTAGAGCAGGACAAGTGGTGACTTGAACAACTGGGATCCACTCTGTAAGGATACTTCAACCCTAGGCTTCCAACCACCATTGATTTAATATAGTGATTCTTAAAGGAGTTTACATTACTTGCAAAACCAGCTCAACCTTTTGAAACACGGTCATGGACGGCAAACGGGTTCATCTACAGTATTCACAGATCTGCTTCTAATGGTTTCACCGAAAGGAGACTCAAATGGTTCATTTCTTCCCCTTTACATGGCCTGTACCTGTTGTACTTGTTGTACTTGGTAACAGAAGGTGTTGTGCATCAAAGTAGCCAATGTAACTGTTGTGGTTCTTCTCAAAAAGGACTGTAGTGACATATTTAGTACAGTCCTATAATAATGAAATTGGAATAAATCAAAAAAGGAAGCTTGTGCCGACTTGCTCCTCATCAAGAAACTTGTGCTAGTTTCTGGAAGTATCCCTTTCAACATCCCTCTAAGAAAGATCGGGAGCACTCAAACGCCCAGTCCACTGGTTCGACGTGGAGGCCGCACGAGACCCAAGGGGCGTTTGCAGCAGTACCACCGGCGCATCCAGTATCCAGTCATCGTCGAACCGGTTAGCGCCTTTCATTCGAAAACTTCCAAGCTGTCTGGACGCGGGCTCACATGGCTCACATGGCTCATTTGATGGCTCCTTCGATGGCAGACTCCGCCTTCGATCACATCAAGAGTTTGCGGTTGGTCGTTTTGAAGCGCCTTCATGACTTGGAGCACTCTGCTGATTCAAAGATTCTAGCGGGGCCTGTGAGACATCAATCTCTGAAGATCTTGTTTGACAGGTCGGTCAGTACTTGTGTTTTGGATTTGAAGGGTATCCAAGGGGTAGTGGCATGTTTGAGTACGTTTGGCCGTTTCATCTGCACAATGTTGATTTTTTCATGTTCCTAAAGACTCCTCACTCCCAGGTAGGTCTTACCCCAGGAAGATGCCCCTCTTGGGCATACATGGAGCGGTTTCGGTAAAGGCTGCAGGCGGCAAGGACACTGAAAAACAAGCTGGTCCCGGGACGAGTCACTTCCTTTTTCAGACCCCAAAGGTGAGTCACTTGGCACTTCCTGATATCTGTGACTCACCAATTCTCACCAACAGAGGTTAAGTGACCGTAAATAGGACCCTATAGCCTATAGTGGGGTACCCAACTGGGATAGTCAGATAGTCGAAGTAGGGTCATTGAACCTCTGTTGGCACCAACAGAGGCTGGATGTTTAGGACTCAGATGCTCAGACTTTCCGTGGCCTTCCGCCGTGCTGATCTCATCTCTTCGCCGCTTCCAACGGCCGGTGAACTCCGAACATCCCACCGAGGGGAGAGGAGAGGGGGTCGGCGGTCGGACGGTCGGAAACAGGTCGGAGTGAGGCCCAGTGAGGCCCCTCGGATTCTCCATGGATTTTCGGACTTCGAAGTCCAGGTTGGTTAGTTTGGATTCAGCAAATTTCTCAGTCGATCAGGTGATCTACGTGCCACCATTACCGACATCATACCAAACCCATAACCCATTGAAGTTCCTCGAAAGAGATCACCTTCAGCCAGTTTGTTGTAGAGGAAACATCGTTACATTCTGGAGGCTGCTACACTGCTACACTGCTGGCCCTAATCTCCTACAGGATCTTCCAACAAGTCCAGGATAGTCCAGACAACCGGTCCAAACCTAAAACACACCAGAACTCGCACCCCCTGCCACCACGAACCACGACTTCCAACACCGACTCCCATTGAGGTCACCAGTCTCGTCCGGCACTCGCCCAACCCACGTGCTGACCACCCGACGGAGCCGGATCTGAGCCTGACTGGGTGCCCCAAGCGATGCCCCGACGGATCTTGTTGAGCGCTTTCATGGCCCGTCCTCGGTACTTGAGCGCATCTCTTGCGCTGGGAAGGCACCAAACCACATGGTCTTAAGAGCCACGACGTGTATATAATTGCTTCAGGGTCAGTGCATCATGTTGCATCTTTTGGCTATAGGTTTAACATGGTTTAAACATGTTGACATATACCATTTGCATGAACTCAATCTGAAAAGACCGCTTGAGTCGACAAACATTCGGAAGAGTCGAATGTCTAATTCTCTCTTGGCCGTTTGACTCTCGGCCGTTAAACCAACTCTTCCCCAGCTCCGAAAGCCTCACGAAGCCTCACAGCTCCCCCACTGAGTGGCCCCGACGTCGCCACTGGGCCCGAGCCGCCGCTTGTTCGCCCGACCCGGTGGCGGGCGACGCCCCAGAGGGGGCACAGATGCTGCGAGGAATGCCGCCAAGGGCGCGAGGTGAAGGTCACTTCACTTGGTGAAGGGTCCAAGACCCAGAAACTCCCACACACTTTGGACCTCCTGTGGACCCCTCTTCAAATACCTTGAAACAACCACCCCAAAGTATATGCCATAAACATCTTGGATGCTCATGATGCTCTGAATCAAAAAAGACTCCGAAAAAAGATCACGTGTAAACGACATCCGGTGGCTGTTTTCGGTGCCAAGGGATCTCTCTTGCGCGGAGTTCCAACTAGGGCATTGCAATGGAACTGTGTTTGTCGGCAAAGGCAGCCCCCAAACTCATGCAACGACGGATTGGATGAAGATTTACAGTACCTTTCGGAGAGGTTGCTGTAAGAACACTGTGTTAAAATTGTATTCTTTGACTGACTTATTACTCAAAGAACAAGAGGTGTTTCAACCGAGGTGAACTAAAGGAATATAATATATAATGTATATTGATGCCTAAAACAAACTACTCAAACTGCTGTAATTATATCATGAAATTCCTGTGATCCACGTCTATATGAGGAAACACATACCGATCCAGTTGCTCATGTTATTATTTCGGGTCAGGGTGGTGGCTGTGTTCATGGATCGGGAGACCCACAATCTGTGAACATCTACGAAGGTTGTGGACTAGTCATTGGACCATTGGCTTCTACATTCGCATGGATCGAAAACATATCTATCTTCCGGAATCCTAGTTCTTGGGCCTCACTGGTTCTCGCTCCTTTTTTCAGCCCGCGCGGCGCGCTAAGCGCAGCGTGCGGATGTTTCTGCACCGCTGGAGGTTGCCATGCGCCCTGCTTTGCGCGTGGGTTGGGACAGATGGGAGAGGCCACGCTGAAGCATTTTTTGTAGGCTCTGACTTGAAACCACACAGCACTTGAAGCTCATGGCGCGCAGCAAGAGGCGGCTTGAAAACCGCCAGAACTGGCCTACTTTTCGGCCAAGTCGGACAGTAGCTGTGGTGCTCCAACGAAAAATAACAGGACAACTGAAGATTGCTTATGTGAGCCATGATCAAAACAACGAGGCGGATGCTTATGCATCTTGTGAAAACCAGGGAGTGTCTTGGTCCCATTGAGCCTAGTATTTTCCCATTCCACTTCGGGCAAGAAGTGGTGCAGCAACCATTGGTCTTTGGAGACCAGGTTTGATCGACAAAACCATGGCACTGACTTCGCATGAATCCTTGAGATGTTTGAGGGATTGTATTGGTGGAACATGGATCTGCTTTTAAACCTCAGTCTCTGGCACCGACAAGCATGGAGTCTGAGTAAGAATTCACATACAACATCGGGACAACATTGGGGGGGTTGCACCGCTGGAAAGATACGCACGGCCCCGACCAAACAAGGCTTTCGGTCAGTGTTTGTGTATCAAACTCTGGGGTTTTGCATCCCAAAAGTGCCAACAACATGCCTTGCCGGGAACAAACACAAGTATATGCCAGGGCCTTAAGGCTTCTAACCCGATGGTTACACCCCTCGGAAGTGGTATGACCTCAAAAAACATGTCCAACTGGTTACACCTCAACAGTGTCATAGAGAAACCAACCACAACTAGATTAGATTCAGCTGCTTTGGCAACATTTGGCAACTGGTTCCACTCTCTATGTCTTCGGGGGAAAACGCCGCTGTGGTGGGATCACTGTGTCGCTTTGTTGGAGGCTTCGCCACTCCCGCGCCACGTCACATGCCAAAGGCTTCCAGAACCGCCTGCAGAGGGGAGAGACAGGGTCAAATCAGGGGATCAGGATGACCTTCTGGGTCTGGTACAGTAAAACGTTCTTAGCCACCATATGTAATATTCCTATATAACGTTATACCATAGACATTCATAGACCATAGACCACCCAACTGAATGCCGACAAAGAGGTCATACGTGAGCTTGAGGAGTATAGATGGTCATACCGAGCCGACGCTTCCAGACGTCGAACCCCATGCGTGGCACCAAGGGGTGCGAAAGAATGCACTTCGGATGTGAGCCATCAAAGGATGTGAGCCATCATGTGATGGGAGGATCCCAAATGCACACAAGGATGTGATGGGATGGCTCTTGAAGGAAAAAAAGGGACACATGCATCAACTGGCCAAAAGACAAACAAATATGTCCAATGGATGCCCACGAACACATCAGACATTGCCAACCTCTACCAAGACCGTTAACATACAGTATTGGATGTGCTGTCCAGGAAGCTGAACAAAAAATATTGGCAAGGCCTTTGGGTTAATAGTCCCATCCAGTGAGTGGATGTGACAGGGGCACAATGGACTCCTCCAAGTTTGGCTCCAGAACATCAACAAGGACGAAAACGAACGGGGCTCCTGGCCCTAGGAACAAGGACACTCCAACATCAAACCTTCCGAAAGTCTCCAACTTCAGAACTCCCCATCGCCTGCTGCTGCTGCGCCATTTCGGAGTTCATGGAGGGCGGCGCTGGAGCCTCAGCCGTGCACCCTGGTAGGATTTGATGCAATGCCCAACGGCCCAAGGGCAAAATGTTCCAAGAAAGCAGGTTAAGTGACCTTGTAGGACCCTACTGAGACTACTGAGGTACCTATGGGATAGTACATAGGGTTCTTCAACCTCTGTAGCTTGGTCAAGTTCTTTCGTCCTGCGTGGCGGTGCGGCGAAGAAATCCCGCCAGGAGGAACGCGAGTGGAAGCTCAAACACCTCCAGCCATATATAGTCTATAGTTTTGGATCGGGTTCTGCGCAAGAAAACAGAGCTGACAAAGGCTACAGCACAAAGAACCCATGATCACACACAACAAACATGCGGAACCTTGCCGTCCCCTACAGGCGCGCGATAGAAACACACCCAATGGATGGCAGGGTCAGGGTTCCCTGCCGGCGCGAGGCCATCTCCTCGCAGGGTGAAACACCGAGCTTGCTCGCTCAGGCGACACACCGAAGGGTTGGCAGGTGATTGGGGGGGTTCGCCACTGGGTTCGTCATAATCGTCAGAGATGGCTGGGAGTTTTCGATGTGTTCTTTCATGGCTTTTCCCAATCCCAACATTGCCCTGAGGGTGGGTGGGTGGGTGGGTGGGTAGATGAAGAATCGGAAAGCAAGAATCAAAGCTGAGGTGGTGGAGCGCCTATCTACAGGGTGTTTTCAGTTCTAAACCTTTGGTTTGATTAGTTGCGTCCACTGAATGCATCCAAGATTGAGATTTGGGGGTGAAGGGGGTTGTGTCGGCGAAAGGGTTTCAATATGTTGCCCATTTACAGTACCAGCATGGCAGTCACGTGCAAGTGTTTGTGGAACCAATGGAGACATGATCCAAGAGACTTGCAAAGCATCTCTCTCTTTCCAGCTTGATTTATTTTCTCGATCTGTTGTTGTGTGCTTCTTCCTGCAGCAGTCACAACACATGCAAGATTAATGTATACAATGCATATAATACATTATATAGGTCTGCCCTGCTTGTCATGGTTCCTTGAGGACGTGCTTTCCAAGAACTTGTCCACTGTGCCAAACAAAGATCTTTCTTGATACATGTGATCTTGATCTTGAAAACGTAAAGAACAACATGAACTCACGACCCCCCCAAAAGAAGAGGTTCTTATTGGTTCTTCAACCCTCACAACACTGAATCAGTTAAGACATCTGTGGTCTCCACGTTCGTCCGGCCGGCCAGTCCCTGTGTTCTCCGATCCCTTCGTTCGTCGGGCGGGGCCTTGCGGTGGGGGTGCACCCGACAGCTTGCCGGCCACCTGGTTTTTTGAGCATCAGCTCACCGGAATCATGCCGACCCAGGGACAAGGGAGCTGGTGAGACAGTGATACCCCACCCCATTTTTAAAATACTTTGAAATCATTTGAAATCTATGTACCATGTCCCAAAAGAATTCCACCAAAAGTTCTGACTGGAGGTCTACATCACGTGATCTTCAAGTCCAAGACTTGCATCTGATCATCTGATCCAGGTGATTTTAGGCTCATCCACGTGTATTCTCTCTTTCACCGTCTTTCACCCACCAGCTTCACTGGGCTTGCGGACTCGCCCAACGCCACGCGCCGCTTAACGCCTCGCGCCTCGCGCCGCGCCCTCCGGCCTCGGTGAAGCCAGACTCTTCGATCTTCCCGGCCTCTTCGAAATGACCGTTGTAGGCCTCCGGAGGGAGAAAAGAAGGGGCACCGAACGGAACTGCCACGAAGTCGGTGGGTGACGTCACACAGATGCATGTTCGCGGTGAAAGGCGAGGCGCAGATCTGTCCTCCTCGGTTCTTGGCACTGACTAAAACAAGGTCATCCTCATGTGCTGTAGGCGATCGAGAAATGGAATGAAGTCATCTCCAGTTGTGACAAGGGGCAGCAAAGCTATGGGGATGGCTGTCTCAGAATAGGAACAGGACATTCAAGGTATCTGGGGATTTGCTCCTGCAAAATCAAAACAACTAAAGAATGAGGCCTCTGAGAAGGCTTATTGTTTCCAGATTCCTTGAATGAAGCCCTTCCCAAGATTCCAGCGAGCGGGAGCTGGATGCCTCAAAAACGATTTATGTTAGCCTTCCACATCCCCATTGCCCGCAGGGTTGTACCAACCCAGCACAGCAAAACATCCGGACTGTGTTGCGCATGTTCGGGGGATTGTGATCGGGTCCTAGAAGGAACCCGATCACGAACCCCACGGATATGATTGGGACTCTGCAGACTCCTGAAGTAGAAGTCGTCTTGGTTCTCACCCTCTCCTCCTTGAAGATAATGGACATGCCGTCACCTTGGTGGATCACGTGTTCTTGTGTGAACAGGAATTCTGCTGCTGCGGGCCTGACCATTCCACTTGTTCTGGTGGACTGGGGGACGCCCCAAACAGCGAATGATCGCGTCAACCTTGGGACCTTGGAACCTTCTCTTTGAACGAGAAAAGACAAACGCACGTGATCCAGTGACAGGTTGGTCCACCAGGTTGGAGAAACTCTCAGAGCTGATGGATGGCGACACAATTAGGTCGGGTCGACCACTGGCCACCAGGTGTTTTCCCTTGCCTTGCGCTTTGGGGACATCAAGGCCAGTACCGCTATTTGCTGCAAGTAGATGCCACAAACTCGATGAATTCGCTTGATATAGTGCCCAACTCTGCTTCCGCTTTGATGACTTTTCAATCACCAACTTCACAAGAAGTGGATGCACCCAGTGAAAGTTGTGCCGTGCTCGATGCTCTTGCTAGATGACTCGAACACACCTTTAGACTAAAGCCAGTTGAAGATGATTCTGAAGATGATTAGGACTAGAACACACCTTTAGACTAAAGCCAGTTGAAGATAATTTTGAAGATGATTAGGACTAGAACACACCTGTAGACCAGAGCCAGTTGGAGATGATTTTGAAGATGATTAGACACACCTATGAAGATGATGATGTTTAAATGTATGCAACGCGCTCTTGAGTGACGAAACAAAGAACGAAGGCCTAGAACCCCAGCCTTTCGACCTGCAGCCCACGCTCTTCGTTTCGTTTCCCCCCTTTCAGAGCATCGAAGGCGTGGCTGATTCGGGTGTGCGGCTTCCAGAACAGATGGGCTTGAAGTTCCTTCTTCTCAGATCACTCTGGGAAACTCACTTTTCCGTCTTAGCCTGGGTGGATGTGTGGATCCACGGTGTGCAACACGCGGGTCATCCCGGTCATGGGGCCCAGGTCCATTCATTCTCGGTCAAGCGCACAGTCTCTTCCTGGTCAGTGTTTTTAAACAATAGAAACGTAACCGTGCATATCGTAATACTGATACTTGTCTGTCACTGTCTCAGTTCCGTTGGACAGAATCATCTTTTTCATCCTTTTTCTATCTGTTCACTGTTTTGATGGGACACCAATCCTCAACAATGGTTAAAGGTTAAAGGTCTTCCACTGACGGGGTAGGTTTGTCAGGTGACTCTCATAGATCAGAACAAAACCATGTCCACTTCTGGCACAACTGGGCACCTTTCATCGTTACATTCCTTGGTGCCGTTCCTTGGTGCCATCAGTGACCAGGTCACATTGATTCCTTCCAGATTCTCGATCATCTCCAGGTGTCCTCCGGTTTCCTCCAGTTTCCTCCCAAGCGCCGCCCGGTGGCCATAGGAGACCGCCAGCATGCTACCTGTAATAGACCTCCGCTTGCTTCGCCAAGAAACGCGAAGGACGGGGCCGGGCTTACGGAACCGGGCGAAGGTTTGGGCTTCGGTGACGTGGATGGTGACGTGGTGAGGCAACAAGTTCCTTGGAGGTCTTTTGCAGAAATGATTGGACATGACTACAGTACGTGCACATACTGTGCATTGTACATAGAGCAGTAGAATTTCTCTGATTATATATCTCGTTTGTTTGTCCATGTTTGTCCTGGTATTCATGAGCTGCACATCCCCCATCGAATTCGACCTCGAACCCGGGCTGTCCTATTCTTTAGGAACCCAGGCTGGCAGGTAGTCAGAGGTAACTAAAAAATCACAAACCTTGGAGCAACAAAACCTAAAGAATCAATGGAAAACATGCTTCTTTAAAGAATAGACACTGACCTTCAAAAAAATCAAAAACCTAAAGAATCAGTACACCCGGGCTCGAGTCGAATTTGCCATTTGAGATGTATCTTCAAGCACGCTCCTCTTTTCTCTGTCCATCGGCTGCCCAAGTGTCTTTAAAAATGGTCATCCATAGTTCTTCTCTAAAGAATCAGGGTCCACCTACCCACCTGTAAAGAATTTCAACCCCCACCTTCACAGTGGTCCTTTCCACCCTGCTTTTCATACTGATTTCATTCTTTAAGACAACCCGGGTTGTCCTATTCTTTAGAGGAAATTCGCACAGGGATAGCTGCACAATCTTCTGGATCCTTCCTCCATCCCCTGCTCGAGAAACAAAGAGGACTCGCAGCGCGAGCCTACCCATCGACTTCGATTGACTCGGCTCTATGCGAAACCAGGGACGAGAGGATGCTCTACGGGATCCTCGTGAAGGGACGCTGAAATGCTGCTAGTGAGGGTAAGAGATTGCACTCACCACCTGTTAGGTAATGCTAGATATTCGGATTTCATGGTCATCCGAACTCGGAGCCGTGCCATCCACTTAACCCTGATGATTTTATAGGGAGTATAACAATGGAAGTTTTGAAGAACACACGATCGACGATCCGCGATCCGCAATCTGCAGAAAGACGCTGAAACGGGCGCCCTGGCCAGGAAAGGCACTCCACCTTTCCATCCAACTGGATCTTGGAGATTTGTCTCCATGCTTGGCCTCAACCGAGCTGAATGACAGAGTTTGGCATGTGCCGGAAGAAGCAAAAGATAGGGGTTTGGATGGTTTGGTTGGTTTGGCTTCAGGGATGCAAACAACACCAAAAACTGTATGAATAAGCCACCCAAAGGTGCTAAGGGGTGTTTGCCGCCAATCCTGGGGTCTCAATAGCTGCAGGATCTGCCTTCCGTAAGACCTAAGAATCTCGACTCAACCTGAAGAGTCAGAAACCCTCGCAGTACTTTCTCATCTTTTCCCCCAATAAAGAATACCTAAGTCTAATGGGTGTCACCCTTTATTTTCTGACATGACCTGGCAATGAACAAAATTTTATACAATTTAACATATCCTTTCAAACGAAAAAAAAGCCTCTCCGGGAGACCTCATCCAACACCTTTTTGCCACACCGCCACAGCGGATGTGAAACTGTGGCACTGGCTTCTTCTGCACGTGGAAGGGCTTGCAGGCTGCAGTAACGATGGGTCGAAACCTGAAGCCCCCCACCCACGTAGCTTGGCCTCCCAGGTATGTCAACCAAGTTATTCTGGGTTTGACCCACAGCCATAGCTACTCTATGAGTCTCAAGGAGTCTCTTCTCAATTTGCAGGGCTCCGGTGGTGGCAGAGATTCTGGAGCGCTGGAAGCACTCTCCTTTTCCTCTGCTCTCGAAGTTCTCTCCTTTTGCTCCTTCTCCCTCCGCTCTCGACTCACCTTTGATCCTACTCCGCCTGCTCTCTCGGAGTTGAGTTTCTTTTTGCTCGCTGTCTTTGTAGGTCTCTGGGTCTTCTCTTTGCTATATACGTCCACAGACATACAACCAGTCCCACCATGCAGGGGGTGCTCTTAGGACGTCCCATGCTCGCCCGATATCGTTTTGCCAGCGCTGTTTTGAGCAAATTTCGAGCTGATGCCCTCCTTATCTTGTTCAATTTCTGTAAGGCCTTCGTTGCCGCATCTTGGAGTTGCGATGAAAGGTACTGCACTTCGAGGGGCACAGCGTCGAGCGCCACACACCAAACCCATGCAAACACAACGTTTTTGGTCCCTATCCTCCGCAAGACTGTATGACTGTTGTGCAAGGAACAATGTAGGCATATCATTTTGGTGAGCATGCAAATGTCACTTCCCAACTATAGATGTAGCCATCAGCGATTTGGACGATCCCTGCAGAGGCCACCAAGAATCCGAATCCTCCTGAACAAAAATAATTGAGTGGAAAAAAAAGACATCAGTCTAACATCAGCAACCAAACGCTCTGAAAACCCAACACCCAACACCAGCAAACAAGGATCACCCGACGGCCCCACAACTGAGATGCAAATTGTAACGGTTATATTATGATTGCCTTTCCACAGAATTGCATGCATTCCACCATCTCTGCTGCATTCCACGGGTCTTTCATACTGGCGGGCATTTGGGTGGCCCCTTCGCATTTGGGTATGGGTCTGGTAGCTCATCTACATGGCGGTCCCTCATAAAACACAAGCAGTTGTATGGAGAATGGATGAGAATCATAGCCGCTCCTTGACCGGCGACTTGTCGCCGGATCAAGCACTGTGAAGCGACAAGCCCTGTGCGAGGTGAGAAAGGCTCACGTTTTTGGACCGTAAGGAGAGTCAGGAGAGCAACCTCTTCTTGGTCGAATCGAAGCAAGAATGGCACACGGTCTTGGGCGCCCAAGATGGCCCAAGTCGCATCTGCCAGAGTTTCTCGTTCAACAGCGGCGACATTGACCCTTCCTTCCACATTGACCTTTCAACAGGTGTTCTTCAGCACAAATACACCCAATCTCCTTGATCTGATGGCGTAGGCGCACCTCCAACCCCTGTCGAGACCAGGTCGGATACAAAACGGGGCCATCAAGATGGTCTGAGCGGTGCTGCAAAACTCCCCGCACCCGCGCACGGCACCGGCGGTGACTGCGCCCAGTGACTGCTGAGACGGTGCCAAGTTGGTCTGCCGAGCGTACAGTCGGTCGACGGAGTCGAGCTACAAGAACGGCCATTCTTGGCCATCACTGTCGGGCTGCGTGATGTTCGCGGAAAACACTGGCTGTTGGGCGAAGCAATGAGAGGCTACCATGATCCACCCGATCTTGAGGGCTGAGAGGCTACTGCGATCTACTGCTGGACCGAAAAGACCACTGGGAGCAACTCTTACTGTTATATAACTGCTGGATGGTCCATGTCATGTTTCTGGGTGACTTCTCCCCCTCAGTTCATGGTATGTCCACTACACTGAAATCATTTGCTTTAGCGGTGACTCTGGGTCATGGTGGTGAACACGCTAAAGGACCACTGCCAACTTGGTTGAAAAGGCCCTTGATGAGACAACATCCTAAATTCAGCCAAATTTCAGTGTGGGGTTAACCCAAATCTTTATACCCTTTTCCTTGAATGAAGCCATTACTGCAATCGTGCCAGCAAACCTGAGAGTTTCAGCTAGACACGCGAAGTGAGAAAGGTTCAAGCCCACCAACATAGGCCTTTTAGAACAAGGAGATCCCTAACCAATGTATGTTTTCCACACAACCTGTTCCTTCTAGTTTTCCCACCTACACATTATGACGATACACCCTCACCCTGCAACGACCATTGGCCTTCCATTTCTTGAGACCAAATGATCACGCTTTGATCCCAGCTCCTGCGAAGAATGAAAACGCAGAACTGGCGGTCTGGGTGAAGGATCTCACTGTCATTCACGGAACCATGATTCGGACAAAACAACACCAAACAGGAAACATCTGGAACCTGTGCGTCTAAAATCAACTAGATTAAAAATGATGCATACTGATGCATATAATATATATATATAATATTGAAGCTCATCACCCCACCAAAGGTGCAACGAGTTGACACAAGCAAATCTGGGTCAAAAAATGTTAGAGCAGCTAATCCCCTCTCCCTAATAATAAACGGGGGGCCCCCCCCTATTAATAAAAACCCTGGGGTGTTTTTACTAATAGGGGGTGTTTATTATTGAGGGGCACCTGTTGTACCCCCAAATGGGCAATGTTCTGTTCGCCCTAATAAAAAGTAGGGTCTCGAAAGAAAATCCCTGTGGTTCCCAATCTCATTAATTATATAAAATCCTTGTTAAAACGAGGGAAGAAGGCTTGACAGCGCTGGAGAGAGAGAGAGAGAGGGAGAGAGAGGGAGAGAGGGAGGGACAGGGAGGGACAGAGAGGGACAAAGAGGGACAGAGAGGGACAGAGAGGGACAGAGAGGGACAAAGAGGGACAGAGAGGGACAGAGAGGGAGAACCAGGGTCTCGCGGTCTCGCCGAAGAGAGAGAGAGGGAGAGAGGTATTTTTTGGGGAGGATTGGAGATGTTTTTAATATTAGGGGGAATTCGGGTTATTTTTGCTGTCCCCCTAATACACCTAAAATGTGGGGCACCCCCGACTGTGGACCCACGAGTATTGAATTTCAAAGGGAGCAATTTCAAAACGCTACTAACAGTTTTTTGGGGTCGAGCACATGTGTTTTTATTAATTGGGGTACGTTTATTAATAGTAACTCGGGATTACGCACACTACTAGTGGGTGATGCTCCTGAATTTGCCAAATTTCCCCCTTGACAAATACAACATTGAAAAGGAGGCGGGGAAGAATGCTGGCTCATCAACTTGGAGTTGGCTTTACATGGCTTTACAAAGCTGGAAAGATCTACTACTCATCCCGGCGGACTCAGCACCTTGCTTTGGGAGGCCATCGCTATTAGGTCGGAGGCCATCGCTATTAGATTGGAGGCCATCGCTATTGGGAACCAGTATTAAAACACTTACACAATTTTACACATGCCACAACCGCCACAACCCCCAAAAAAGGCTTCACACAGCTTTCAGCTTTCGAGACAGGAACAACCGAGGAACTCACTCAACGGCCCAAAGTGCCAACACCGCAGCAGTTTCCACACAAACTCCTCACCGTCGCTCGTTTTCCTTGCAAAGAGATTGACCAGAAGGGTGTGAAAAAAGGCCCCTTTTCTGTAGTGTCAAGCACAGCAATTCAAAAGACCATGTATTTTGGGGACTGCAGACCACCAGCACACTCTCCATGTCAATGTGTCCAACCTTCGAACTCAACCAAACAAATCACACATTCTTCGGACTCATCGTTCGTCGCTTGTTCAATCGGCGGGGCTCCCGGTAGCAAGCACGCTAGAATGGTCCGGTCGCCAAGCAACATCGCGGACCTCGGATCGCCGAGTCGACATCGGTGGAAGGCCGATCGTCGACATCGGAATGGACTCACCGTCGACCGTTGGGGTTTGATTGGATCATTCTGACTGACACGTTTCTCGTTTGATTGCGTTGGATGCTTTTCTATGCTTTTCTGACGTTTAAAACATACCCAAGCTCTAGCAAGTCTGCAAAACACAATAACGTTAAAAAAAGAAACACATCTAAAAAAACAAAAACAAACAAACACATCCCGATGATCAGAACCCCTTCACAAGTGCACGCACACACAGTTCGATAATGAGTTTGCAGTTAACTCTGTTCCACGAAGAAAGGAATGAGGGAACGGAAAGGCGATGGAGTCCGCTGACTTGAATTGTTAAAACATTGTGTTGCACATCTGCCGAATGAATACGTAGCCGAGAAACTAGTTACTGAATACTTAGCAGAAACGAATTAACGCCGTGCATGGAACCCTGGTTTGGGGGGCGTATCATGAAAATCACCATGAAAGCAAAAAAGAGAGTAGAACAGTGTGGACAACAGTTAAACCGCCGGTACGTTTGCACCCAGGTGGGGGCTGTCTTCGTTGGCCGGAGACCCCCCACCTGGCTCCGGCCCCCGGCGGCTTTAAACAAACTCAAAAACCTTCGAAACAGACTAACAAAAACTCCTAGAGACGGAGGTTGACACACACAGACCACACACCCATCAACCAGCCCCTTCGTAGATGCCCCTTTTCACGCCAAGGAGCCCAATCGGTGTGGGCGTATGGAAAGCGTGGGTTCTCTTCGCACCAAACCTGCGGGTGAGGAAAATTGGGGCCCTGAGCATATATCGAGGAAAAGAGGCAGGGTTAGGGATTAGGGTTTCAATATACAATCCGCTCAATATATGACGCATTGAACTCATTGAACTCAGCAACAGCAACAACTCAACAATTATGCAGTGTCTCAGGGATCTTGTGGCTCACAAAGTAAGCGCTGTCTCAAGCCTGTCTCAAGCCTAGAAGCAATACGAAAATAGCTTTCCCAAGCTCAAAAAGTGAGAAGATGTGAGAAGCTGTTCAACACATTCCAAAACTTACTGTAAAGCATCTTACAGTAAAACAAACGGAACATAAAACTGTTCCAGGCTTTTTCATCCAACTACGACTTGGACATCTGGAGGAGCCAGGTGAATCAGGTGAATCAGTTTTTCGTCAAATATCTGATGATATCCAAACTAGGGGATGGTAGGGCATGGCTAGGGCATGGCATGGTAGGATTGTCCCCTCCATCCCAATCCGGCTACCCGCCACGGTGCGGACGGTGCACCTCGTTGTCAAACCTCCATATCTTCACCTGACCAGATCTGAAGCCGCTTGAATCAACTGTGTTTTTATGTGTTTTTTTCTGGTGCGTGTGGGGATCATCCATCGTCAGCCCAAGTGGAATGGTCTGTGAAGGTCAGCCCATGGGCTGCAGGTTATGGATAATCTTACGGGGTTCTCCCAACGGGAGCGAGTGAGACATTGGAACCGTGAAGCATCCTGAAGCCCATTTTGGAGCACTCACCTAGGAGGAGAGGTTATTTATAACTCCCTTCCTTAGCAGTGTACGGATCTGGGCCCCTTTCCGCATTCATTCGGATATCACGATCATTTGTCCCAAGTATATAATGGCAAAATGATACTATCCCATTAAGAAGTTGTATACAGCAATATGTGTTCTGTCACTGTAGGTGGTCCCTCCGCTGGTGGTTCACAAGTCTGGAACCCTCACCCCACGCTTTCCCACGCTCCCTCCGCCACGTCTCGCCGTTCCCCGCGCCGTGTGGTCGCAGCCACCGGTCGCCAGGCGAACGGAGCCGCAGGGCACGCCGTCCCGGTAGCTCACTGGGCGACGTCGCGGCGGTTGGGGGTGTTCACCGTCGACCCGTGTGGCACGGACAAAGGAACGGTGACTGAGGTACGCCTGATCTGTGCGGTTTTGGGGGGTGTTGGAGCGTAATGCAGAAGGGTCTTTGATTGTCTTTGGAAGAAGATGACGTGAGGTTGGAATCCTGGATCGGAGACAGTGTATGTCTCAGTTCTAGGTTTGAATTCTTCCTAACACTGAGTACTGGGCGTGCTTCGTTGGTATTGATTGATTGGAGGTAAATCACGAAGATAGTGAAGGTGACCATCCCCTCCAAGCTAGTCACATGGATTCAAGCGCTGAAGAACCTCAACACAGCTGTGGAATAGCCCATGTCAGAGCACAGCTTTTCTCGGAGTCTGTCACTGACCCTTGCCCCCCCAACCCCGGTATTCAATTTCCCGGTGGGTGGCTATGTTGAGGAACGATATTATTATCTATTCTTTTTTTTTAACGAGTTGAATTACATATTGATATCATGTGAATTGAATAAAAACACAAGCAAAGAGAAGGTGGGTTGATGCGTTGTTCTCGGAGCCCTCATCCGTTCTCCGATCCCATCCCACCGGCCTGGTGCCCAGTTCACAGTCTGAGCCCCACCCGAATGGGCCTGCATCACCTGACCCCGGTTTCAACCGGGGCAGAAAGCGCTGCGCAGCCAGGGAGAAGCAGTTTCAAGATGTTTCAACATTGGCCAGACTGGCAAGGGCCTCCGCATCCCGCAACTAGGAACCTAGTTTGGCTTGAGACATCTTCCAGAAGGGCTGTAAGAAACACCAGAGCCTCTTACATCAGCATGGTGACGCAGAAAGACCCAATGAATCCCCAGTCTGAGGAAATTCCAAGCATCCCGACCCCCACAGGGTTTTTCAGCATACTACACACATATACAGGAACCTGACAAAGTCATCCCTCAGTCATCCCATACACACCCTTTAGTCACCCAATTGGCTTATGGAGGATCCGATCCTCCGAACACGTTTCGCCCTTGGTTTCGCCCTTGGTCTCGCCCCGCCCGGTTCGGATGCGCCGGGGGTGGGGGTTCCGCACGCTCCGTCTCCATTGGCCGTCGGCGGGCGAGTAGCTGAGCACCGAGACCTGAGGTGTGGCGGACGGACGGACGGACGGACTCGGGCGAGCTCCGAAGTGTTGGTCCCGGTTCCGAAGGCTTTTGCAGGTTGGAGGCCATGTGTGTGTTGGAGGCCATTGCTCTTAGGTTGGAGGCCATGTGTGATATGTGTGTTTTCCTTTTTTGCCAAGGAGGCGTTGGGTGGATGTGCTCAAGATGTGATGCTCAAGACACATCTGCAAAGAGGGAAGGTCCAGGAGTTTCCAAGACTGGTGAACTCTAATTCATGTGTATCAGAGTGGATTGCTCAAGTTACTCACCTCTGAAGATGCAAGCGACTTGCCACTGGACATCTACACCACGCCCATGCATCAAGCCGTGAACCACGACAAGGAAGGTGTCTGCTGTTCACGTTCAACGAACATATCTGGTGTCCCCCACAAAACCGGGGAATGTTCTGTTAGGGACCCTTCCCCCCTTTCATCCCCTTTCTTATGGTTGATCTCCACTCGCAGCTGTCTCCTGAGATGGCGCCACGCATGAACTTCAACACCTGTCCTTTGATGGTCTTTTGCAAGCCCAGCTCTGCACACCAAACCCCAAAAAGCAAAGGACAAATGATTCCGGATTGTTGCACATGATGCTGCTCACGTTCCATCATTATTATATATCTGTGTGTGTGTTCTGTTTCAGCTGTTGTTAGCTTTTCAGAGAGCATTCTTATCACCTATTGCATCCCAAATTGCTGTATTTTGATGGCGTCCTCCCCCTTGGTGCTGGCAACCTTCCTTCCGCTCCCGCACCTGGCCATCAGAGGAGGCACAGGCCAGGCGCAAGCCGTGCTCCTGTGGGGCAAACCTCGGAGGTTGAAAGAGCAGGCGCTGATGTTCCACGTAACCATGTTTGTTGGATGGAGGGCATCACAAAGAAGTACACATCACATACATTACAATGTTCACAACGTTACACATTGACACAGTCGGCAGGACCTCTTGCCCATCAACACTTCACCGCAACATCAATGATCACAAATTCCGTCCTCGGTCTTCTTATCTCTTTGAAACTTTCACCTCCAAGAGAAAGCGACTTGAAGGCCTTTCCAACACTTTTTGAACTACCAAACTCGGCCATCTCATCGACTCCAACACCCACGTGTTCCGTTACCAAAAACGCCCACGTACGTTCCAACGACCGTTCCGTCCCACGTGTTCCGTCCCACGCGACGCATACCCTGCCGCATACCCCACGCCCGGTCCAAGCGACTCCACGTCATTGACCGAGGCTGCATGGCTGCTATCCACGTAGGCCATGACCCAGTGCCCACGGTCCTGCCGCAGTGACGAGCAATGCCCCTATCCCAGGCACGGTCGCTTTAGCGTCAGGCGCATGGCTAAGGCATGCATTCTTCATCAGATACAAAACCTCATCAAACGCATGAGCAGTCCGGCAAAAACGTGACGTTGTAATGGTGACACCCTGCAAACAGAGTCGAATCCTATAACTCTTGGGAATCATGTAAAGGCAAGTTAATGGCAGGTGAGAAATGTATCAAAAAAAAATAGAACATCTGGCTGTTTTGGTTGATCAATAGAGCAATCACTTTTCTTCCTCGAATACGCATTGGTCCGATCCCAATCGTTACAAAGTAAGGGAGCCAATCTGCTCCAGTGTCTGCGGGGTCACTCAGCTGTGTTGAGTTTGAGAAACCAGTCTGCAACAAAATGAAGCAGTTCTATAAGTGCCGCCTGTGTAAGGGGCCTGCGGCAAAGAAGAAGTGCCATGTAGGAAGGAAGACCCAACTGCTGCAGGTGTGAGCCTCTCCAACCAAAGACCAAGATCGAGCTTGTCCAACCCTCCAACAGCCATTCCAACCTCAATCTTCAAGGTCTGTCCTCTTTCCAGATGATCACTTTCATGTCATAACCTGGCCACCACCACAAGTGAGAAGCTCAATGGTTGAAACGCTTCTAAACGGCTGGACGAGTCGCCGCAGCGCTACGCGCTACGCTACGCGCGCTGCGCGTCTCGTATGGCGCCTTCTCAGGGTTCGTTTCGGATCGGAACCGGATGGCACGACCACGGGCACGACGCGACGCGACGACGCGAGAATGCTTTAATTACTTCGCGCGCTTTGACGCGGTGAGTGGGTAACAGCGGACGGTCAAGCAGTGGAGGCTCCATGTTTTTAAGCACCTGACTTGGGGGCCCACAAGTGCCATCTAACTCTCAATCCACCAAAAACCCTTCAGATTCAGAGTACTCACCTTCAAAGTGACCGAGACCTCGCAACCGCCGAAGAAAAAGAGGAAAAGTCCTGAAAAGTCCGGCCAAAAGGGAAAGTAAGTAGATGGTCGTATACTCTCTTGCATCTGAAGCAGAAAAACACCACATACAAGTAAAACCTTGTTGGATAACTACTGGTACAAATAGTTGGATAATTACTGGTACAAACACTTGTGAAAAGTTGGAATCTCTTGGAATTTGCTAGGCCTCTTGTGACCAACCCTCTATCCCTGCCCAGGCCAAATGCCTCTTCCACCCATCAACCCCATGCCAAACCCCACTGATCACGCCATCGGTCGAACCAAGTCCCACACCATTCGGGTGCTGACTCCTGAGCCGTTTCCTCAGAGACTAAAGGTGTTCCTATTTCATCATGAATCCCCTGTCCATCCGCCATGTTCGACCTGTTTATAGTTTAAAGGCGTGTTGCTGGTAGTCCACTTCATGAATTTTGCTGCTATCCACGCTTCTCCATGCTGATCCACCATACTTCCTGAAACACCCGCCGTCTCCCGTCTTCTCTTCTTCCCCGTTGGCTCACCGGCGGTGGCCAGCAAATGGCCGAAGCGGGGATGGGCCCAAGAGACCTGCCGCATCCGAGCCGAGCAACGAAGCGCCCGCCAGGCGCCAAACCAAGAAAGCCCCAAAAAAGAACATCAAACACATGAAACTATAGCGCGAATCTGTCCAAGCCACAGCTCATGTTAAGCGGTGGAATAAAACCATAATACATCAAATGGGATGCCGGATGGGTCTGTAAAACATGTGGCCTTACTCGGGAAAGACCTTTTTGGCGCAATTGGGGGACGGATGGTACTTGGCTTGTTCAGTCGTGAGCCCGGCGTCCCAGGTTTGAGCTTTTACTTGAACATCGATCTCGATGAGAAACCCACCTCAAAATCTTCTGACAGCCGTTGACTGAACTAATGCAAGTGATAGAAACTGAAATCCATCATGGACATCTCTTGAAACACCAAACTACAGTTTAGTGGAGCAGTTTCAACATCTATGGTGCCTTTTTTGCAGGACGAATGCCGCAAGCTGTTCTCTCTCTAGCGCGACGAACACTTGGCAAGGCCAGTGGCCAATGGCCAGCGCGATTCCAGGATGTCTCCGATCACAGCTGATGCCAACGATATGTCATATGTGCTTTGGGATCTTTTGGGATACCTTTGGCTTTCGCTTTGGACGCAAACTTAGGTAAAGTTAGACTATATTATATAGACAATTAGGAGTCATGATGCCTACTATGATATCCCTATATATGCTATGCCATGCCACGCTATACCATATATACTGTGAACAGATTCCATATAGCTCAAGTGCATGAAGACGACTTGGTCCTGAGATCCACAACCATCCCCCGGACTCAGGTCGCGACACCTCATGAAGCGAGGTCCGGGCTTCACCAGTGCAACTCCCGGAAGTTGAATCTACAGACTGGATAAGTGAACATATCTCTGATAGACTATTGCCATATATTGTCATCCAATGCCACTATCAAATACTATGGGTTCTTTTCAGTTCTGAACTCTAGAAGGGGTGCAAGACCAGTTCAAGCACAAGAACAGGATCAAGGTCAGCAGGACATCAAATGGTCCAAAATATAGATTGAGACTTCCACTATACACCAGTTGGTCATTGACATGGACATGTTTCAAGACTTGTTTGAACGAGCCTTTTCTTGCGTGTATGTGTTCAAGATTTGCAGTGCGCACGATGTTTCCTCTCTAATCAAAATAAGAAACACCACTGTGTTCGGATCCTTCGATTGACTTACACCATTGTTCGCTCGCTCCTTCGCTGTGCATGCGATGCTTCGAAAGCTGATTCCGTGGAGAGTCCGTGCGCACGGACGTACTCCGGTGTGCCGGAGTGGATGCAAACAGCGGTGTGGCAGATCTCATGCACAGACTGTCTGGATGCACAGGCTGTCGGTCATGTTTCGATGGGTCTGTGGATCAAACCCCGGGCACCCTGGCTGACGAAAATGAACAAATTCCTCTATAAGGGGTGTCAACCTAACATGGTTTGGTGAGGGAGGTTTTGACTCATAGCCATGTCTGGGCAGGATCGCCTTCAGCATCGCCTTACTATGGCCAAATCGACTCTCCTGGCAACGCGAATGTCTGTCTCAGAATATATTCTTCACGTTACGTGAATTACCGTTGGATGGTGAGGGTTGCGATGAAAAGGATGGACAGTGTCCTCAAAAAGAGTCATCTGCCATCATCTGCCCAAGCTCTGTCCAAGGTTCAGTGGTTGTTTCTTTGGTTGGTTCCCAGCTGCACAGATCGGTTCTTTTCCATCAAAGTCCCCCTTTGATGATTTAGAGGATGGACGGGTTGCTAATGTGTAATGTATCTAATTTGTTACGAAGTGATCGCCAAAACCTCAGGCCTCCCAGGCCTCAAACAGGAAGATTCAACCTGCGTAATTAAGAATTATTCTACATCCATCTATAAATCCCCAGCAAAGCTTGAAGATTCATTCGGATTCACATTAAACCAACAGTTCCTTTGTCTCTATAGGTGATGATTGAATCATCACACTCCCTCAGTTGATGCCACTATGCCGCCGCTAGCTATGCGCGTTAGTGGACACCTCCTCACGCCACCTCTGGTGGTTCGCGGGGAAGCGGCTTGAGTCTCGCGCCATGCGCTTCAGGTAACATGCCAAGCGTGTGAGCTCCTCGTCGGTCGCGTGGTCACGGCAGTAGTATCCTGACCGTAAAAATGCTGAGATGGGCCCGGCTTCCCCCTAGCGTTCTGCACATGGGTTTCAAGAAATCCATCCAACCAACCAACCAACCCGACCAACCCGACCAACCCGACCAACCAACCCACCCACCACCCACCAACCAACCAACCACATAATTTTTACAAACATGAGAACATATGAGAACCATCGAACGAAGGCCAATGATTTATGATGATTGATGGTTTTCCCATGTTTTCCCCGTAGGAGCCACAGGGTCTATATGCAGGGTGATGAGAACAGTTCTATCTACTTCAGCAGGATGGTTTTGTCACATGTAACGATGGACCTGGAGGTGCTACATATATGGTTACAACCCCAATCTCTTGCCGTCTGTCCCAAGGTCAAACGGATACCGATCTAAACACCAAAACCGTGCCAGGAAACGAAACGACTCTTCACACATCTCACCAAAACCTTATGGGCCTATACACAGTGATCAAGCATGTACACACGTCACATCCAACCCACCAATGACCTATTTTCCAGTCCCCTACCCTACATTGCCCCATTGACCGGCAATGCCGATCAACAGCTCCACAACAACTAAATACCAAGAAGTCTGATGCCTTGATCAACGAACCCGGAACGAAATATTCACTTCTGGGCTACTAGAATGGTTACAATATGTTACAATGGTCTCCATGTCATGTAGATCATGCACCCTATCGAAGCCGGTGAAAAAAAAACACCTTCTGCACATCCGTCAGACCGACCGGTGTCGAAACACCCTCCGCCCATCTGACGTCTCGGAAGCTCAGTGGCGACTGCACTGGATGGAGTGCTGGGGATTGGCCCGGCAAACGTCCACCGTGTCGTCGACGATCACGGTGTTCCTTGGGAGCGAAGGTCGTCGTCGTGGTGTGTTCGTCTTTGTGGGTTACCCGACATGGTCACGAGGTAACCCATTGAAGTACACGCAAAGATCAGGGAGGTTCTGCAAAAATGGCAACTCTGTGGCGGGGCTAAAGCAATGTTTTGCAACTGGGATAGGGTTGAAACCAACCTCAGCAAATCAGGCAAACATTGTTGATTCAGTGCTGTGTCTTCTTTATGGACTTCTTTATGGTTCTTTCAGTTTTCTTTACGGTCTTTACGTCTACAATGCATGAGGGTGAAGGATTTCAGCATCGGAACTATCTCCAATTTTCTCCGATCGATTCACCCGAAACGCTGGAGTAGCTCCGATCATCTCCGATCCATGGATGTCTTGTTGACTCTGAGCCGTGGGACCTCATAGCTGTTGACTGGTGAGAGAAAAACAAAAGGCCTACTACCAGACAGAATGGTCCAGCCCGGGATGCATCTTGGGCGGAACGGAGACCTTTTGGACTAGTCTCCAGTCTTTTTGACTTGGACCACCAAAAGTCTCCTTCGTTTGAAAAACAAGCGGTTGTAGTGATACACTGATGGATGGATTGGATGTGATTTAGTTGTGCCATATTTTGCCTCACTTGCCGACACTCATGTTTCTTTCTTTCTTTCTTTCTTTGCGGAGCCCAGGCTCGATTCATTGTAGAGGCTCGCGAACTCTGCGCAGGCCCAGATCAACGACCTAACCGCAGGCGCAGCCATGCGCAGCCCCTCTCCCGTAAAAAGAACTTATGTTGAACGGACTCCAATGCCATGGGGCTGACCTTTGACATGATAGTGACCCCAAATTTCCTGCACAGGGAGTTTTGAACTATGCACGGAGATCCTCCCACTACCATCCCTGAACTTATATCTATTGGACTCCGAGAAAAAACAAACACGCGTGGCACAACATTTCTTCACAGAGAGAGAGAGAGAGACATGAAGGAGCTCGGATCAAAGACAAATCGGTGAGACAGACGGACAGACGAAACGCCTCCATCGAGTCGTCGTGTTGTTTCTGCTTTGCCCCAGACCATCTCTGTACCCACTACACTCCGGACTGCCAGTCCGGACTGCCGAGAAACGGCCAGGGGTGGTGCCGCGGCATATATTCCAGTCCCGTGGAGCGTTTGGGGTATGATATGGTAGCCGACATTAGTGTGGCCCATTTGCTACCTCCATTGGAGTGGTTGAAAAGGGGTCAATGATGGTCAATGTCACCCAGTGGGACTTCATGCCAGTTTCACTGGCACTCTCACGACGTGCTGGTTGTCTCCAGTCCTTGGGAGTTCGGCCCGGCCACGTTTGACGGCTCAAGCTTCACCATGCTTTAGAGGCCTGCAACAGTTTCACTGGTGCTTTAGAAAAATAGGAGTCCTGGAAGGTGGGAAGTGGAATGCTTCCTTTAGACCTCATGCACCAGGGTCTAAATTCTGTCCTTTATAGACCTCAGTCTGACTCATCTCTGACAGAGGTCTATCAGTCTATCAGTGTCCCAAAAAGAGGAAGAACTTGTGGGAATTGAGGGCAACGGCACAAAAATAGGGTGCCATCTAAACCCACTTGTACAAGGAAACAAAGATCTACAACCTGATGGTCCCTGGGTCTTGCTGGAGCCCGCAGCCATGCAAAGCAGGTGTTGTGATCTGTCGCGCCTTTCCTTGTCGCCCTGAGGAGAGCAAGGCACTCCATCCACCCAGCATGGCCCGGCACCAGTCTAGCCAGTCCAGCACCAGTACGTGAGTTCGGCCCACCCACCCCATCCAGCCGCTGGTGGATGCCAAGTGGCAAGGGTTTTACACCTGGCCATCACAGGCCATCGAGAGTAGCACGCCATCTATTAGCTTCTTGTTACTACTAGTAACAAGTGCCACGCTAGTAGTAACAAGTGCCTTACTAGTAGTAACAATGTTTGCTATTAGAATTAAAATTAAACAATTGATCTTTTAAGATCTCTAGGTGAGAGCCCTCTAGAGGTCTTGTTACCTTGTTCAGTCGTTGATGGGAGCCCTCTCTCTCTCTATATACATATATGTTATATGATTATACTTGAGACAAACTTTCATTGTGCTCGGTGATGTCATTAAGGTCCTTTCTTATGCAAAGAAGAACCAAGCACGACCAAGCACGCGCTGGGATGAAGACCCTCATTGCCCATCCTGGAAGGCAGTTTCAAGATTCACAGGAAGAAATCGGGTCGTGCAGGACCTCAAACATGCAGGGTTACTGATGAATGTGTTGAACCAAAAGACGTGGCGGTTGTCATCATCAGCAGCTTCTTCTTTGTGTTTATTGTCTTTCTTTCTCTCTGTCTTTCTTTCTCTATTTTGTTCTTTCGTTCTTTCTATATTTTTTTTGTTGTGTTCTTTTATTTATTTGTTTCTGTCTTTATTTATTTTTCCTTCCTTCCTTCCTTTCTTTCTTTCCTTTCTTTCTTCCTTCCTTCCTTTCTTTCTTTCCTTTTCTTTCTTTCTTTCTTCCTTCCTTCCTTTCTTTCCTTCCTTCCTTTCTTTCTTTCTTCCTTCCTTCCTTCTTCCCTCCTTCTTCCCTCCTTCTTTCCATCTATCTTTCTGAACACTCGCCGAGTGACAATCTGCGTGGGCCATGCCTTCTAGGTCACTCAGCGCCCCCTCCGTCGCTCCATCCTCCTCCTCCTCCTGCTCCTCCTCCTGCTCCTCCTCCTCCTCCTGCTCCTCCTCCTCCTGCTCCTCCTCCTCCTCCTGATCCTCCTCCTGATCCTCCTCCTGATCCTCCTCTTGATCCTCCTCCTCATCCTCATCCTCATCCTGATCATCATCATCCTGATCATCATCATCCTGATCATCATCATCCTGATCACCATCATCCATCATCCATCATCAATCATCAATCATCAATCATCCATCATCAATCATCAATCATCAATCATCAATCATCAATCATCAATCATCATCATCATCATCATCATCATCATCATCATCTGCAGGTTCTATCCATGTATTTCAAGGCGATGACCACCAAAAAGCATGAAACCTCTTCCTAGTTGCGATCCACCCACCTTGCGCGACTCGATAGAAGTCCAATAATATTCACCACATCTCCAAGCTATTTGTGTCAAAAATAGTAAAAAAGGCAACCTTTTTTGACCTTCTGACAGCCTTCGGTCTAGCCGGTAGCCTTTAAACAAAAGAAGTAAAACAACAAGTATCCATCCGAATCCATTGGACCGGAATACCCTCTGCTGCCCTCCAGTCCCGGAGTGAGAGAAAACCCACTCACCACCCGCACAAAACCCCAGTGGTACCGATGGAGGTGGCGCCGAGGCGCTTTTGGAGCGGCGGCGTGCTTTCGACAAAGCTGGCCCCTTAGGGTGAAGAGAGAAGCGGCGGTAGAAGTTCGGTGCTTTTGAATGGCAAACACCCGATGTACAAAAGGTCAAATGAGATTGATCCACTTAGTCAAGGTCTTGTTCCTAACTTAATGTTGGCTTTTCTCTTCCTTCATTGTCCTTCTTCACTTCAGCTTTACTCTCCTCTCTGGTTCGGTCAATCAATATCTTTAGGGGTGAAAGTCACTCGAAACAAATGAAGTTGGAACAGGGATTATTGGTGTTCAAGTAGATTTCAGACATATCAAGAATTAATGTTTAATTGAATTGTTTGGAACTTCTGCTGCAGATCTAAAAGTTTTGTTTCATAGTTGTTGGTAATGGCCGTAAATCTATACCAACATAAATTTCATGTATAAGTCATTCTGTGAAAAACAACAAGACAAAATAACTTGTATATTGTTAGAATTCATATAAATAGTTTGTGAAAAAATGATTCGTTGATGAAAAAGGAACGTGTTCACAAGACATCTAACTAATACAAAAGTCGCTTTCAATCCAGAAGATATGAATGCAATTGTAACATAACTGAATCTTAAAGTTAAATGATACTTAAATTGAACAACAATGGACAACATGTCAACATAACCGTGAACGTTCATTTTCATACACAGAACATGTTCATACACATGCATTCAACTGAACATTGTTCATACCTTCGAGCATTCATGGCGTCCAATCGTGGAACTTCGCCTAAAGATCCTAAAGGGTGGACTGCGACGTGCGTGATGATCATGCGACAGCATAACAAAAGTATCTTCAGAAATCGAAAAACGTACAACCCCCCCTAACGGCCCAACAGATCCAGACAACTATCTGGATGTGAAAGACCATGAGCTGTGGACATGAAGGCCGCCGCATAGAAGCTAGCTTGCCAAAATCAATTAACAGTGGGTTCACTCAAACAAACCACGCTTTCTGGGAAAAGCCTCCACCTTCTGTTCCAAGTCCACCGTGGGTGAAGACCACATCTCACTGCTTTCCAGCGGCCGACTCGCCGACCTCCTGCCCCAGCGACATCCTCGGATCCGTCTCAAGTCCGTCCGGCAGCACGAGTCCCGGGCCGTTGGGTCGGCCCGTGATGCACCAGGGCCCGAGCCAGGGGTGGTTCATGGACATCCCTTCACCCCTAAGGAGCTATCATTGAACGTTCTTCGGGTCTCGGGTGACATTTCGGGTGAACGACTGCCGAGCGTTTCCGGTCTCTCCTATACTAGGGAGAGCAGAAGCCTTTTTCTAGCCCATAGAGCTTAGACATACATGGGCTTACATGGGTGTGTATAGGGGTGTATGGGTAAGAGGAAAAATTTCAAGGAAAGGTGTGGAAATCAACATGAACAAAAGGACCCATTGGTTGGGAGGGGTGTCCTATCCCAACCCACACACACACACATCCGCCAATTCCTGTCGTCCAGCATTGATTAATGCCAGCCTGCGTCAATCAGAATTGTCCGGTATATATATATATATAGTGGTACCTACAAGTCACAAGTTCCAACAGTTAATCTACAAACAAGCATTTGTTGTGAACCGATCTTTAAAATAAACAAACTGGATGGCAAGCTTTTGCAGTGCCTGAAGGCTTGCAACAAATGTTGATTTCAAAAAAACATGCCGGTAGCCTAACTATCACCACAAGCTGCATATCACCTGGGAAACGAAAACACTATGGAAAATAGCCACTGCAAACGATATCACTCACTCTTTCCTCATGGTTCCTCCCTCACGTTTGTGTCACTTTCCACCGACCCCGAAACGTCGGAGACCGCGATCGACGTCCGACCCGGTCTTCTTCGTCGTCCTCGCCGCGGACTCGAAGGCGCCGACCGCGGTGTCGGGCCTTCGGCTCCAAGGGGCTGGAGTGCCTTCTGTAGCTCGGCAGCCTCGATGCTCAACTCCTCGCTGGCCTGAGGAGGTCGTCGCTGTGGATGCTCAAACTGCCAAGGACTGGGGTCGTCCTTGCGTATCAAAGAACGGTGGACTTGAAGACTTGAGAAGAATTGATCAGGGTGGTGGCTTGGTGCATTCTGCAGTTAAAAACAAATACAGTACACAAGTGTAGACTCTTGCTGATGCCCTTGGATGCCCCTGGAATAGAAATACAAAAGAAACACGGGATAGAAACTAAACAATCCAACCTCCTTCAGAGAGAGAGAGAGAGAGAGAGAGCAAAAAAAAAAGGGTCTTCTCAACACATGGTTCCAGGAACCAGGCGTTGAAGGCAGACATGGAGCAATCACCTGGACGGATGGTTCATCTTAGAACACCCAGCCAACCCAGCTTAGACACCCATGCGACACCCAATAGACCCGACCTGGGTAAAAACCACCAATCTCGCCAGCCCGCCGCTCAGGACCAGGAAACATAAGCATATATAAGTAGCCCAACACAAACACCTCCCAAAGAACCTCATCTGCACTCATGTCCTCTCCAAGGAGCTGAGCTCAAGGCACCCGGAATGGTCACGTGAAAGTCATCGCCTGGCTTGTGACCTGACAGAATCGATGCTCTCCCGGTTGCGGGAGAGGAAAACAGAGAGGTTCACCCAGTTCCACCTGTTATAGTTCTCTCAGTGGGGTGTCACCAACCAGCCCCGAAAAATGAAAATATCCATCAAGCGAAACCAAACCTGGATTTCCAGAACGGAGGTTCCTCACACCTGGTACCATCCTGGACCCATGTACTCGATCGAGGTGCCTATATGGGTTCGAAGGCACAAAGACATCAGGGTTCGAAACAGCTTCCGTGCATGTAGGAGATGTCATTGTTGTCCAGCTGTTGTGTAATGGTTTTGTACGGTTCCTACCTTAGTTTACCCTGTTTTGACCCTGTTTCCATAGCTAGACGCCCCATAGCTAGACGAGCATCTTCCCGGACCCTTCGAGAGAAGATTCTCGGGATCTTTCTGTGGATCCATCAGTCTGAAATCGATGCTAATAAGATCCAATAAAGTACATATTGAACTCGATGTGCGAAAGGAACAACCAAGAGGTGGGTGGGTTGTGGTCGAATCCAATTTGGTTTCACACTGTCGCTTATATAATCACTTATATATACTCAGTCCTTGAGTCGTGCCAGCACTGTGCCAGGTCACATGTCCTGCCCTTCCAACACCATCCAGCACCAACATGTTGATGATGTCAATGCCTAATCCCCTGATCGGACGCTTTGTTCTGTCAGTAACCTTTCTGTCTGCCGACTTGATTCGCATCTGGTAACCCCGTCTCATTCGGCAAAGAAGCCGGGTGTGCAAACGTAAGATGTAGGTCTGGCAAGTTCACTGTGGTTCGCTCAAACCTGCAATGGTGGCAAATGGGTTTGCCCTGCAAACTGAGGCCAACAACTGTCCATTAGCCAAGACTACTCGAAGACTTTGGAGACTGGACTTCAAGTCACGAGCAATGCGCTTCTGAGCGTCTATTGCAAGGTCAGACCCACGTGCACGCAATTGTAACACTTCATGTCCAGCCAAATCCCAGCATGTCAGCAGGGCTGCATCTTCTTCTAAGACAACAGCCAAGTGTAAGACATAGTCATAGTCTTTAGTAAGGGGTGTCAAATCACACACGTACCGCCAGCTGGCGGTTGCAAACGTCAAGATCTCGCGCCAAGATTTCAAAGACGGAATGGTGCATTGTCCATCACCATTTAATCCGAAAGCGAGAGCGCTCCCATCGCTTCGAAGAAGAACTGTATGACCAACTCCTGCAGAAACCTGCGTGTGGGATATTCCCTCCTTCAGAGGCGGAATGTTGCACTGTCCGTGATCATTCCGTCCGCATGCAACAGCGCTTCCATCACTTCGAAGAAGGACTGTATGATCGCGTCCTGCCGAAACTTGGGTGTAGGACATTCCTTTGTCCAAAGGCGGAATTTTGCATTGCCCATGATAGTTTTCTCCACAAGCAACTGCACTGCCATCACTTCTCAGAAGTACTGTATAAGACCTTCCGGCAGAAACTTGGGTGTAGGACATTCCCTCGACCAAAGGCGGAATGTTGCGTTGCTCATCATAATTTTCTCCACAAGCAACTGCACTACCATCACTTCTCAGAAGTACTGTGTGAGACCCCCCGGCAGAAACCTGGGTGTAGGACATTCCCTCGACCAAAGGTGGAATATTGCATCGTCCATCACCATTCCATCCGCATGCAACTACACTACCATCATGACGGAGAAGGACTGTATGGGCACTTCCGGCAGAGACCTGGGTGTAGGACATTCCCTCATCCAAGGGTGGAATGTTGCATCGTTCATAACCATTCCATCCGCAAGCGATTGCACTCCCATCATTTCGGAGGAGGACAGTATGGGCGTTTCCTCCAAAAGCCTGAGTGTAAGACATTCCCTCATCCAATGTTGGAATGTTGCATTGTCCATGACCATTTTGCCCATAAGCAACAGCGCTGCCATCACTTCGGAGAAGCACTGTATGCAGCCATCCAGCCATTGCAAGGGGCTTCTCGAAATCAATCCGGTCACATTTACATCTTGGGCCTTAGAGAACTCTCCTTGACTGGGAAGGCTGGGTTCACCATGGTTCACCGGATATCCCACATCCACTGGGGACACTGCAATTTCAGGTGCACATTCCAGATCTAGGATTGTCTTAGGAACTAACCATCCCTTTGGATCCCTTTGGAACTCCGATGGTGCAGGAGAAGGGGGTGCCAGGGCATCCGGATTGAGTTGCGATTGGCCCACAGACAAAATGAAACGACATGAAAGTGATCCTTGTGGATATATATATATATGTTCCTTAAAACATGTTAATATATGTTAATATGTTAATATATGTTCATCCACCAACAATTCCAAAGCCGTGCATTTTTCGGGGGGAGGGGCCGGAGAGGGGTGTCCATCATAGCTTCTACGGTTACGATCACCCAAAAACGCTGGAACTGGTTCAGTGCCTACAGGGCGGCCACGGTTCATTCCCCTTTTTCTTGACCACTCGCAACCCCGACCTGTAGGCACTTGGACGATCATCGGCTTTCCATCCACCAGCCTCACTTGGATGAAGGTGGGACGTGGGGTCGAGCGCCCGCCCGGCGACCGCGGCAGCGCATGCAGCGCGTACGGCAGCAGCGGCCCCCACCCCGCCAAAAAAATAAACCGTCACGTCACACGTCCTGTTTTGGTCGGAAAGTGGGACATTTGACTCTCAGATACTTGATAGGTCCTTGACCTTCAAGGGACTACCATGTCACAATGATTGATTGCAAATTATGTGGGTAGGTCGTGGACCTTCATCTCTGCATACGAGCCTAATTCTTTGAGGGTACCTCACACCCACCTCTCATAAAATAAGTCGCAAACCACCACCCACCCCCTGCCCCAAATAGTTTTCAGCAGAAACTATTTTAGAAAAAGTATTTCAGTAGGTGACGGGTCCCCTGAATTAGTTTTACATAATTTTACATTGGCACGGGTGATGATACTTGACTCAGGTGACCACTACACTAGACAGAAGTGGTCACCGTGGATCAGTGGACTCCCATCTCCTGCCCACTCGAATCCGGCGAAGCGGATTCAATGCGGACTCATTGTGTTTACGATGTCGCTCCAAAACAGATCATTGCACAGCAAACCCAGTCGAAACAGTCAACTTGGACTCATTATTCATTATATAATCCTTTTGTGGCCTGTTCCTGATTTCCTGTCGCTCCTGTCGTTCTTCCTTCTCCAACCGCGCCCACCCCCAAACGCTCGCACCGATCGCTCCGATCACGTTCGGCGTTCCGCGTTCCGCCCGCTGGACGCGTTCCGGCCGCGGGGCGATCGCACTTCGATCTGCTGCCCCGCAATGGCACCCGCCGGCACTTTCACCTCGTTTTACGCTGTCGAGTCCATGAGTGACGTAAAAATCAAGCATGCAAGGCAGCAATGCATATGCATATGCAATGCATGCAGAAAATGCCACATCCATGCGCAAAAATGGTTGTCCTTTTCACCCAAACAAAAATCGTGAGCCCCTCGTGGCGATGGGAATGATTACGTTCTGGTGGCATAGTGTGGAGTCACCATGGAGGTGGAAAGCTTGAGGAATGGTTCAGGTCATGGCACTCGAGGAGAATGACGAAAAAGAGAGGACGCGGTCCGGTCCGGTCGAGACAAATGAAAAAAGGTGCAAATTCGTCACTTGCAAGGGCGTCGCTACTAGGAGCCATCGGACGCTATGAACGTAGCTCCCTTGCCCAAATCATATATTAGATCCAAGTTATTTGTCCGCTCGACTGAGGGTACAATGGACGCCCAACCGCATGACTTCCGTTCTCGCGGAAGGCTTTCGTCAATTAACGTAATTCGGATGGGTTTCGTCACATACGTCTTGTGAGCCTGTTTCCTCGGACGAACTCTTCAAACCCTCTTGAAACCCTTGTAAACCCATCTAAACAACCCCCCAACTTTCCTATACCAAAGGCTTACAAGTTTGGTTCAGGAAAGAACCAAAACGAACCATGTCCATTGTGCACCATGTGGATTTGCATGGGAAGTATGATGGTTATGCATCTCTGGGGATCCCTATTCTGGCATCGCAAAACGAACAATTTAAAAGTCATGTCATGCGTTCACACAGCCTCCTACTTACACTGCACGTTTACCAAGCATTCAATCGGACGCAGGTCCCGTCCCAGTCGGACGCAGGTCCCGTCCCGGCCCCAGTCCGTGCTTCTCCGAACGTCTAACCATCGGGCGAGCGATCGACTCCGGGCGAGCGATGGACTCCGGCAAAGGATCGGTCTGCATGATGGCGCGCTTGTCCAAGACCATATCCACCTGAGGGTAGGACAAGCACCCATTGTTCGCGTCAGCGTGGTAGGACAAGCGTGGTAGGTTGGTGTAACAAATGCTGAGCAACGAACATGTGGGCAACGAAGAATGATCTTATAGTCAAATTGTTGGGTCGCATCTATCAGCTGTGCTGTCTTCGTTCCCTCTTTGGATCCAATTGAGGCTGAGTCATTGAGGCGTGTGCGCTTTCAGTCACGGACGAATTGAAGGTGGCAGGGGGGTGGCCTCATGTCAATGTCAGCTGCATCGGACTCTCCAAGTGAAAGAACATGATGTTTATTCTTGAACTGGGGCGTTCTTTGATTTTCTGGTGCTACTAGGTATGAACCACCATGGACCGCCAACATGCCTTGTAAACATGTATAAACACCAAGGCTTCTTGTGTTTCTGGAGCATGCCTCCGAAATGGCCCAACAAGTGTTGAATTGGAATAGGAACATGTGACACTGTGACTTGATCGTTAAACCTGCTTTCCCCCAAAAAAGCACCTAGAGCATCCAAAGACTATTGGATCTCCAACCAGGACACGCTTTGGATGGTCGGATGGTCTGTGGCACATATCTCCACAACTCTTGGATGGTCAAAAAAGAAGTGATGAACAAGTGATTTGGGAAAGTGGTTATATAACTCCACTTCTCTTGACTCCAATTGTTGACGTTCATGCATCGTCACCGAGATGCATCCTCAATCTCCTCGGAACCCAATTCGCTCATGGAATCCTTGGAGCTGAAAGAGGAGCTTCATCGTCCCAGTCTAAGGAGATTATCATTGATGATCAAAAATATCATATGAGCGCTATCCGCTATCATCTGACTATATATATATATCTGACTGTATGATCTCTATAATCATTATATGACGAACAATTTGGATACAAATCTGTTCATGACACTAACTAAATCTAACTAATATTCACGTTTCATTCACTATTCTTGACAACATTGGTTCAAGTCTGCTCTTGTAATATGTCCAAGATATTCATTTATGCCTGACGAAAGCATTGACTTGGGCCCCCGAGGGGCGCGAGGGTGGTGAACCAACCATTTATGTAACTAGGAGACATCATGGGAAATCAACACATCATGGGAAATCAACAGCACAGCAAGGCAGTATGTACATCAACCTGGCAATCTGGCACGCCCTTGTTTGTAACAACTGCTTTGTTTCTTTGGATGTCAATCAGTCAATCTCAGGTTTCCTCGTTGGTCTCGGTCCATGTTGGTTTTCGATGGTGTTCCCACCTGTATCTTAGGTGACAGGTGGATATACTGGTGCGTCCAAGGTAGGTTCATGACACGGTTTTGCCAGCATCCAGGGTGCCTTGTCAACCAACAATCGACAGATCAATCTGCTGCAACATGGACTGTCCGGAGTTCTACCAAGTGGCGATGTCCAGCACGGCGACGATGTTGTAGTTCGACCCCGCGCCTGGAGGCGTTTTCATGCGCGGGAGAGTGTACTTCTGATGGTGCTCTTCTTTTCTTAGCCATGCTTTACCACTAGCTTCCTGCTACTAGTAGCGATGCACATTGTTCCTAATAGCGATGGCCTTCACCCTAGCCTCCAACCTACTAGCTTCTTGTTTCTAGTAGTAATGCACTTAGCTACTAGAACCAACACAATTTCGCAAACAAGTTGCTCTGGCCAGTGTTGACTTAGTCTATTGTTGAGGGACCATTAAAAGGAAATATGAGATCATAACTGCTCAATGTTACCTTTCTAGCCGACACCAAAAACAGCCCCACTCTCCCACAGCCCTTCTTTTTCTTAATCCTCGAATATCTTTTTTGCTAGACTGTGTCGATGTTGTTTTTCCTAGCCACTTCAAGAAAGCAAACCAAGTGGGTCAAGTGGGACCAAGTGAAGCAAGTGAGACAACTGAGGCAAGTGGGGCCAAGTAACCTTCAACTTCCTCAGCGGTTAAGATGTCCAATACAAAAAACCTCTTTCCTTCATATTCCTTCTCCTCGCTTGCTGCCACCAAATTATCAGGATGGCTCCGCAAAATCTTGCAAACCATAATTGAAGCTCAGCTTAGCTCCTTCAATGCGAGGCCTATAGGCGACCTCTTCATTGTACAAGTCCTTTCCACACTGTGTTTGCTGCCACTAGATGTGACCCTCAACCACTGGATGTGACCCCCACAACGCATCGTGGCCTATCATGCCCAGCTGTTGAAGAAGCGTGAGGATCCGCAGCATGTCTGAGGCGGACCACACCTGATCGCAGAACGCGATACGCAGAAAGAACCCCCTCTATACAATCATCGACGAGATGTTCCAAGTCGTTGGAGGCATGTAAATCATTTGGTGGCGGCCACCTGGCTACCAACATCTCCAAGCTAGCATATATTATTGTAATACATTGTAATACCATACAAAATAAATCTTAGTGCAAATATAATCTATATATAGTACCATAGTTATATAACTATATTATGCATATGGCTTATGTTGTGCCAGCTGAAGGTCTCTTTTTCAATGGCCTTGACAGCATCTCTTGACACCTTCGCTGGCTCGTGCGCTCTCGCAAGGCTTCGAAACGACCCGATCCATGCATGTCCATGAAAACCCCTATCCTCTGGTGAGCAGCAGAAACACAAGCATCAGCCGAGTATGCCACTTAGGGCGTCATCCTTCCCAGGATGGTTTAGAATAAGAGTCGTCTTGCCAGTCCCACCCACCAACATCATGTGCTGTCCACTCTTCGTTTTCGTCGCCCAGTGGCCATGATGTCAAATTCTTCCGAAACTTCCGTCAAGAACCTGTGCCGATCTCAATGGCCACGAACTTGGTGTACCCTGTAAGCCCTTGAGTCTTGGAACAGTGCAAGAAGCAGGTCTATCTATAGCAAAATGTGGTGCTTCCTGCTTCCATGCTTCTGCATCCCCGGAAACGCTCTTACTTGTTGCCGAAGATACCTCGACAGCCAACAGCTGAGCAACCGAACCATCCCCTGGAAAAGGACACCCTCTGCGCATCCTCTGCGCATGCCGCCCAGAAGCCTGGCCGACTGGCCACTCCTTCTGACTGATGCGCCGCGCGAACTCACATGCGCTTCGTGTCTTAGGACCGTTTTCCCGGTTCGGGTCCCAACAGCAACGGTGTCGTCCGAGGCGCTCATGAAGCTTCGGACGACAGCGGGTGATCATCGCTTCATCGCTGGGATGCTTCACCGTGGAGCCTCGCGAGCTCCAGAGCTTCAGCGTGGTGGACAGCTCGGTGGTGGGAGCGATAGGAAGCGCACAGGATGGAAAGAGCGTTCTGGGGGTGTTGGTAGGGTTGGAAGGGTCCATCCAGGTGATCTTGGAGAGAAAAATCGCCCAAAAACACCTGGAAATGGCCTTAGCCGTCCTAGAAATCCTCTCGCCTTTTTCATATGTGTCTTTCAGAAGCACGAGCGAGGCAGCGAAGCAGCTCACACGTAGGATGCACATGCGGTGTCCAAAAGGACCCATGAAGATGGTCCGGGGAGAGTTTCCACATGTGTCAACCACTGGAGCTCCCCGGCAAAATCGGGTTGCCCGGCAAACCTGTTTGCATGTTTTGGATTGGTCACTCTCCCAGCCATCCGAACAAATACGGTTCCGCCGCCCCACGGAGGAAACCGCCGGCGAAACCGAAACCGGCGGAACACCCCGCGCGGAGCCTCGGTTGCCGCCATACTCCGAGGGGTCGTAGATCGTGTGGTCGATGTCCTGGGGGGTGAAGAAGGCGCTGGGGCGAAGCGGCAGCGAAGCTTGAGTGACTCACTCTCTGAGTGTCGGCCATCCAAATCACCCGAAACGCCTGCAGGATTGGAGGATTGGAGTTGGTAGACCACAGATGATAAAACCACCCGTGGGATCCTTGGGTCCATCCCTATACTTAAGTAAATTACATACAACAAACACACGAGCAACAGCAACAAGCACTGGAAGGGACCCTTCCGCTTCACGAGCTTCACAATGTGTGCAACTTCATGGGGCTCCAAGTGGAGTCGAGCAAGTAGTTGCGGCCCTCAAGTGGGTGAATTCCCAGGCAATTCTCTAGAAGAGACTTGTTCAGGAAATTCTGGTCTGACAGCATATCTTGAAAAGGACTCATGTTTTGCGGTAGTGACATCTTCTAGTGCATTAGATGCTCCCATGCTGCAGATTCTAAAACAAATTATGTCAAGCACTTGCAGTGTCTTATGGCGGGTCACGACCCCAGGTTCCAATTAGGTATGGCGGGTCCAAACTAGACACTGCATGGCAAGATAACCCTCTAAACTACATGTTTCCGATCCGCATCCCACAGCCACGGGACCTTCCTAGAGCCCTTTGGGGCCTCCTTGGAACATTCGAACATCCGATTTTTTAGCCTGGATCCAGCTCACCTCCCCATCAACTTCATCAACCCACCCATTGACTTCCCAGACTTCAAGTGGCCAAGACCAACAGCCTCTTGCCAGGCCGGGGTTGTCCCACCACCTAGAAGGGCGAACGCCCGAGCGCGAGCCGCGCTGGTTTTGGGCCACCCGAGGTTCGGTGGAAAGCGTGAAAGACTTGGAAAAAGGTCAGATGGATCTGCTGACCTATACCGATAAATGGTCTTTTGCAGATTCTCCACTTGGTCCCAGTCTGGTAGAGGAACTTTCGAAACGCAATACGTGGCAGGTGCATCCAAGTCGACCCAGGTGCTCATTACGATCCAAGTTTGGGACTGCATGTGAAGGACCCAGCCCACCCTGCTCGCCACATGATGATCATGTGCCAAATCCGTTCCGGAACCCCCGTGCAAACTTCTTGCTTTAGCGCAATCAGTATAGGTTTCGTTGACAAGGGGATGGCGCGTGATCATTCACCGGGTGAACATGAACATGGGTCTCCAAGTTCAACACAGCTCCTTGGGAAGTCGTTGCTACGAGTACAGGCTACAACACCTCAAAACTCCATGTCAACAATAACGCCTTGTTCAAAGGTGTTCAGGAAGTTCAGGGTGGAGGCCATCGCTCTTAGGTTGGAGGCCATTGAGTGCATTGAAGAGTAGTGTCAGTAGTGTGCAAGAGCGTTGACTGGCTCCACCCCTCCCACCTGACTCATCAAGTGACTCTGCACCCAGACATGTACACTCCACCTGTTCCCCCCTTCCTTGAGTCGTTCCTCCTTCCAAGCCACGCAAATGCTGCGGAAGGGCCCCACCAATCCCAAGCATAAGGGACCGAAGCGACTCAGACCTGACCCAGAAGTCCCGCGCCACCGACGCACCGACGCACGCGACTCAGGTTGGAGGCCATCGCACCGTGTGCTTAGGTGAATTCAAGGGTTCGATGATGAGTCTAGGAGACGTGTCTAAACCATGAAAAAGAGATTGTTGAAGGGCTCTCGATGTGTTTACTTCATTATATATATATAGCAGAATGCAAGGCGTCATAGGCGAGCCGCTTTCGGCACATACGAAAGAGATTAATGGTTTCCGACTGGAGTCAAGGCAATATGTCTTTTGGAGTGGTAAACAATGGACTAGAATGTTCAAATTGCCTGTGGTCCATCTATGTCCATCTCCAGCCCCTTTGTCAAATTGCCTTTGGGGTATTCTTTGGACGACTACAAAGACGAGGACGTCCCAAACGACGAAGAGGACGTACACCCCAAGTCCCATCATATAACATTAATCATATGCTGTCTTACGGTGACTGGTGGTCATTGTCTGAAACTCGTATGTCAAACAATTGCAATATGAATGCCAATAATTACATCCCAACGCGATCACAGGATATCACAGTTTATTTCGTTTTGGACACTTGCCCCTTCATCCAACTCTGGCTCAATTCTGGCTGGTGCGAGCAATCATCCGAAAGTCAGCCCAACCAACCAAGCGAACCCAACTTCCACCCAAACCAACCGAACCGAACCACAACCAACTGACCAACCCGTCGCTGCCTTCTTCCCGCCCGCCAAAGCTGATCGCCGGCGCTGCAGCGGGAGGACTTGGACTCACTGCCCCATAGGGCGAAGGTCGGTTGGCCTGGTGGCGAATTGAGGACACTTTGTTAAACATGGATTGCTTGTCTGCGGCCTAGGAGATGGGAAAAATGTTATTGTTTAGGGCGTGGGAATATATGATTGTTAATCGTTCTAACTACGTACTATCCGTTTTTGGTGGCCACATGTAGCCTGTCAAAACCGAAAAGGGAGATCCATTGCATCGGTTGGAAGAATTGCTTGGCTGGAAGTCTCAAAGCAGACTACTCACAGCTCTCAACGTTTTGACATAAATCCATTCCGACATATTCTGACCATGACCTACCTACCCCAGTTCAAGCACCTCGGCTTTCGCCAGTGCAAGCGCTTGCACAGCCGCCTCGTTGGGGCTAGAGCCATTCTGCACCAACCTCCGTTGGCGGCTGCAGTTATCTCGTATTCCGACACGAGTTGAACTTGCGCGGCGGAAGCATATCAACAGTTGAGTTGGTGTATAGTCTTCAAACTTGTGGGATCTTCAAGCGGCCCAGTTTTTTGCCGGATGATGCCGGATGCACGTTTCATTGAAAACCGCCGTGATCAACACAATTGCTCCACCTCGATCATCCCCACCCCGAGAGGCGATTTGGAATAAGGCAGGGCACATGTACTGACAGAACTATTGACAGACTATCCTGAAAAACGCGGCCTGACAGGCGCATTGACACAATAATGTTCTGACACTTGTTCTGGCTTCAAGTCTGGTGTGTGCATGTGTCCTGACACATCATCTATCATAAAGACTGGGAAATGTTCTGGACCGTGTTCTGACGTCCTAGTTGGCATGTGCTCTGACATTTGTCCTGCCGTGAAGTCTGACATGTGCTGTGGCCTACGGACTGACTTTGGTTCTGATATGTGTTCTGCCATGTATTCTTACATTTGTCCTGCCATCAAACCATTTGGTCCGACATATGCTCAAACATAGCTTCTCTCACATATGATTTGGCAGTCCATATGGCAAATTTACCGACATTCTAGCTGGGAAAGGTACTGGCCGGCTTGATGCCCTATGGAGCTCAATGTCCTTGTAAGCGCTTACTGGCATTATTGGGTCCTTGTAAATAGCCTGGCACCGCACAAGAACCAGGAGCATGTCATGACCCGTGCCATACTCCAGGCAGGTCCAGGGTGCCAGATGGCTGCATGTTCGGGCCATAACAAGCCCTCCGTCACCGAAGCGATGGCCGCCAACGCGGTGTCAAAGAGCGCCGTGCGATGGTCGAGCATTTCGTGTTTCCCTTCAAACGGCGTAGACAAATGACACCTGGAAACAGCAGCTAGAAGGCGGCGATACTGATCCGCTCTGGCATGGGTGGATCGGTTCAATGAAGCCTGACGCTCTCTGTGGTGTGCAGGTCCGTGCGTGCCCAGACTGAGCTGGCGCTCTATGCTGAGTACAGAGGACGGAGGCCGGAGTAACACCTCCATTGTCAAAATCTAAAGACCCTCGCCTGGCAGGTGGGGAAGAATAGGTATTTATTATATATTTATATATATATGATATGTCATATATAATATATGATATAATATGTATTATATCATATATATATATTATATTAGAATATGTTATAGATGTGCTACCCGGAACCTAGGTCTCAAATGTCTGTATGCAGATGGTTGGGCAAATAACTAGAGATTTGTGCCAGGTGGTTTACAAATGATTTCCAGATAATTACAGATTTGTTATGATTTGTTCAAGACGGCTTACAGTGGGATTAAACAAACATAGTGTGGCATAAACCATTTGTATAAGCAGGGAAGCAAACTACATACCAAAACCAAGGACTAACTATCAATAGAGCTAGCCAAGAGTTGCACAAAAACTATGCAACAAAATGAGAAACATTGCTAGAATCTATTGTGCTAGCTAGACAAGGGTAGAAACCAAACATGTTTTTTGTGTTTGGTCAGACTCTTTTATACTTGATTGATTCGCGGGGTCCTTCAAGAACATGTTCGCACAAAAATGATGAACCTATAAACATGAACAACAAAAACTGTTTGAGCAAGAGGCAAGCCACTGAAAGAAATTGGTTAAAGGAGGTTATTGCCCATGAAAAACACGTTTAGTGAAGGCTCGTACAGGGTGAAACCCTTGTGACAGGAAGAACACATCAAAGATGGCATGTTAACAAGAAAACTATACGTGTTTGATCGTTCTTGCATGGAACATATTCTTGTCAGGACTGAGACTGTTGAAGTTGGTCAAACAAGTATGAGGAAAGGGCTCTTATAGAGGAAATCCATGTGTCATGATTTGTTAAGAGAGTGCCAATCTCAATGAACAAACTCGGGCAAGGAAAGGTATAAGTGTACCCAAATCTCTTTTCAACGAATAGAAACTCGTATAAAGGGCATCTTTTCTTGAAGGGGTGTTTTGTCTGAGAAAGGAAAGGACAGTTAGTTGGAATGATAATTAATGCATTGTGTCGATATATTTCGCGTCTTTTGTTTTTCAGTCTTTAATATTTGCAAATACGTGCTTGAAGCTGCAAGAGTGTGTTTGTAAATGCAGGTACTTGGGAGTGTTTGGCAGCCCAAAAATGATTGAATGCGTTTTGAAACAATGGGGGATGCACAAAATAACGTCTAAGTACCGGAATCTTAGATCTTAGGTCGTAAGTACCAGGACCTCAAGCAAGCATGAGTCTTCACAACTCTTCTGAGCTAATGCACTATATACATACCAATCATATGTATACGGTACCCCAAAAACAAATCCAACCCATCAAATAGGTTGCAGTTAGAAAACACCACCAATACCACTGAAAGGTATCAAAGTCTAGGTTCCGCGCCCGGGGTTGGGGTGGGTACCATCATACAATCTATTATGTTGCTTTAAGGGTTGAAAAAGCTCAAAATCCATAGACGGGGAAAGACACAAACACCGCAAGTCTAAGACAGCGTTTGGACACCAAAAGATGCCGTTTCTTCATGCTTCTTCTTGGATTCTCACCTTGCTACAGTTTCTGCCTTGTCACAGCAAACTTTGGCATCTTTGTTGAAAAGGCGTTCGAAGATCCTGGGAAAAATCGTTGCTTGCCACCTTGACCACTCTAGACAAGTGACTCGCGTTTCAAGGACACCCTTAGCTTTTTTGTGACCTCTAAAAACCTAATGTACATTTACGACAGTTTTCACAGTGTTGCACACACCGATACAATTACACCAAGGTCACCTGCTTGTGCTCTATTTACAGTTCACACCAGTTCACCACTGGTACTGCATTGCAGACTCTGCTTCTGGTTCACAATTGTCTGAAGTGGAATGTTCCTAGTGATGTTCTTTCCACTTCGGCTGGTGTTTTCCTCTCTGAGAACGCACAAAAAACACTGCAAACACCACCGCGCCAAGACTTCGCGCGCGCGCTGCAAACCGCCCCCCGGCGCCTGTGAAAGTGCTCCTGCACGCGCTGCTTCAGTTGCTCCATGGCGATCGTCGCATGCGATGCACCGAGGCGTAACGCGCCGCGTGAACTACGTGTCACGGGAAATTCCCGCTGGGGGAAGGGCGGAGAGGACGATGTGACCACTGTGGGGAGCGTTTTGGAGTAAAAAAAGAGGGCGGGGAGGCGAAGAACCTATTCTGAAAAGACTGAGAACGGAGCAACATGGAGCAAAACCTATGGAAAGCCGTGTTTTAAATATTCTCTGTTTAACAAATAGGTCCAATAGGCAATCAATAGGCAAAGCATGGCAAAGCCATGCAGAGGTGATGTTGGGTTCAAGTCCCCACCTTCTAACATTCATCCGGTTCTGTAACTACAACTCCAGCTTTCAAAAACTCAACATGTGGCATGTGTGTCGGGATTAAATCATGTCCAGGAGAAGAAGTCGTTCTTCATGTGCTAAAATTCATTATATTGGATTTGTTTAAGTTCGAAGGATGCACCGAGTTGACCAAACTTCTCGAAAAATGGTCCTGCCATGTGCTGCTTGGATTCGTTTGTTTGTTTGTTTATTGCTGTCTTCCATCGAGGTCTTCTGGAGAGAGACGAGACCTCGCATGTCCAACCGTAAGACCCCCGAGTCTCAAGGACCTACGTGTGTAGGTCGTTAGATCAAAAGGACCTGTGTGCAGTGCCGTATACCGGACCTCAAATGACCAAGGTCATCCACCATTCGTGTCGAAAAAGGCGTTGTGTGTCGCTTCAAACACCCGGCTCGCTGTGATCCAAAAGCAGCGTCGCGCGACACTTGATTCAGAGTGAACGAACTTCAGATCCGCAACAACAGGCACATTGAGCAAAGGATAACAAGAGTATAACAAGAGTATCAATGTTGTCAAACCTTGCAATTCCGCAAAAAAAGGCCTCTAACTATGAAAATATATGCGAGGATCCATCAGGATCAAGTACTGACGTTTGTTGCTTCTTGGCGTGAAAAGAATCGACGCAATAAGTGAACTCCCAAGACGTAAAGGGAACATGTCCTTCATGTGTTTTTGTTCTTCAGGGTTTCCCTCCCTCCAAGGGGATCTGTTGAGAGGGTCGACTAACCACCTTGCAAACAACTGGAAGAAACCACCTGGTATTCTAGAAGAACATCTAAGAGTCTGAGACGTTCCATGGCACCAACCCAAACCTCTCAAATGTTAGCATCTTCACCCTTCAAGTTGCGCCATTCACTCCAGAAGACCCCAACGAGTCGAGTCAGAACCAGTCGGGCGAGTCGATCAGATGCACCCGCTCACGCTCGTACCGCTCGACCCAGTCACGTGAACAGTCACGTGAAAAGCGCATACCCCCCGTGCACGAAGAAGACCCACCCCACCTTCAACTGCATACCCCCCGCTGCACGCTGAAACCCCGCCGCCCTGCACCGGTACGCCTTCCAGACCGGCCCCTCGTGGCCCTTCAAGTGCCCGATCTGCTGCTGGCGTCCATCGGTGACGTCCCAGATTCGGATGGTGCCGTCGCCTAGCGAACCAGGCCAGGCGCTGTGAGAGGATGTTTCGGGTGAAGCCGAAACGGGCTTCCCGTGATGGGGGAACCAATCGTCCTTTGCATGGGGCATTTCGGGGGATTCATCTGTCTGAAGGGGGGAGCTAAAGCCAGGTGAATGTGCCAAGCTCTAACAACCAATGTTCTAACCCACAAAAACATCACTTTTTTTTCCAGCAAAATGTTGCCTTGTTCAAATAGCAAGGTGGCCGCCGTTTGTTGCGTCGTGAGGCGATCTTGACGAGGATCGATTCCCACATCTGGTCGGCCACCCTGGGATGTCAACAAGAATCCAAAAACAGTCTAAACAACCATGTGGCCCCATTACATGTACAGTCTCTACACATGTACAGACCTGCAACCCTTCATTCCTTGCCACTTGCCACTTGCGCAGCTCCGCCCCAACACTTCATTCGTGCCGGGTGACTGGACGCCGCCGCAGCTCTTTTGGCATAGTAATCCAACTGCACATCATGGATCACACCTGGGTGGAACAAAACAGCAGGCTAGTGCTGAGCCGCACACGGGCGGTGTTTCGGGCGGTGTTGCACACGGGCCTGCTTCTCGCTACCGCTCTACCCGTTAAAAGAATGAGGGTGTCCACTTCACTGTTGCCCTCTACACTGAGTCGACCGCCGGAAGGGGTGTTAGGCAAAGATAGAAGAGCAAAACTCACTAAGGTCCGGGGTCAAAGCGAGACCTACAAGAATCAGGTCCATTCACCATGGCCAAGCGGGTTCTCAAGCGCATACCACACCTGTTTCCAGTGTCAGTGAAGCTTTTAGATGGATCGGCTGCCCGCAAGCTTTAAGAGCAGGGCTGAACATCACGAGGAAATGACACTCTGCTTTGTGAAAATACGTACCTACCAGGACCCACAAGGGGTGGTGAAGGGACACCCCTTAACCTCTCAGCGGCTATCAATAGAAGCCCCTTACGGGGTCCTGGTACATGGCTTATTGCTTTTGTGTGCTTTTGTCAGGTGCACTTAGTCACTAGGTGATGCGCAGAAATCTGCCCTGGCTCAACATCCTCCTTTCCTTCATCACACGAGAGACAGGCGAAAACATGAGGCGAGTATACACGAAGACAAGATCACTGGAGACGACTGGAGAAAGGTTACTTTTTGTGGGGTGGCCACCTTTGCCTGTATGGGTCAACCTAATGGCGATGGCCGCCAACCTAATAGCGATGGCCGCCAACCCAATAGCGATGGCCTCCAACCTAGTAGCTTCTTGCTACTAGATGAAGAGACAAACTCTCATGATCACCCCAGTGGGATAAGGATGATGCGGTGATGAGGAAGGTGATGGGTGGAAAAGGATGATGCGGTTCCGTCCACGGTGACCTGAGGACGGTGACCTGAGGACTGAGTGAATTGATTTGATCATCTTCCAAGGCATCGATGATCTAATCATAGTTCACCTAGTGTAGACTCTCAATGATTTCTTCTCTGAATGTTTTTGGGGCCCCTGCGTTTCTTCTGGAGGGTTCAACTGAGCATGAATGACCCTCTATAGTTATAGTGTCTGGTTGGCAATGCAAAAGCATTAGGGTCTTTTTAGTGGTCAAACATTGAAAAGTGAATCAGTTGTGAAGACTGTTTCTATCTAATTAGTTTGGCTGGCTATATTCGGCTATAAATAAGTTAATACTGGTATCATATAAGACAGTTGAAAAAATATGTGACCCCAAATCAGGGTGCCACAATTTTGCTCACATGCGCCCACCAGGCGTGCCGGACCAATGCCAGAGGTATCAAGCGAGCCCACCATCTGCCTCGGCAGTTCAGGGAAGTGGATGCTTTTTTTTCCTCTAGAAACAGGTGGTGAACTCCAGAATCCATGATTCTTTCAAGTGTATTGTAATTATAGTTGCTTTGACGTTTCACGTAACTCTCCAGAAAGTGGACCTCCGAACGGCAATGACGGCACGAACAGCCAGCGATCAACTGCTGGTATGTACCAGTACCTCTCAGTTTAGTAGAGGACTTTGCGTTTGGTGAAGCATGATGTCCAACCCCGAGTCCAACCCCAATCGCCTCGTGATGACCCCGAAAAAAAACCCAAAACCTACGCAGAACGCAGGCAGTGGGAAGGACTGAATCTCTCCCAGAAGTTACGGCGTGGTGGATGAAATATGTGGTCATTTCCCTTCGATGTTCTCATTCACCAGATCTCATGAACAACAACTCAGCCACATCCCATCACTTCCCGAAAATTCTTCCAGGACATGTCAACCCAGGCCGTGACACCACGTTGCGAGAAGGGCGCCCCTTCGGAACCAATGGACGAGAATAAGGGGGGCCCTCAGCAGGGGCGCCCCTTTTCCCCAGCTTAGCTCCACACGACATCGTGAAGTCCTTCGAGCTTCGGCAGCTCCTCAGCTTTGGCAAATCTAAAGGTGCCCACGTACAAACCCCAAGCGTCCCTCTGCTGCAGCACATGATGTACGACTCGAGATTAAAAATACTCTTCTCCCGCATGTGCATACCCCCACCCAGTTGGCCATGGCAATTCAAGTGGCTTTGGCAAATATGGTGCCCAAGTCTATCACTTGAACAAGAGGAAGATGAGTCCAAGCCGCTTGAGTCCAACCAGGTTCGAACGCTACAAGACGACCGAGATCGAGTTCATCCACGCGCAGAACACTCGTAAACACTGACCCAATTCCTTCGATCTGCTTCCCTGGTTCCATCACCCTTGATCTCACCTTCTCTCCACATCCGCCGAGGGTCCTCCAAAACTCCCGTCGGGTGACCGGGACTCCGTCGACACGGGGCCGACCGGTTGGTTCGGGCGCCGTCCTCTGAGCCACCGGTTGGTTCGGTCACCCAGCGTGCGGTCGGAACCTTCCGCTCAGGTGGGGCCAACTGGGTTCCGCTTGTTGACGTGAATGAAGTGAAGCATGGGTGAAACATCATCACCTGTTCTTTGGCTCGACCCATCGCCCTGAGCTTAGCTCAGCCTCAAGAAAGCCTCAAGGGAGGCTGTCGTGAAGGCTGAAGTGTTTGTTGCAAAGTAGTCAAATCAAAGGATGTCAAAATGGAAACTGACATATGGCCCAACCCAGTTCAGTTGCTCTCTTCGGCACGCTCACAAAAACCTGACAGCCCAAAACCCGCAGGAGTTGGCTCCACCTAATGAGTCGCTTTATTCTTCAGACTCGCCGTCTGTGTCTAAGATCATCTAAAATGGACCAGTGGCTTTGCCACTTGACGCTGCCTCCGAAAAGGAAAACTTGACGCTTCTTGGCCGAAAAATACGGGGTCATGGGCTTGGTCTTGACTGAGTCTTGACCGTCTTCAGACCCTGGAGTCCTGGCCTGTGCCAGGCGCTCCCCATCTTTGTGGGGTGGCCAGTTTGGCACACCTGTGATCTACTCAATCTACTGATCTACTCGCCTCTAAACTCGCCTCTGGCAGCCAATGAATTGCTTCTTTTTCAACACCAAATCGAATTGCGACTTATGAACCCCGTTGTGAATAGCTTGAATAGCGGTTCAAGGGCGGTGCTTTCCACTCAGACTCAAGGGCTCGGTCAAAACCAGGGACCAACACATTCAGGGGTTGTTGACTCCAGAGGGTCTCATCTTGTGAGATCCTTCTCTGGCATGCTGTGTGGATCAAACGCAAAGGCGGCAACCACCGGTTGAACCATGATGAAACCATAGCATCTTCAGGAACAAACACTTTAGTGAACTCTTCAATCTTCATACATCCTGTTTTGCCGGTGTGATGAGTTGTGATGAGTGAACACCCAAAGAAATCAACGTGCCTTCATCGAAGAACATCGACCGGTTCGCGCCATTCATGGCCAGTTGCTACATGTCTCATTCCTCGGCTGCCGAACCGCGGCTAGGCTCGCTCCCTCAGGCCGGAACACCCTCCTCGGCTGCCCGTGGTCGTGGCGTTGTCGGTGTCACCGGGCACCGACCGGTTGACGCAGACCTCTCCTGGTTGACCGGGAGAAGAAGACAGGTCACGATTCAGGTGGGGGCATTCAGGTCAGTCACCACCCATCCCCATGTTGTGTCAACAGTATCTCTGACTCGAATTGAAGGGAACCTACTGGGCTGGATCATGGCCATCATGGCGCGGCTGAAACTCGGACACATTTCTAATACCCTTAAGGCTGCTAGGAGGATGTGGGAAGTAGGCGAAGAGGTTGAGGACTTCCTCTTTTTGAGACACCCGCATCTGATCTCTACTCTTCCAATCTCTTGCAAGTTCAGGAGCTGTCTATCTTACACTCAAAAAGAACGCCGTCTCCTATCAAATCCTACACCTGTTGGACAGGAATCCTACACCTGTGTATGTGTAGGAATGCCATCTTTTTCCGAGTATGTTAGGCTTATTGAGAGCTTCTGAGTTTTAGTTAGTACAATTTCTGATAAACTCTTTCGAAGGAAGCTCCATTCTCTAAACACCCCCAACTGGCAGCTCCAAGACCGTTGCCAGGCTTTCGCCCACAGAGGACGTCCATCCCGCAGTAGAAGCGTCATGGCCATTCTCGTCATGTCCAGAGGCACCGTCCATCCATCGTTTCGAACTGGTGGGAAAGTGAGTGGGAAGTGTTCTTGTGGTCCTTTCCTTTTGTTGGGGGGGGGGCCTATTGCTTTAGATGATTTGCTGGACATCAAAACAAAACACATAGCGCTTCTTTCATGGCAAACAACAGCCCGGTGATGCCTGAAATCAACCGCCGCAGCGTGCTGGACCCATCCAGCTCCCCGCTGGTGGGCCCCAAGCGTGCGAACTCGTTGGAGCACGAGTTCGCAAAGAAAGGGACTTGCCCTTTACTAGCGATAGCTCCAATAATGTTTATAACATGTAGCGTCCTTGTTCCTAGTAGTAATGCCAGGAGCTCCTAGTAGCTTCTTGTTCCTGGTAGTAAGGCCAGGAGCCCCTAGTAGCTTCTAGTTGCTACTCGTCATATTTGTGGAAACTCCTCTTGTGGAAAACACCCAGCAAAAATGCAATTCCGAGCTCCATTGCTGCAGCCTCCCAACCACTGCCGCCACTCAAAAATAGGCTACAGCGACAATGAAAAAGTGCAGTCAAGCTGCCTTCTGAGTTTCTGCATCCTTCTTGGGTTCCTCCTTCTTTTCCTCCTTCTTGGGCTCCTCCTTCTTGGCCTCGGCATCCTTCTTTGGTTCCTCCTTCTTCTCCTCCTCCTTCTTGGGCTCCTCCTTCTTGGCCTCGGCATCCTTCTTTGGTTCCTCCTTCTTCTCTTCCTTCTTGGGCTCCTCCTTCTTGGCCTCGGCATCCTTCTTTGGTTCCTCCTTCTTTTCCTCCTCTTTCTTTGGCTCTTCCTTCTTGGCCTCGGCATCCTTCTTTGGTTCCTCCTTCTTATCTTCCTTCTTGGGCTCCTCCTTCTTGGCCTCGGCATCCTTCTTTGGTTCCTCCTTCTTCTCCTCCTCCTTCTTTGGCTCTTCCTTCTTGGCCTCGGCATCCTTCTTGGGCTCCTCCTTCTTTTCATCCTCCTTCTTTGGCTCTTCCTTCTTGGCCTCCGCATCCTTCTTTGGTTCTTCCTTCTTTTCCTCCTCTTTCTTTGGCTCCTCCTTCTTGGCCTCGGCGTCCTTTTTTGGTTCCTCCTTCTTCTCCTCCTTCTTTGGCTCATCCTTCTTGGCCTCGGCATCCTTCTTTTCGTCTTCACGGATTACATCAGGAGGGAATCCCTCCTCGCATCACTTTGGAGCACATTCCCAGGAAGATGCTTGTCATACAAAGCAATGTTGAGTGCGACTGTCTCCCAAAGATTCCCAAAGTAGATAGTTGATGCACATGTCACGTTGATCAAAATGCCCACCGGGACCTGGCTGGTGAAATCCAACGAACGGTCAGAAGAAGAGCCCCTGTGTGAATGTCGCATAACATACCCTGCATCACCCAATTGCTACCCTGCAACCCTACAAAGTGCGATCGCGATAGGAAGATCAACCCTCTACCTGAAGGGTTCTGTATGGCTTTGTCAATGTTCTCGATATGTTCTTTTTCGAGGGTTCTGGGGAATGAAGCATGACGAAAACACTCGAAAACCTCTGTGTTTCTCCAGTTCTGCACCTCGAGGTGTTTCTCCAGTTCTGACGTTTCAACACGGCACTCGTCCTGGTAGGTTCCTTGTGCAGCTGCGCTCGCAATGGCCAACTCTTGCAAGTACAGCTCACCTTGGAATGCAGAAATGGTCTTCTTCGATGATATCATCTACAGTTGTCCATGGGGGTCCCGGGTCCCCAAACATTTTTGTGGATCGTTTCAGGGTTCCCCAACAAAATGTACACGTCGAGATAAGAGATGAACATGTTTCGATCTTTTTGTCCCCAAACGGTACTAGCCCCAACAAGTGAAACTCTATGAACAACTCATGTATATTACTCGTAATACAACAACCAGCCCAGGATTCTCGTAGAACGGGTGCAAAATTGTGAACAAACTTATCCTTCATTGAAGATGGTAAACTGACTGATGGAAACCCATTCCAAAATTGCAAACCCTTAAGTTCTCTCTTTTCCTGGAGCACTAAAATTCAAACTTGAAATTCATTGCAGCATGTCAGGATAACTGCATGACAAAATCTCGATGTTTTTGTCGTGGCGGCTAGTAGTTAGTACTCCACATAACTCCACCACCAACACCTGACCTTCCAGCCCGAAGTCCAGCTCTGCAGCGTTTTCGTTCCCTTCGTCCCGTCGCGAAAGGTTCGCCCAAGGAGCTCATTTCTTTCAAAGGAATCTTTCCGCCCTGACCCTGCGGCCGTCGCTTCGGTCAGAGGTCAGAGATGTCACAGGTCAGAGCTGCCGTTGAGGTCAGAGGGCTCGGAGCGTTGTTGGGTGTCGTGGGGTGAAACGACCGCGGTCGTCTCAGGGCGACGTACACGGCGTGTCGGCCCTTTAGGGGTGTTTTTTACAGAACGTCTGAGCTGAAACAGGTGTAAACGCCACGAAGCCCAGAAAATAGACCAGTTGGACGCATCTCTTGGAAGGTGCCCTAAATTGAAATCGTTTTGAAAGACACACCCCAGATGATCTTTTGAAGATATGGCATTCCTCCAAGCCTCGATGAACCTTGCAGGACCCACCAACAAGCGGAGAGGCGATGTACCAGCGGATGGGCCAGCGCGTCTTCTCAGCCAGCTGTCTGGGCCCAAACCTGTTGTACACCCTGAACAAGAACCACTGCCGGGGGGGGAGCGGGGGAGGAAGAGGTTCCTTTGAATTCCTTTATCCTTGCAATGGTTCCCAACAGATACCGTGCATGTTTTCTGTTGTCTGGGCAGAATCTGAAGTGGCAGTCCTCCTTGTCCGGGGATCGGCTCGGCTCGGCTTCGGCGGCTGGGCCTTACAGATGTTTAAAAGGGGAGCTTGTAAAGCCCAACTCCATGAGAAGGAGATGTTCCTCAGCATGGGAAGCAACGGAACCCGGAAAGCACGGCGATGGGTTTTCTTCTCGGGATGCTTGAGAATAGTGGAGTATCGGAGTATCTGAGAAATCGAACACATGGTGCATTTTGACCTTGACCAGAACCATTGCATCCTCAGATCGAAAACTATAGCTCCTTCAGAAGCACCCGGAACTTGCGGCGCTGCTCGCTCCGGCCCATGCCCATCCATCCGTTCCAAACGGTTCCATTCCGCAGCACACGGTCTCTTTGGTTAAAAAAACAAGACGCGGAATCTCTTGTTTTCAGAGCGACGCAGACTCGCAGTTTGTGGCCATCTAAGCCGCCAATGGAAAAAAAAAAAGCACTTGGCTTTTTGGTTTGATTTGGTTGGTACTTGGTACATGTATAGTCTATGAAGGGTATCATATCTCAATCAGTGGAACACAGCCCCTTCCAAAGCCCATCTTCCTTTACAAGACACAGTTGCAAAGAGTTACAAACACCACAACAGCAAACAGCACAACAGGAGCAGGTTGTATTAAATAAACACTTGCCCAAACACTCCAAGATGTATGCAATATTTCCATATGTTGCAAACACACTCGCCCGGGATGATGAATAAAACTGGATCCCATGTATAGGATCTAAGCACCTTCCAGTCCCATGGACTGCGGTCCGTCCGTCCCCAACCATGCGTCCAGGGCATTCGGCCCAGTCGTTTCTTCACCTGGCGCGCAGGCAGCCACCGTGGCGTGAAGAACATCGAACATCGTCAGGTTCGACGTCATCCACCGCCCTGATGCGTCGCCGGCATATAGGCTCCCCCGGGGCAAAAGAGCTATAAAATGATCAAAACATGTCATTTCTATTACAACATGGCATGTTATTTTACATAAAATGCTATAACATATTACAAAATGCTAAAAGGCCATGTCATGCCATGTCATTTCTACTTGTATACCATCGCTTTGGAGTTTGGAATCCGAATCCATACCCACACAGGTCCTCCGGACCGAGTCAACGCCCTCCGGCCTTGTTCAACGCGTTCAGCCGGGCCGCAGCGCCTTCCAAGCTCTGTCCTCCGCTCAAGAAGTTCACGCCGCGGATGGCTGTGGGCATCACCTGCACCATTTGGAGATAGATTTCTGTATGCGGAAAATGGGGCAGAGTGCAGTAGTGCAGCTTTTTAGGGCTGAGGACATATGTCAAATGGAGTACTAATTACTGAGTACACCGTCATACACGGTCCCATGTCCGAGCACTTATAGCAGTCGGGCTGACTGTCTGTTCTGGTCAACCACGTGGAGCTGACGAATCACTTCAGGGTCGATGGGAGTCTGTCAATGGACCGCGGAAAAAAGGCTGGTTCCGTCGGTCATTTCCAAGCCCAGTGAACCAATGGACAGCAAAAGTTGACGTGTTGGGTGCCACGTGTTGGGTGTCTCATCCCTCAATTTCGATGAGATGAGACCAAAACACTCAATGACCCTCAGAATTCCAGGGTAGTGAACTGCGGGTGTGGAAAAGGATGGAAAATGTTAGATGAAACATGATGAAGCCGCGTCTGATGGAGAAGTCTTTCATGGTGTCTTGAAAAAGACCTTCACTGGTTTGATATGGGCGGTGAAAAAAGCGGCCCTGAGGGGCGGAACCGTTGATGCACAAACCACCTGGACCTCTTGGCTTGGGAACCATACCAACTCTTCAGGAACCATGTATGATACGGATCCGGTACTGCCACCTGATAGGACCAGCTGCTAGGAGTCAAGTCAACTTAGGGCCAGTCCTTGAGGGCCATGGTGATTCAAAGGTGTAAAGAAAAACCATGTCCTTCTCAGTGCCTCTCAGTCCATTGTTCCAGAAATCGTCCGACAGAAAAGGAACACCGGCATCCAAAACCGTGCTGTGATGGAGGAGAACAGCCAACGGACACATCTTCCGTAAGAAGCAGTCACAAACAAAACCAGGATCACCGTCCCACTCACCTCGTTTCACCTTGGAAAATCGTTGGACATCTGTCGTTCTCGCATCTTCTCTTCAGCTCTTTCTCTGCTGGGACTGACAGCTTTTCCTCACCACGTCCCAAACTCCTCAGTCACGTCACGCCACTCCCATCACCCAGTCCCCACACTCGGTCTCCCGTTCGATCCGCTGAGTCATCGCGTTCGATGACCGGTCAGGCGACCGCCGGGCCCCCGAGCTCTCCGCAGGACCATCATGTTCGCCACCGCGATCCTCGGGATGTGGGGCTGAAATGGCCAGTGAGCGTGGTTGGAACCCACATCGACTGAGGATCTTGAAGCAAGGTGAAGAGCGTAGTCACTATCGTCATCATGAGTCTGTGACGAGCCCTCCTGAGTCGTCATGATGTCCAGTGATGAACGTCGCGTGCTTTATTTTTGTTGGAACGTCGGGTGCTCTTCGCGGTCGGAGTGAGGATTCAGCCCTTTTATTGCAGGTTCATTCATGAAATCACATCACGTTCGATCGACAACTCGAACGAATGAGATTGGTGCATGCGGTTGGCATGCATTTGGCGTGCCCAAAACTGGCGAGAGCGATACTAGTCACGCTCCCACTCATGAACACGGTACAACATTAGTAAAACTGTATAGAGGGACAAGTTACCATACTCTGTCAGTAAGCCGACGTGTACTACGGCACTACAATTAGCAAGTTCTGACATACAATGTTGACAAGTACTTCAACACCTATGAGCTGACAAAAATGGTTCCCCCAAAACTGACATTGGCAGAAATATCATTCTGCCATATTCTGCTAGTAGGGAAATGTTGTGAAACATCTGTGGAACATGCTGGCTTTTGAGCATTGCTAGCACTTTTGCGCCCTGCCATCCCCTGGCCCAGTGGCTCTTCCACGCTGTAGTCATGGTCACAGGACCTAGAGGTCCGCAACGCGCAATCTTCGCATTGGGTTGGCAGGTCCAGGAAAAGACATCTTATTATAGACCATATAATACCACCTGTATAATTATATATATATATGATTGTATATTAATATTAATAATATGTATCTGATACTATGACATATGGCAATTGAGTCCATAGACTGCTAAGACACCTCCTAAGTGTGCCAATGGCATATTGTGGTAGTGACGCTCATTAAAGGTGATTCTCCATTCTTCCTTGCAAGCTAGAGCAACGAAAAGCAATAGCCCCAAAGAAGACCATTGTGTCCAACAGGACGTAAAGAACTGGAAACATGCTCCATGTCCAGTGCTGGACATCAAAGCTATCCAACTGGGCATCATTGGGGAAAGAATTCATGGGGGCAACTCTTGAAGATGGAGTTGTTTCATGCGTCTTCATGCAACCTGTAGATTCCCTCCATTCCAAGATTCTCCATGAGGGCCAAACAGAAGACCCTGCTTAGTGTATCCAACATGGTGCTGTAAATCCTGATGTGGGAAACTCCTTGTCGGCAATGTTTTTGTCCAAGCTACAATCCCGGGTTGACCAGGTTCGTCTTCAGAATGGTGCCTCAACGGCAGCGATCAGGCAAGCGATCAACAGCCAACACTGCAGAATTCCAGACCTGGGACACTTGCTGTAAACGTCATCTGGCTTTGTCGTCAATTTAACCCCCAGCATGCCCGTTTCATGTGTTGCATTCCTTCCAAACTGGCTCGGAGGCTCTGAAGCAGAGCCTCACAGGTCGCCCAACTTCCGGTCGAGTCGCGGAAGTTCGAAACAACACGACTCGAACTCGGACCATCGAAGATTCGACCTTGAGAGGTAGTCTCGGTGTGTCGGCGACGGATGGTGCATGTGCGGGTTTTTTCTAAGAGCCTCAGAGAGCCCACGACCGATGGAGCCATCGGAGATGGACCGGTGAAGAGGACAAGAACTGGACCAACAAGAACAGCGGAACTAAGAACGTGTGTAACACGTGATGCTGCAGCCATTTGCAAAGAGGTGCTTGAAGACATCCCGCTTCGGGGGGGTGTCCAGACCACATCGAAAGGACCGGATGCTCTCCGTGTCAAAGCAAACAGGGATGCAGCAACCGTCGGATGCAGCGGAACAACCGTCGGGGACTTGAAACAAGACCCCTCCCCCCACAAGCGGATGGTCTACTGAACTTGCTGAAGGTGGGTCAAATCCGAACGTTCACCGGACCCTGACCCGGGTCGGCCCGGGCAACACATGGTACGTACCATGGTACGTACCCATGGTACGGTCAACTCCTCGAACACATTCTTTCCCATGTGGGAAATGAGATTACCAGTGGGATTCCTTCAGTTTGTATCTGCTTGTCTTCTTAGAACCCACTCCACGGATCACGTTGTCCGGTGTCCCCGGTTGTGGACTGGGCAGCCTTGCCTTCCATGTAAACCCCGTGGTCCAGCATGGCCTTGTAGAGGGTCGCCCTCAGCATCAGGGCTGCAAAGGCTGCACGGTAGCGAGCGAGCGTTCACGCCCGGGGGAGCGAGCGAGCGTAGCGAACGTGGAGAGGTGACGAGTGTAGAGTGTCGATCTTTGGAAGGGGGCCAGTTCTCCCTGGAACTAGCATGGAAGTGGAAAACACCCTGTTTGTAGAGGATTGAAAATGGTCTTCCAAGAGGCCATTGTCTTCCATGTGAGTTCCAGGGAGTGTAAGTCTTGAAGTCTTGAAGTGCGAACTTAGTTGGAAGTGGACACATTCGCCCTGATCCGTTCGTCTTCGAAGATAGCTGCAACAGCACATGAGCTGAGAGGAGTTGCCTTCTTTTTAAGCTCGAGGTCAAAGCCCCTTACAAAGTCCATCTTCCAAGCTCTTGAGATCTTCCCCCATTCCCCAGTTTTCTTTCCTCTCCTCACCAGTCACCCTCCCAATCATCCTACCATATTGTCGTTTGTTTCATTGCTATACTGCTGCATGAACATCCTGATCTACCATGCCAGTCTACCAAGGTCTTTCCACTCCGTCCTCCCAATCGTTCCTTTCTTCTTCCTCCGGTCCTCACCCCTACTGGGCGATTCGACTGAACCTCCACGTTGACGGCGACGGCCGTTTCCAGGTCATGGTCGCCTCACAAAGGGAGTGGAGGGAGTGGGAGGGAGGTGCGGAAATATGCGGGTGCTTTGGAAAAGAGAGACCCTCCGGAGTTTTGAACACTGAGAAAGATCAGGAGGATCAACTGAGGTGATGTGGAGAATTGTGGAGATAGCGACCGGGAGGGTTCAAAGATCGCGAGATACCGCGTCATGCGATATCAGAATATGCTGAAATGAAATCACTGCCGGACATGCTCTGGACACACTCCAAAAAATGGGACGAACATGAACAGCCACATCAACTGATTTGAGGGCCCCCGGAGGTTTTGGTGGCCGCGCCTTTCATCACGATGTCCGGCTCGACGATTGGCACCAGGCCCTGCCGGAAGTGCTGCACATGTGATGGACACCCGCTTCAGCCGTTGGACTAGTGGCGAAATAGGCCGACTTCCCAGAACGAGCTGTGAGACATGATGGTGACTTCTCACCTGATTCTCCTTTTTTCACAGCCGGCAACCGGAAATAGGTCGGTGAATATAGAGCAATGTTTTATACCAGTCTCCAATGGGGAGGGGTAATGTCAGGTGTCTTCAAATCAGGCTTAGCCTTATTGCATCAATAGATCTAACACACCGACCACTTTCTGACAGCACCAATTCCCAAATTCGCACGTGCCAGCAGGGGAGCATCTTTGATAAAAAATGTATGCCATGATGGAACGTAGAGGAAAATCGTCTTCCAGACGGTGCTTTCCGGGACACTCTTTTCTTCATCAACGGGGTGCAGCGAGTCGATGGCGGGCACAAGGCCTCATCTTGGCAAATCAATGCCTCGGTCAATGCCGCAATTGTTCTTGATGTCTTGTTTTTGTTTTACTTTCTTACTTTCTTACTTAGATCTGTGGATCCCAACTGTGGAACCACAAAAGATGTTCTCAGAGGTGCTTCTACATGAGGCAAAAGAAGCAAGAACAGGGTCTTACAGGCACGAGTGACTGAGTGGCGTCGCGAGTCGCAAGGCCGTGTTTCACGAGGTTGTTGACAGAGTTCGTGTATGGGTTTCACGTCCACTGCTCAGGGAGACCAGAAACCAGTGCAGACCAGTTGAAACAAAATTGCTTCGGGTTGCATCCACCGAAGCTGACCCCGGAAGCATTGAAAACGTTGCTGTGAGAGGTTATCTTTTTGAATCCTTCTCCAAGCCAGCAGTTGTGGGAACATGTTGAAATATGGAGTGGACATGAATGGACAATAAAAGGAGTTTCCAGCTCTTTCCACTATCAGATGCTAGTACAACCCTACAAGCTGGCGATCCCCTAAGGCTTGTTCTAAGCAACGACAGCATCCAGCTCAACCCACTAGTCTTCTACCGATTGATAATCAAGCTGATATTGGTGATTTAAATATGAACAGTTTTAAATATGAAAAACCACTCTATTACATGGCTTGGATGAATTTAGACATATTGTTATTGAAGAATGTATATATGCGAAAAAGGTAGCACGGCGCTCAAGGTCCGTGAACACGTCGAAAACGATGGTGCCTCAAGAAGCACCGCGGCCGCGCCTTTTCTCAAGGCGAACGCCCACCCGAGGCTCGAGTGGGAAAGCGTCGGGCATGAAACAGTTCGAAAAGCTGCAACCCTAAGTGCACAGCGTGAACTTTACATGGAGGAAAAGGGGTCTCCAGGAAAGCTGTGCTCGAACCTATCGAGCCATTGGAAAACTCTGGTGCGCATCGGTGCTGCACCATCTGGATCAGAAAGATCCGGCGGAATGATCCGCAGGCTACACAAGCGGCAGCTGTCAACTCGCCTCTGAAGGCGGGTGTCTCTTCCATCAAGACTCGGGCAGTTCGGGTCCACATGCCACTTGGCTCCGTGGCGGCTCATCACCACACCCCTGTAGAACGGGCACTCATTTCCATGCTCGTCCATCTGGCGAAGGGCGGACTTGATGATGTCCTTTGCATCATGGACCAGGGTTACAGCATCGTTCTGGCCTTGGATGGCCAGGTTCAAAGCCGCTCGGGCTTCACATGCAGCAAGGCGGGACTCCTCTGCTTTGTTGCTCCATCGCAAGATCTCTTGCTTGAGCCTCGTGACTTCTTCTCGAAGGCGGGCAGGGACGAGCGCTTCGTCTTTCTGCACTCCAGCCTCTTGGACATTGGCACGTACTTCAGGAGGTGCTCCATGGCTATAGCGTCCAATCATGAAAGCTGTGCTCAAAATGAGCACAAAGAAGGTGCACAGCATCACACCAAACCAGTCCACTTCAGCTCCAGCTTCACTTTCGGCATGCGTTGCCGATGACAGTTGAGGGGCCATGAACAAAAGCAAACACCAAAACATGACATTCGGCATGCGACCGGTGAAGGGCTCTACCACGCGGCTCTCGACATGGCTCGGACTGTGGGAGACATACTTTAACTTCAGGTCGGTCCGCGCAAGCCTGACATTCTCAGGGAACAGGGCATTCCTGGAAATTTCTTCATTCCAAAACACTTGCTCATCGACAAAAACTTCATTCTCTGGGAGATGCTCGTCGATGGTTTCCAGGTGCTCTTCAGGGAGGTGATTCTCCTCATCAGGCAGGGGCTGTGTGGGTACCTGAATGCTTTCAGCAAGGCTCTGTTGGAGCTCAGCTTTTGTTTTCTTCTTGGCAGCTTTGTAGGAGGGGTCCCAAACAAGCTTCAAACGACCGTGACGGAGTCGTTGTGCAAGAAGTGCTCTGGCCGACTCTTTTGTCAATCCGTCAGCCAGTTGGCGCTCCGATGACATCCACCTCAAAGAACCGCCGAGGGAAGTGAGGCGATCCTTCATCACACGGATCTCAAGCGAAACTCGCTTGTCAACCACAGAGCTTCCGACTCCTTCTCGATGATAGGAGTCGTAAAGGGCCTTGGCGTCCGTGATCATGGTGGGCGACAACAAGGAAGGAGCGTCCAAGAGCTCTTTGAGTTGCTGGCGAGGGTCAACCAACAAGCTCCAGTAGATGCTGGCATGTTCCAATGCATCGCAAGCTTGACCACCGCTTTGTGCTTCGGCGCCCAATGAGGAGCGTGCAACTCTTGGCGTCTTCAAGCTGCGCCAATCCAAAACATGGTAGGCTCCTTCGGGTCCATTGGCCTGAAGCAAAGCTTTGTTGACCATCAGGATCACATAGCCAGCTTGTGAGGCTCCGTCGCTTCGGGTGGCAAAAGCAGCATCAAAAAAACATACCATACAAAGTTCTGAAACTTTACCCAGGTGGCTGTACTGTAGACCAACGTCAGCATTTTCTTTTGCAAAACGCAGCAGGCGATTGGTGTCGGCCACCGTCTGGAGCGTGGCCTTGGTGACATGACCGCTCAGGATCGAGGTGCTGCTCTGCAAGTGAGGACTGCTCTGAACTGCAGGCCATTGTAGTGAACCAAGAAGTCCTCTCAGCTGTGTCAGCTCACGCTGATTGAGCGCATCAGTAAGGCTGCGCTTCTTGTCATAGGTGATCGGTTTCACCTTTCCCATGTAGCTGCTCTGGTTGAGGAGGAAGCCATCGTTGGCAGCAGCGATCACGGTGGGATGAGCTCCTCTGGCGGTCAACAAGTCAGCCAGAGCGTCAGGTGCCGGGTGACCAAGGTTCCGGTGAAGTCGCTGCACTGTTCGGAGAGCATCTTGTCGGTGCTCAGACTTGAGCTTGAGGAGATGTCCAGTTTCTTTCTTGCCAGTTTCGTCGACCACATATGCTGTGTCCCACAGTTGAGCAGCTGCGGGACGAGCCAGGGCTGCAGCCAAGGTTGCTGCAAAGCCAGGTTGGTAATCTTCCAAGTAGGTGGTCCGGCGTCCATAGCCAGGAGCAGAGCCTTCTAAAGGGCAGTGGTGGTGATCATGGTCACACTTCAACTGAAAGGCTTCAAGAACAGCCTGCTTCGTGGTCAGCAGGCGAGTGCTCTTTTGGACAGGTCGCCAGATGCCGTCGGTGTCCATGCACATGGCTCCATAGCGGCATTGATCAAAGTCGGCATAGTAGCCAGGAAGATCTCGAAGAGCCGTGGTGTTCCAGCTCAGTGCATGCTGGGGCTGCTCCAAGTGAGCATGCCGTGCATGGGTCACCTGTCGTAGGTAGATGCGCTTGGCAAAGCAAAGATGACGACGATGGTGGTGCTCACGACGGGCTTTCAATGCTTCTTGTTGCGCAGGAGTACGGCAAGCCAAGGTTTGCATTCTTGACCATAGGCGGCATTCTGGTGCCACTAACACTTCGTCAGGTTCTTCTTCATCGAGGCGTTGGAGTAGCTGTTGTTGATGGCTGATGAGGTTGAAGTCCCAGCCATTGTCCAAAGGAAACCTTTCCACCTTCATGCCAAGTTCCTCTGCAATGTGACCAGTGCGAGCTTTGCCACAATAGATCTCCCAGAGGACTCGTCGATGGTCAGGAGGATTGTGAAGCTCCTGAGTGATGTAGGTGGAGTTGGATGTCGTGACCAGCTGAGTCTCCATGGTTCGAAGGGCATGTCGATGAAGACGAGTGGATTGCAGTTCACAACCTGACAGGATCATGTCTTCAGCTTGGAACACGCGTTCGAGCTTGTTGAAGTCATCGAAGTGGAGATGGCTGCCCGGAGTTTCCTCAGCAATGCGAAGACTGAACAGGGCTTTCGTGGGGTCAGGCACTTCTTCCATGCCAGTGGTGAGGCTCAACAGGTATTCGCCATGACTTCCCACCAGCACTGAGGTCCAGGGAGAGCGACCAAAGCGAATGCGCTTCTGGCTGAAGTCGATGCCCATGTGCAAGGCCTCAATCACAGGTCTGCCCATCAACATTGGCGTATTGCCAGGGACCCAATAGCATTGAATCGTGCCGAACTGGCCGTCGATCATCACAGGAAGGTCCACTGTCCATGATGCTCTTGAGGAAGCATCGCCGCCAAAATGGAACTGGCGATCGCATCGAGCAAAGCGGATGGTGTTGATGGGGTAGTTCATGGAGTGGAGATGGTTCAGGTAGCGGCCAAAGGGACCATAGCAGCACAGGAAAGCCGATGCACCTGGGTCCAACATGGTGGCGTCAGGTCGATCTGTGCCCATCTCATCCTGGAACAGGACCAAGGCGGTCTCATTCTGCAAGGCCATGCCTTCTGTAGGTGCAGGTCTCTTGTTGGGCGAGACTGGAGGCTTCGCACTTTGTGGACATTGAGCTGCCCAATGACCTGGTTGGCCACAACGAAGACAGGTAGTTGCCTTTGCACGACCTTTTGGATCTGACTTCCCACCTGAGGAGGAAGGGTAGCGCACCACGTTCTTTCCTTTTCCTTTGCTTTTGTTCTTGCTCTTTCCTTTGTTCTTGTCAGCTCCCTTCGAAGGTGAAGAGGATCCAGAGGCGGCTGAGGTGTTCTGACCATCAGTGAGGGCGACAATCGGCAGGTAGCCACGAGCCAACTTGAGTTGCTGGAATCTTTGCCGGGCATCCAAGTAGGTGGCATAGGCGTGGTCATATTCTTCTGCCAGCTCTTGAGGATCTTCAGGTGTGTCATTGTGATCACCCGTGTCATCATCGTCGCCGTAGTAGATGGCGTCATAGTCGAAGTCAGCCTCAGCATCAGGGGCAGTGTCATCATACCAGTCGTCGGCCTCATAGTAGGCCTCTTCCAGCCAAGGTTGCTCGGACCAGTAGGCATCTTCGTCATCGAATGCAGCGTAGCCGCGGCCCTTCCAGCGGTTGAACTTGCGATCACGTTCAGCATTCCATCCGCCAGCTTTGTAGTCCTGACCGAACAACAGGTACAGGGCCTCAATGACAGGGGTCTTTTCCAACGTAGGAGCTTTCAGTGTCACCATCTGGCGTTGCTCCTTTGACAAAGCAGCACGTCGGAGTAGATGCCATCCTTGAACCTGACCAGGAAGGGTCACGTTGTGAGCGGTCAAACGACGGTAGGCGGTGTCATGGTCCGTGACGAAGGACAGGAGGCTTTGTTGAGGCTTTCGTTGCAACAAGTTGAAGTACTCCTCAAAGTCGTTCGGAAGGAGCACTCGATCATCATACTCGAAGTTCTTGTCGAGCTTGGAGATGATCTTTCCAAAGCCATCTTCCTTCTCAGCTTCTTCGACTGAGAAGTCCTCAAACAACCGCCAAACCCTGAAAACTTCCCAGGATGTTCAGGACAGATTCGGCTGTGCGCTTGCTGATCTTCATCTTGTGGTGGTAGAGCATCAGCCTCTTTCTATACTCTTTGTAGTCCTGGGGTTGGCCACTAAAAAGTGGAACGAAGGAGTCGCGCAGAGTGGTGTAGTCTCCGTCCTTGGAGCTTTCTGCAGCCGATGTCGTTGGTGGCATTCTAGCTCAAGTAGCCAAGACCGATAGGGCTCTTCAACGAGGAAACAAAAGAGCTCGGCCAAGGGTTCGTGACAAAGGACTTATGCAGAACCTCGTTCTTCTTCGCGCAAAGGACTCGGAGCCCCCCGGAGGAGGCTCCGCTACCAATGCGAAAAAGGTAGCACGGCGCTCAAGGTCCGTGAACACGTCGAAAACGATGGTGCCTCAAGAAGCACCGCGGCCGCGCCTTTTCTCAAGGCGAACGCCCACCCGAGGCTCGAGTGGGAAAGCGTCGGGCATGAAACAGTTCGAAAAGCTGCAACCCTAAGTGCACAGCGTGAACTTTACAATATAATATATGCTTTGTACAATTGGAAATTCTCGGTAGCAGGACCTTTTGTTGATGGACAACAGCCTAGCAGGAGAACTTGAACGAATCTTACTACCAATAGAATTCAACATATAGAATCGCAAGAACACAATCAACACAGGTGAGAATCATTGGACTCTGCGAGAGTTTTGACTCTGCTTAAGGCGTTGGACCCTCAAACTCCCCAAACAACTTGAAGCTCTCCATGATTCCTTCTTTCCTTCTCAATTGCAAGCTCCGTCCCTTCTCAACGCCGCAACTTGGTCCCCCGGCATAGCGCGCCAGGTCGTTCATGTTCGCCTCGATGGCCATCTTGGTGGGACCAAAGCGCGAGATCTGCAGCGGACTGCGCCACTTCGCGAACTTGGCGCCCGCCGCCTGGAGGACAAGACGCACGGCCGCGAGGACGACGCGAGGGGTTGTTGGTTGTTCATGCCGAGGTGAAACTTGGAGATGAAAGCGGGAAACTTGAGCTCCATGCTGTAGGCCAGAAGTTTCCCTGGTGATTGTAGCTAGACAAGACTATTCAAGACTATATGATACAAGAACTGCAGCAGCAAGAACAAATATTCCGCCCAAAAGCTGGCTTATAGTGTTTCTCCTGTCAAGGGTTTCGTTGGCGCCTTGTACTCTTCGTTTCCACCTGATAGATCCCGGCAGCAGGCGCCTTGTATTCCCGGCAGCGGACGGCCAGGGAGTCGAGGCCTTGCATCACGGTGTCCTTGGTGCCTGGCAACTCCTCAGGCGGAAGGAGCGGACGGCCACCGATTTGGACCACCGGGGGTTCACTGAAAGGACACGCATCTGAAAGGTCATGAAAGGATGACTAAGAACTGATATGAATAGAAACATCTATGGCGCCATGGAATGAATGGTCCGATCGTCTCCGATCTTTTCCACCTGACTGACGGGGGAACACCATGGAACACCTGCCCTTTTTCAGGCAATGAGAATCCTTGTGAATCCTCGGGTTTTTCCACCGGTGCCGTCCATCCATTCGATGCCACCGAGCTATCCATCTGTGCCATCAAGGACGAGGACCATTCCGTTGGTGCTGAGCCGGTGTACAGCACAGTCATTGAACATTGAAGATACCGTGGTTGTTTTTCTTGTAGGCTGGGCTGGTCCAAATCATTCAAACACGTGATGCCTATGAAGGACCTTCTTGAACTCGAACACCTTTAAAGTGTTGAACGACATGCTTGAACACATCTAGATTCAGGCACCACCCGCCTGTCCCTGGCCACCCACCCAACTCACACCAGCTGTCACCAGCTGCCGCTCGTTGGTTTCCCCAGCTGCCGCCCCCTCCCGCAGCTTGCGCAGCTTTGGCCCAAGCGACGTAGACCTTCAAGTGCGGTTTGACGCCCGGGATGATGCCACGCTTCTCGAGAGCTTCAGGGAATGGCACGCCTGAAGCCGGCAAGAATCGGTCAGACTCGAAGCCATGGCCCTTCAGACTTGAATCTGTCATGTGGAGACTTGTTACATGAACTCTACAACTGGTTGAGACCATTTTGGACACCAGGTGCACATCACCGAGCGCTTCGGCGCTTCCCGGTATTGGGTCATCACATCACTGGGGTCCTCTTAGTTTACTTGCCCAGCTGCCACTAAAGATGCTGACACAAAAGTCTATGATAAAAAAAAAGACTCAGACCTAATTGAAACAGCCCCTCGTTCCCAAAGGATCCAACCGGATGTTTTTCTATCATTCACCTTCAGGCAGAAGGGCCCACCCATCTCACCTTCGGCGCGGATGCGTCTTCAGGGCCTTCATCGTCCTTCTGGTACATCGTCTCCGGATCCAGGATGGCGGCGCTCAAATAGTTGTTGATCCCTCGAGCCGACACGCGAGGGATCCGATCCCGGTTCCGGGTACACCACATGAGGAACTTGGAAGAGGTCCTGCGGAGCTTTTGGGAAAACGGGACGAGTTGGGCGAGTGATCAAAGCCATGGATTCTTTCATTCGGAAAGAACGCAGAAGTTACAAGTCAATACACCTCCCTGGCCATGTGCCAGAATGAAAGAAACATCACAACAAAACACACTGCCACACTGCTGAAAACCGCTCGCAACCGCTCGCAACCGCGCAGCTCCATTGGGCCAAGAGCAGCCGATCGGTTCGAGAACGAACCGTCACAGAAGAGCGATGTTCGGGGAGCTCCAATGGAAAAAGAACCCACTCGGATGTGTTTGATGCGTCAGCTTCATGTGTTCATGTGGAACAACGTGTCTTTAACATGTTTCATGAAGCTGAAATAAGGACACAATGGAATATTGATGGAATACATTGTTCAAGGCATACAAACACATGTGTCTTAAACAAGGGATCCTTGACCATAAAGAGCATGCATTTCGATGTATTTCGTCTGTTCTCAGCACTCTTTAGCCGTTTCCATGCACCCTTCAGCCATGGTGCCGGGTGTCTCGTAGAGCATTTGCCGGTAGATGCGCCTGCCCCATCGTGTTACATGAGATTGGAATAAGTACAGCATGCATGGCGCAGGGCAAATGGGGTGGTTTGCCATGGTGTACCTACATCTGCTAAACATTCATTGAGATGTCAAAAAAAGAACTTGGGTGATACCAAGACCCAGGGAGGCCGCCAGCTCCTCAGCCAAATGGCTTCGCTTAATGGAGCGTTGCGTTCTGGGACTGCTCAATGAATAGACTGTTCTATTAGAGACAAGAACAGAATAGAACAGAACCTGCGGCACTCACTCCACCCAAAAAATGTCTTCGATCAGATCATCTCTTTCAACGTAGGTAGCACTCTTCACATACTCTTTCCCCTGCCCACCCCTCAGCTGCCTCAGCCTTCCTGTCCTTCCGGTCGCCCCCGCGGCCTGTGTTCCTCGGTGTTCTCCACCCCGACCTTCTCGAAGCGGTCGCCGATGGTGCCGGGGCCCTGGCCGGGTTTGACCGAGAAGGTGTGTCATTAGTTGGTAACCAAATTAACTGTACACTATTATAAATATAGTTTTTATATATATGCCTTTTTTACATGCGTTAATAATATATTATATAGAGGGTACGTTGTCTAGAATTTGTCATTCTACGAAAAGATTTGGCACTGAGTTGATTAGAAGACATCGGGGAGATATATGTATATATATACAGTGTATATATATATATATTAATACACCGGATCAATGATGCCCGTTCGTTTGTTCAGAAGCAAGAGGTAGACCATGCGGCAGCAATGACAATGACCCATGACGCAAGTCAGGGAAAATTGGATACTTTAACTTCGAAGCTGAAAACTCAAAACTGTGTACTAACATAACCTCAAAATGTTCTACCTGCCAGGTCAGTAAAAGTAAGCTGACAGGTGTACTAACATGGAAGATTGCCAAATTAGGCCATCTACAAGAATCATGCGAACGTTGAAGTCAAGCAATCATTTCAACTAGCCTGCACACATGCAGCTCATGCAACAGCAATTCCTTCCTTCAACCAACGGGCAACACGTGCACGGGGTGCTGCTCCTACAGTTGTTCACTAACATAGCACTCGAAAATATTGATCCGGATGCTCACGAACTTTAACATTCACGACTAAAAAATGTTGATGCTCAGCTGCTTATACCAAATAGCGGAGAGTAATACAATAATGTTGGGTGCCCATTCTGCCCCGGGCAGCGCAGAAACCAAGCAACAAAAAGAGAAGAAGAGAAGATAAAGGCAACGAGATAGGCAAGGAAAATGCAAAATGATGCAAGTACAAAGCCCAGTGCCCTGCCCACACAGGATGAGCAAGATGAGCTCATGGGTGCTTCTATTCAATCTACTAGCAATGGCCTCCAACCTATAGTTTCATTTGATAAAGATTGTACCGGATTTTGAGTGGCACTTCGTTCGAAGATCCCTCAGCTTGGATGGCCCTTCACCCGTATGCCCCATGTTGCTCCTCATCGGTGGCGGTAATGCCCTTGCCCGGGGTCGCAATCTTCTCACAAATGGCCTCGCCGAGCTCGATAGGTCGAGGACGGAAAGAAAAAAGATGGGGAAACGCTCGTGTAAGCTTTGGGATGGCATATTCAAAGATCGAAATAAGTGATGCATGAACCCAGGCACATGTATTTTTTACTTCGCAACTTTTGACCACAAACAACTGCTCCAGTCTCCTACACTGTAGAGGAGATTCAAAAAAGAATGTTTGGCGTTCAAAGGGGTGGCCCTCAAAGTTACCCACAGTTTTGCGGCACTGTGGCGCCACTTCAAAAACTGTCATCTGAGTCATCAGCGCTGAGAAGCTTCCACCACATCCTTGAAGGTGTAGAAGCCCTTCGCAGCGGCAACTGCATCAAGAGGATTCACCGAGGAGAACATGTTGTTGGGGACAGTTCCATCTACCACTGCGGCCATCGAGTTGTACACATCCATCACCGTGGCCTTTGGCACCGATGCAACAATGCGTCCGATAGCTGCGTTCACTGCCTCGTAGTCTGCAGCAGAGGTCACTCCCTTGGCATCGATGCTGCCAATGGCCTTGTGGTGCGCCTCCGCAGCAGCCTTCAACAAGTTTCCGTCCATCTGGCTGCCCATCACGATCATCTTGTCGATGGCTTTCATCACCTTTGGGGCTGTGGTGTCTGGCAGCGGCTTCAGGTAGATGTCAGACAGCCAGTCCACCTCTTTCAAGAAGGGATAGGATGCATCTGAAAGGGCCTTTGCAGCCACACCAATGTTGTCTCCAGTGGGCACAGTGGCCGGAGCACCAACTGCGGTCACTTGGTTCTTTTCCACCACGTCTTTGAACTCCAGAAAGCCCTTGTATGCCTTCTCGGCATCCGCACCATTCACCAAAGACTTCATGTATGCTGGAACGCCAGGGTCAGTGATGTCCTTCACGGCATTGTAGACGTCCATGACCTTTGCCTTGGGGACAGACGCCACAACACGGCCCAAAGCCGCGTTCACCGCATCCCAATCCGCCCGGGAAGTCACACCGTTGGGACCTGAGATGCTTCCGATGGCCTTGTGATGGGCCTCCGCCGCTGCCTTCAAGAGCTTGGGGTCTGCTGCCGCTCCCATCTCAATCATCTTGTCAATTGCCTTGAGAGCCTCAAGTGGTTGGAACTTGCCCGGAGCTTGCAAAAAGATGCCGTTGTTCCAGTCCACTTCCTTCGCGAAGTCATAGGAAGCATCACCGAGCTTCTTGGCTGCATCACCAATCTCATCGGCAAAGGCGGCTGGAGCCATCATCATGCTGGCTGCGGATGCAGCTGCCACAGGCGCATGTTTTCTCAAGGGCCCAGGCACAAAACTCAAGCTGTTGCAAAAGTTGTACAAAGCGACCAGCACAGCAGCCACGCTCAAGACCTTCCACGAAGAACGTGCCATGATTCCACGGGAAGTGCGGGGTACTTTGCTGCGTGCAACAGCGAGTGGAGCCTAAAAACTACTTGAACCCTAACATTAATAACATTCAATATGAGAAAGTTTGCTTTCGCTCACCTTCACTCACAACGCATACAAGTGTAAGACTATCCCAAAAATGGTCGGTCAAGTGAGTCATTGGCCGTTCTTGCCGGTCTCGTGAATCGTCTTGTGAATCGTCTCCACCTCCAGCTCTCTCTTTCGCTCGGGCGACAAATGCCTCGGGCGACAAATGCTCGCGACGCGGTGGGTTTCGTGGTGTTGAAGAGGAAACTGTCGACGGATCAGATCCTCTGGTCTGGTGTTTTTCCCCGTCTTCCAAAAGTCGATTTGGCCGGAAAAAAATAGAAAAAAAAAAGTTGCATAAAAGAGAGACTGTCTATAGCTCTATCATGCTCTATCTATTTGAGTGAAGAACTCACCGACGTGCAATTAAGAAGGATTTAACTTTAAACTTATACAAGTACGAGTTCACTCGTACCGTTTGTGGAGGAATCGTTCTGGTACCGTTCCTGGTCCAATGAGAGTGGGTGGGCTTATCTCACAAATACCACCGCAAACGAACATGCACTCTGCAAATCGACCTGCAATAAACCGACCATACCCACCGCATACCCACCACCTCGTGGTTTGGGGGTTCCGGTCCGAATTGCAGGGAGATGCGATACCGTGTCCAAAACATATGTTGGACCCTTTGCCACAAGGTGCAGGGAACCCTCGTGTCAGTGACGGACCCAGGTCACAACCTCACAACCCAAACGACCGAAAGCTGCTCAGACTCAGCCGGGTTTCTCCCACTGCTTTCCCCCCCGGGACACGTTTTGAAAGGGGACACCTGCCAGAAAACGGCAGACGGTTCGGCGACAGTCCCACGGCGCTCATCGATTGATTCGTTGGGTCCTGCTTGGAATTCCTGCTGACAAGCAAAGACTTCTACGGATTTGTGATGCGTGGGGTGATAGATCCAGCGAACCATTCTCCTAGTTAGCCAAGCTACTCTCCACCATGGCAGTTGCGATGGCACATATGTCGGACCACCTTCTCTGCACGTCTCCGTGCAGCACGTGGGTGGTTTGGCCGGCCAGCACCTTGCACAATCATGCAGATGTCGCCGATGTCCGCATTCAAAAAACGTTTCAAAATGACTGGAGAAAGTAGTCAGCTTCAGTAGTCGGCGCCCATTCCAGTGCCTCTGGCAGAGCACAATGCCAGCAGCACTCCAGCAGTCAGGGACGCAGTACCTACGCACGTTTGGGTTCAGTATGCTTGGTGGTTTGGGGTGCCAAACCACAGCAATTTGTGTACAACTGTGCAGCAGGGGGTGAACCACACGATGGATGTATTACATAAATGAGGATAACCCCAACCGACAAGACCCTTCCAACACTCCCGAACACTCCGCCATTCCGGTAGAATGGACCAAATGAGTTCACAGTGCTCGCACTTGCGCGGGCTTGGGCGTGGTCACATTGCTGCTTCATTTGGAGATAGGCACATATATCTGGCCCGTACAATTCCAGCGGCCTGTTAGGTTAGGTTGTTCCCACAATCGGACAAATGTTCGGACAGTTCCCCCATGAACTCTCAGTTGGCTATAGACAAGTTTCAACTGGTACAGTGTTTGTCCTTGACTGTCTTTAGTTGCTACAAGTTTACAAACATCAACTGGTATCAAAGGGTATTAGTAATTAGTATGTATATATATATATATGCAAATTTGGCAGTATTGCTTTTTCCTTGAGGTGGATCCCTTTCTGTTTGTTGATATCGAGTCGGTCTCCGCAATTTTTTGGCACCAGATCCGAGAGCTGGCCTCGTTCTTGTGTGAATTTTCTCGCAATTTGCACTCGCTCCAACAATCATTATCGAACAAATTCCAATTTGTAGAGGAACTTTGAGAGGAAACCGTTTCTTGTATTGAGGAAATTATCACATGTTGAAAGGGTTTTCCGACATTGCCGAGGAATTCGGTCTTCAATGATCCTCCATGCATCAGCACTGTGACATGGCCGAAGGCCAGACGGGAACCCAACCTGCACACGGCCAACACGGTGAAGGGACGAATGGCGAGGGCAGGAGTGCCTTCTCACCATCCACTCACTCCGGGTCGAAATAGAATTATCCCGGCAAGAGACCCCAAACAGTGTTTTGAGGTCTATAGTAGAGATCTAGAGTTCTGGAGATCTAGGAAGATCTAAAGGCCAAGATCGAGGTCTAAAGATCTAGATGTCTAGAAAATCTAAACGCCTAGACATCCAGACAGATCTAGACATCTGCAGGTCTAGCGGAGACAGAGATATGAAGCCCAGGTTTCTACATCCAGAGTAGATCTTGAGATCCAGACAAATCTAGAGTTCAAGATGTGATCTAGAGGTCTAGAGATCCAGAGGTATAGGGGTCTTGATCCAGAGATCTGGAGGTCTACCCTGTTGTAGGGGTGGGCCCTCTAGGTCTCTCGTCTGGCCATGAAAACCTGCAGGTCTCAAGGTCCAGAGGTTGAGAGGCGTAGGGGTCTTTGAGAGGCGTAGGGACCTCTGGAAGTTCAAAAAGCTCTATAGGCCTAGAGATCTAGAAGTCGAGATGTCTGGGGGGTCTAGAGCGGTCTAGAGGTCCTGGAGCTCTAGGTCTGGGGATGTCCGGGGTCTCAAGCTCTAAGAGTTTGAGAAGTCTAGGAGTCTTGAGATCCAGGCAGGTCGTGAGATCCAGGCAGGTCGTGAAGTCTAGAGATCTAAGGTCTAGTTGAAAGGTCTAGATTGAGCCTAGAGATTCATCTGTAGAGGTCTCGAGAACTGATCCAGAGGTCGTGCGCTTAAAATTTGGATGTGTGGAGACCAAGAGTTGTAGAGGTGTAGAGGCCCAGAGATCCAGACACCTCTAATTTTGTAGGTCTAGTGCTAGCGATGGATCCAATAACTTTAAGCAGGGGACTAATTACAGAAAACCTACAGGCCTCAAGGTCTGGAGGCCTAGAGCTTAAGAGTTCTAGAGGCCTTGAGATTAAAAACTGGAGGTCTAAAGATCTAGCGCTAGAGATCTAGAGGTTGAGGTCGAGAGGTTCGAGAGGTCGTCCAGAGTTAGAAGGTCTTGAAAGACATGGTCTTGAGCAGACCCAAAAGATCTAGAGCGCTAGAGATCTAGAGGTCTCAAGTTCTCAAAATTGAGCAGCAGCAGCGCGGCCTCTTCGAGGTTGACTCTTGGAGATGGCATGAGATGGCGGAGATGGATGTTGAGAAACGCCATTGTGACCAATGCAAAGACAGCCATGCTTTTTGGGGGGATCCGACCGATTTTTGAGGGGCGCGGCATACTCACCACTCACCTGGCTGACAATACATGTCCGGCGCCTTTAACTGGTCACCGTGTGGTTTCTTAAAGCGTTTGTTCGGACAAGACAACCTGCGCTCGGTCGCCTGGCTCCTGCGCTCGATGTCCGGCGTGCTCCAGGACAGGCTCACGACACTTGACAGGCTCTCGTGAGATCGGTGCAAGAGATCGGGGCGGCTTGGTGTCGAGGTACAGGTTTCGTGGCAGGCGCAGTACTTTGGACATGGTGGTATAACTTTGAAGTGCAGATTTCGTGGCAGGCACAGAACTTTGTGGACCTTGAAGTGCAGATTTGGTAGCAGGCGCAGTACTTT